TAGAAAAGAAGAAAATGTGACACAAAAAAAGTTGCAAAATAAATTATGACACTGCGACATGATGATTGTAATCAAATTTAGAACAACAATTTATTAGATAAATTAAATAAATAAATGAAAATAATATACAACTGCGTGTAACAAACATGAAAAGTTGGCAATTTCTGAACATGTGCAGTTTGCCGCACGATCGAACCGATGGTATCAATTTCACTCGAATTACACACGCGATGTTTTTTATCTAATTGCACGATAAACAAGATGCTAATGCAATACATACCTCTAAAGAATAAGAAGTAATGAATATTTTTAAAGATAATGAAAGTATTAATTAGAAAATAAAACACGGGAATCTACAAGTATTGGGATCTGAAATCATAGGGAATTATGGGGAAACTGACCTCGTTGCGTCAGCCATCTTGATTTTTTATCTCTTTCTTTTACATATATTTTAAAAAGGATAAAACGAAAAATGGCTGACACAACGAGGTCGTCACCAGATGGCGTATCGCAGTATTTCAGATCCCAATACTGAACACTGTTCACAGATGAAATGTGAAGTTGGATGTGAATCGAAATCTAATCGTTCCCGCAGTTGTTGCTGAGAATGTAAGATGGCGCTAGTCTTTCGTTCTATACACTAATACCGAAGAAATTAATTTGCAAAAAATGCTTCCAACTTTAAAATGAAAATTTTATAAATAATAACAAATTATAATAATAATTCATAACACTAAATAAATTTAAATATAATATTAATACTTTACTGCGAATATGTTCTAAATAACAGAGGGCGGAAAAATTCTACTTTCCATCCGCTATACAAAGCATGGAATGGAGAGTTTATCGTGCATATTGGACAAAAATAATTATTTAAAAAAAAATTTACTTTTACCTATCTTCCAAAATGAAAAAAAAATTACATAAATATACTATTATAAAAAGGAAAAAATTCTACTATTAAATGAAAATGAATTTTTTTAGAAACAACATTTTTAAAGCATATTTTGATATCTAACAAATAAATTCACTGCCAGAAAAGAAAATAAATATTCAAATTTTGTAAAAGTATTTTTTGTAAAAGTGAAAATTTTATAAAAAAAATAATCTTTAATAACTTTCTATGAAATTTACAATAAATAAATTATTATTAAAAATTGGTAAAACGTATTTAATTCATTAGTAAATAATATTATATTTTATTAAATCCTGCAATATTAGGTTTATAAAATTTTTTCTAAATTTTAAAATTTTTTACATGATAATTATGTTTTTTAGCATATTTTACAGAATTGAAAATAATTTTATAAAATTTGAAATAATTATTTTCTTTCCGTGTTTCAAAATTGCTCTACAAAGTTGATATTTTGAGTTATTTATAATTTTTTAACTAAATATTAAAAAAATAATTATTATATAATAATAAAATGCTTGGTCTGTCGCCTTCTATCCTGACTTGAAGTTGTCCCTTTCTGATTTTACGTATTTTTTTGAATAGTAATCTTATGACGTGTCAAATTTTGACAATTCTTTTTCTCATTTTTGCCAAAGTTTTATAATCGTGTTTCCAAATTTCAGAATAAGTTTCTTTAAAATTCCAAATTCGAAAATTCAATTCACGAAGCTGAAGTACACAACGTTTACCAACGAAATTTTTTTAAAGTTGTATATTGATTCAAAAATTATATACCAGTACAAAAAATTTATGATGAGAAAAAAGATGCGCCAGGAAATTTCGTACAAGATAGTAATTTGAAAAAAATTTATTTTTAAAAATTAATTTTTAAGGTACCAGGGGCCAACGAATACCTATTAAATATTAATTATAAAAACACAGGCCTCGAATCAACTTATAAAGACACAAAAAGTCGTTTTAGTTGATTTATATTCAAAAAAAAGTGGATTTGTTTTTTATTTTAACAAAAATATTTTTCAGATTTTTAAATAAATTTCTTTTTTTAATAATAATCCTTTTCGAAGGGTTAAAGTTGAAATTTTTAGAAATAATTAAATTTCAAAAGATATTGTTAATTTTCAAAGAATTATTAAATTTTACAGAACTAAAAATAATTTATCAAACAATTTTTGGAAAACATTTTTTAAATTTAATTGAATTTTCAAAGATTTAAAATTGAGATTTTTAAATTTAATTGAAACTTTAAGTGTTTTGTAATTAAAATTTTAGATGATTTCACTCAAAATTTATTAGAAAATGCGGACAAAATACAATAATTTTAAAATTATTTTTAATTAAAAAATGGTTTCAGATAGTTCAAATTTCAAAGAATATTATTAAAATAGTTAAAAATAATTGAATTTCCTTAGAGTTATATAATTGAAATTATTAAAATTCAAAAAAAAAAAATTTTCGGTGGAAAATTTTAGAAATAATTAAATTTTAGATGCTTTTAAATTCAAATTATTGAAAATTCAATTAATTTTGAATTAAAATTTTTGAGAACAATGAAATTTTATTTGATTTTAAATTTAGAAAATAGGTAATTGAATTTCAGTTCATTTTGAATTTAAAATTTTTGGAAATAATTGAATTTTAATTGAAATTTTGGATAATAATTTAAGTTCATTTTTGATTGTAAATTTGGATAATTAATTTTAAATAGAAATTTTAGAAAATAATTGAATTTTATTTCATTTTAAATTGAAAACTTGGTAAATAATTAAATTTTAATTTGAAAATTTTGGATAATTATTGGATTTTTAATTGATTTTAAATTAAAATTTCGGGTAATAATTGAATTTTAGTTTATTTTGAATAAATTGAAATTTTTAAAAAATACTTCAATTTTATTGTGATATTTTTTTTAAAATTATAAACAATTGTTAAATTTCATAAAAATTTTAATTGAAAAATAATTTTGATATAATTGAATTTGTGATGTATTTAATTATAATTATTAAAAATAATTAATTTAGTGAAGAATCATTTTAGTTCAAAATTTGTTAAATAATTGAATTGAAGAAGATCTGAAGAAGATCTACATTTTATACTAAAAAAATGTATTTTATTTACATTTTTTTTCAAATGTAAAAAAAAAGTCGCATTTTATTAAAATAAGTCGATAAAAGTCGTATTTTTGAAAAAAGTCGGAAAAAATCGTATAATCCGAGGCCTGTAAACGCATATAATTTTCATTATTATCATTTAATATGTAATAATATTCTAATAAATTAAATTATTTTTGATAATATTAATCTTTAATTTCTTTATAACAAACAATTAAAAATTCAATTTGGCGCGCGTTTAATTTTGCTAGTTGTTTAATAAATGACTAAGTTTGAAAGAAATTATCAGGTCAACGAAAACTTTCTTATAAATTATTCATAATAAGACAAATTTCCATTTGTCCTAATTAAATTTCTATTTTAATCAAAATTACAATTTTCTACAACAGCAAATTGTATTTTTCATTAAAATAGAAAGTAGAAAGGGCTGAAAATTTATTAAAAAAAAAAAATTTATCATAATTATTGTAATTAATTGCAATTATTAGTATTAATTTATTATTGTTACCAACTATCACATTAAGAAATTTCAGAATAATAATTAATGTTATTAATTATTTAATTATAACGAGAAATAAAATTAAAATTTAATATTTGCTTAATTTAATAGTATAAAAATTTTTTCAAATTTTGTTTCTTTTTCATAATAAATTTAAAAAAAATTCTTTAGTTTAAAAAAATACATATTTATTTAAAAAATAAAAATACAAATTTTTGTTAAAAATAGTTAAAATTGTTAAAAGTAAAAAAAATCAATATTTTTACCTATAATATATATTTAAATTTCAAATAAATGGAGGGAAACTGCAAACTGTTTTGATTAGGGCGTACTCACATCTCTGGCTGCCTGCATAGGCAGCCTCCCACCACGCAGAAAACGTACATGAGTAAGAGAGACAGAAAATTCAAATTTAAATCTACTGACTCTCTGATTGGCTCTCACAGAGATGTGAGTGCGCCCTTAGGGTGCACTCACACCTTCTGGCTGCCTGCCTGCCTGCAGGAGTTGTCATGGCAACATGCAGGAGTAAGAGAGAGAGAAAATTCAAATTTGAATTTACTATCTCTGTTACTCCTACACGTTGCCATGACAACTCCTGAAGGCAGGCAGGCAGCCGAGAGGTGAGAGTGCGGCCTTATGGCGCACTCACACCTTTTTTGGCTGCCTGCCTGCCTGCAGGTTACCATGGCAACACACGAGTGTGAGTGAGACAGAAAATTTGAATATTCAAATTTTTAAATTTTCTGTCGCACTCACTCTTATGCGTTGCCATGGTAACCTGCAGGCAGCCAAAAAGGTGTGAGAGCGCCTTTAGGTATTTCACTTTTAAATATGGCTGCATGATCAGCTGGAATTGAGCTGGAAGCAAGTGTAAGCTTGGAGGGACAACAAATAATTTTACGGTAACGTTGAAAACTTCAAAAACTTAACCTCAAAATCACTTGTTTGACAGTTCTTTATTGCTTTTTTCGTTTATTGTCCCTCCAGGCTTCGACGTCATCAGCCTCTGACGTCACAAGGTAAAATGCCTAAGGGCGCTCTCACACCTTTTTAGCTGCCTGCAGGTTACCATGGCAACGCATGAGAGCGAGTGCGACAGAAAATTTAAAAATTTGAATATTCAAATTTTTAAATTTTCTGTCGCACTCACTCTCATGCGTTGCCATGGTAACCTGAAGGCAGCCAAAAAGGTGTGAGAGCGCCTTAGGGCGCACTCACACCTCTGGCTGCCTGCACAGGCAGCCTCCCACCACGCAGAAAACGTACAAGAGTAAGAGAGACAGAAAAATCAAATTTAAATCTACTGACTCTCTGATTGGCTCTCACTGGCTGCCTGTGCAGGCAGCCAGAGGTGTGAGTGCGCCCTTAATTGGTAATAATTTCCCGCTGGTATTTTGAAAAATACTTTTTTAATAGAAGTTATAATTAATCAAAACTACGTGTATTCAATTCTAATTATTTGGTTATAAAAAACGCGTAATTTCATTGTTAATAAATATAAACATAAGAAAAAATTGTAATAGTAAAAGTTCATTTGAAATTTTGCCGCTGAAATATTTTGACTTCTCAACAGGAAGAGCTTAATTCCGGAAGTGCATTATTTCTTGTCTATATCTTTTGTATAAAACAAGAAAGATTAACGTAAGTAATTTTTTCATATTTATTATATTTCTTTCGAAAATTTGTTAATAAAAAGTAGAAACATTGAAAATTTAACTAATTAATCATTTCAATAATTAAATTTAACTTGTTTTTTTGAAGTTTAAAACTTTTTTAAAGCATATTGGTTTGTACCACGTGTATATATATATATAGGTTATGTTACTTTGATTTTGTACAAATATAATTTACTCATTGTTCTCAATATACATATATAAGAAATTGTTTTAAATTCAAACATAATTAAAGTATCAAATAAGAAAATTTATAATTTAATTGATTTTTTATTCTATTGTAAATTTTTTGTGTTTAAACAAATATATATACTGTTGGGTAAAATTGTTTTTTAAATTAAATTAAATTACTTATAATAATTGACAAATATTTATTTAAATAGAATGGCGGACGCTGCTCCAGCCGCACGCGGTGGTTTTCGTGGAGGTTTCGGTTCTCGTGGTGATAGAGGTAGAGGTGGAAGAGGAAGGGGTCGCGGTCGTGGTCGCGGACGTGGTAAGGAAGATGCCAAGGAATGGATTCCCGTTACCAAATTGGGTCGCCTTGTACGCGATGGTAAAATTCGAACTCTCGAAGAAATTTATCATTTCTCTTTACCCATCAAAGAATTCGAAATTATTGATTTCTTCCTTGGACCTTCACTAAAGGACGAGGTTTTAAAAATCATGCCTGTTCAAAAGCAAACTCGAGCTGGTCAACGTACCCGCTTCAAGGTAATTTATCAAAAAAAAAAAAAAAATTTTATTAATAAAATGCTTATTTTTAATTAAATTAAAATTAAATTAATTAAAAATTTTTATGAATTTATTTCAGGCTTTCGTTGCTATTGGAGATAGCAATGGTCACATTGGCTTGGGTGTGAAATGTTCAAAAGAAGTTGCAACAGCAATTCGCGGTGCTATTATTCTCGCAAAATTGTCCGTTGTTCCAGTGCGTCTTGGTTATTGGGGTAATAAAATTGGTAAACCCCATACAGTACCATGTAAAGTAACGGGTAAATGTGGATCCGTTCAGGTGCGTTTAATACCAGCGCCAAGAGGAACAGGTATTGTTTCGGCACCAGTTCCAAAGAAATTATTGCAAATGGCTGGTATTGAAGATTGTTATACATCAGCAAGAGGTTCAACTTGTACTCTTGGTAATTTTGCAAAAGCCACTTACGCTGCAATTGCCAAAACTTATGCCTACTTGACACCAGACCTTTGGAAAGATGTTGCACTATCAAAGCCACCATATCAGGAATTCGCTGACTATTTGTCGAAAGCACATCGCCCCATTCAGGGATCAAGACCAAATGAGACTGTTTAAATTTAAATTTTTAATTTAAATTCTCAAATAAAGTCTTTCAAAAACAATAAACAATAATTATTGCTTTTTTTTCTGTCCAATAATTATTTAATTACTTATTACCATATTTAAACAAATTTTTTTCATTTTATATTAATTTTTCATTACATTTATTTATTGGGAAATTTCAGTTTTAAAATAGTGTATAAGGCAAATTTTTTTTAATTGCAAATTCTCTAGTTCAGTGAATTTGAATTTTAACTAAATAATATTTGCATATTTTAATTTAACCGAATTTTTATTTATCAATAGATAAATAATTATTTAACAGGGGTATTTGGCCGAATTTTTTAATTGGCAAAATTTGTATTTAGCGCAAATTTATAACCAATCACAATTTACGTGAGAATTTTTTTGAATGGTTAGTTTTAAAATGCGGTCGAATATAAAAGTTCGATTAAATGTGAATTCTATTAAATAAGTGTTTAGTTAAATGGAAATTTTCTTTAAGTGCATTAAATTATGTTAAATTAAAACTAGATTAAATATAAATACTTTGATATAAAAAATTCGATTTAAAATAAATTCTATTTTATAAAATTTAATTAAATAGATATTCGATCTAATTTATATATTTTTTAAATTATTTTAAAATTTTCTACGCAGCACAGTAATATTGGCAAAAATTTTATAATAAATTTTCTGCAAAGACATCCCAAAGTATTAATAAATTTTCTAAAAATAGACTGCAAAACTTTGGTTAAATAATATATATGAAATACATAAATTAACCTTATATTGTTAAATTTTTAAATAAATAAGAATTGTATTATTTAAATATATCATTTAAACATTCAATTTTGAAAAAAAGATAGTACAAATATTTACCGCCAGAGGACTGAGACAGGGTGATAAAACTTTCGAATTTTCCTCTTCTTTTTAGAATTAAATTAAAAATAAATTTAATTTATAAATAATAATAATAATAATTTAATAAATTTTCTTCACTTGAACAAATTTTTTTCACGATTTCACTGTAGGAATTTTTACTTTTTTCTGAAATAAATATTTCAAAATTCAAAAAAGAGGCGGAAGATAAATGAAGCTTTCTGATTGGTTGAAAACCATCTGGCAACTATTATTTCCTGAAAGTAATAAAAAATATATCTATTTTTTCTATAATTTTTGATTATTTACAATCTAATATTTCTCTATGATTATTTAATAAATTATTTTTAAAAAGAAATATTAAACTTTTATAATTAAAAAGAAATTTCAATGTAGAGGGCAGTTGCATTACGCATGCTCAGTTGAGAGTATTTACAGGCTGGCAAGCTGTTCTGAAATCACTTTTTCCCATCTAAAAAATCATTAAACCGTGTTCGTCAAAGTTGAGCTGGCGACATCGACAACGCACTGACGGCACAGACTTATAATATTATTTTTCTTTTTTTGAAAAAGAGTAATTAATTCCTAACGAAATATGCGTTAATCGATGTTTTTCTTGTTTGTGTAATCTTTCTAAACAATGCCTAATAAGTTGTTTATGTGATAAGTGTGTTTTTGTGTGTGTATGTGTGTGTGTGTGTGAGGAAAAAATAGAACCAAAAATGTATCACCACGAGTATGAAAAGAGACTTTTAAAGCCTAGCAACGATGACCACACGGACTCTCCATCACCAACGGGTCTTTCATCGCCCGCATATTATTCACCAACAAAAATTGGAAACAACAGCTACGATCGTTTTATTCCAACGCGAGCTGGAAATAATTGGCAGGTATCATTTTCAATGATATCAGAAAATAGTCGAAGTGGTTTAGTTACAAAAAAAACACGGGAAAATGGTGAAGGTAGTCGTGATGGAATTGCCTATTCGTGTCTATTAAAAAATGAATTACTCGGTGCAAGCATTGAAGATGTTAAAGGTCAATGCGATGAGCGAAGAATATTATCGCCGCTCAGTAGTAAAAATCTTTTTAGGTATATGACACCAACAAAAGATCGAACACTTTTAAACCAGAGTTTGCCTTATTCCCTGTCACCGCTCAGTGCCAAGAGCCAGAAGCTCCTACGTTCGCCTCGAAAGGCAACAAGAAAAATTTCCAGAATTCCATTTAAAGTTCTCGATGCACCAGAATTACAGGATGATTTTTATTTAAATCTCGTCGATTGGTCATCGCAAAATGTTTTAAGCGTAGGACTTGGAAGTTGCGTTTATCTTTGGTCGGCTTGTACTAGTCAAGTGACAAGATTATGTGACTTATCTAGTGATGGAAATACGGTTACATCGGTCGCTTGGAACGAGAGAGGAAACCTCGTCGCCGTTGGCTCACATTCTGGCTATATCCAGGTTAGTTTAAATGTTTTTTTTTATCTTATCCTCAAAATGTCAAAAAAAAAATAAAAATTGCTTTTTAACGATCAATAATAGATAATACTATATTATTGTGTTTCTTACAAAATGAAATTTATTTAAACTCGTAAAATAAATTCTACGTTATAATAAATATATATATATACATTACTAAACGTTTTGCTTAAAACGCATTTTAAAGTCAACAAAACTACTACACAATATTCTGTTATCAAAGCAATTTACATAATGATTCATTTCTCGTTCTTCGTGTCTTGACTTGTATGATATTTAAATTCAAAATCCATTACATTTTTAAATTTGTATATATATCTAAATCGCAGATAGCACTCAAGCAGATTTTAAATACCAACTATTGTTGGTATAATAACTTTTTAAAAGTCTTTTTTTTTTTTTATTTTGCATTTTGTCGTCTTGTGTTTAAAATCAGCATTTTGAAATTTTAAAATATATGTATTCCATTTGTTGCCGTCGTGATAATTTGAATATATACTTTAGGCATAGTGAAAAGAGCAAGCATTTAAATTTAAAAGCTAGAGAAATTTGAATTGTTAAAATATAAAATATACAATGGAAATACTTTTTAAAAATGTATAAATTTTGCTTGTAAATGATGTCCCCTACGAAAAGAAATTTTTCAATTTTAAAAGGGCATTTTCCCTTTTTTCATTGTCCTTAGATAATATGTGTAGCATTAACGCTCCCTTTCTACATATATATCATGGAAAGCTTTAACTTTCACATATATATATAACCCCCCCTAACTCGTGTTTTTCTAATCCCTTATACGTATATATATAGTATATGGTATATATTTCTAACGTCAGCAATATAGTTGAATCTCGAATGCCATCCAGTGAGTTTATATTCCCAACAGTATTTCTTTTTAGAGAGGAAGTATATATTTTAATTCCGTTGGGATTCCTTATTTGAAAATTTTTACTCTTGAATTATGTAGTATTTTTTTTTTTTTCTAAAAAATATTAAATTACATATTGACGGTAAAATTTGGCAAATTTTTTATCTTATTTCAATTCAATTTTATAGGACAATTTATTAATTATGAATAAATTATTTTTATTAATTAAGTGTAAGAATTTTTTAAATTTTCCTTTAATTTATTATATTTAAAAAAGAACTGTAATAGAATAATTTTGTTATGTAATTGTACTTCTATTTTATTGATATATTTTTGATTAGTTTATAGTCTTTTTATTTTTATATTTTATTTTATTTACTTTTGTTAACAAATATGTAATTTTTAATTTCCTTCTTTAAAAAGTAACTTTAACTTTTCTTTAATTTAGTTTTTTATTGAATTATTTATTTTAATATTTCAATTAATGTATCACATTACATTAAAAAAAAAAAAAAAAAAAAAAAAAACAGTAACAACTTATATAAAATAAAAATTTTCATTTTTTCAACTGTGAATTGATATTTATATCACAAAGTCAGTGATTTAAATAAACGTTATAAATAAAAATTGAACAGTATAATTTAAAAAAAGGAGCTCAAAAAAAATAAAGAGATGAACTGAAATATTTGTATTTTATATATTTGTTGAAATTTCAATTTAAAAACATTTAATATGTAGTTTGCTAAATTATTATATTTTTATATATTATTTTTTTCTGAAAGAAAGTTCGATATTTTTCGTGAAAAATAATTAAATTAACATAAAAAATTAAAATAGAAATGTTTGAATTTAAAAAAGATAACTAAATTTTAAAAACAATAACAGTTAAAATAATAATTAATATTTAATTAATTAAACTGCCAAAAATTGAATTCTTTAAAATATGGATACTATAATTCGGATTTTCTAACAATTTCATAATTTTTTTTTTTTTTTTTTGATAATTAATTCAATAACACTCATTTTTTTTATTAAAAGATTAAAAAAGAATAAGAAAAGAAAAGAAAAATTTGCAGAAAATTATTGAATTTTTTTCTTTTGTCTAGGTATGGGATGTGGCAGTGAATAAAGAAGTAAGTAAATTGGAAGGTCACAATGCAAGAGTGGGCGCCTTAGCATGGAATGGAGAAGTTTTATCATCGGGAAGTCGAGATCGATTGATTCTTCAACGAGACGTAAGAACACCATCAGTGGTGGGTGAACGTCGTTTAGGTGCTCACAGACAGGAAGTTTGTGGCCTAAAATGGTCACCAGACAATCAATATTTAGCATCGGGTGGTAATGATAATCGTCTCTATGTTTGGAATCTTCATTCATTATCGCCAGTGCAAACATACACGGAACATACAGCCGCAGTGAAAGCAATTGCCTGGTCACCCCATCATCATGGCCTTCTTGCATCAGGCGGTGGTACTGCCGATCGACATATACGTTTTTGGAATACATTAACCGGTCAACCAATGCAGAGCATCGACACCGGTTCACAAGTTTGTAATCTCGCTTGGAGTAAACATAGTTCGGAATTAGTCAGTACACATGGCTATTCGCAAAATCAAATTCTCGTTTGGAAATATCCCTCATTGACTCAGGTAGCCAAATTAACTGGACATTCCTATCGAGTTTTATATTTGGCAATGTCACCCGATGGCGAGGCAATTGTCACTGGCGCTGGCGATGAAACACTTCGCTTTTGGAATGTTTTTAGTAAAGCTCGTAGTCAAAAAGAAAATAAATCGGTACTGAATTTATTCACTAGCATTCGGTAATTTAATATTATTTAAAAACAAAAAAAAGAAAATTTAAAATTAAAAAACAAAAAAAAATACTAAATGTAATGACATAAGAGAGAACAAATTATATCGTGCATCGAGCTTTCAACTTTTTCTCAGTATGGCGGGGAATAAATTATTATTCTGAGAAAGTCAAAGCTTGTTTGCTCTAATAATGTAAATAACAAAATGGTAATGAAAAAAAAAAATTAATAACATTTAAATGTTTTATATTCTTTAAAAGAATTTTTCAAATACAAGTTTTAGTAGAGAGAGAGAGAGAAACCATTAACTGGTTTTTTTTTTTTAATTGTAAAGCTTTGCAGTCTGCAAAGTGACGAGCCAATTCTCGTGCAATACTTTAACACTGCACCTTTCATCCGATTTTCAATTTAAATGATAATTATAATTTTTCAAAAAGGTTATTTTTCTTTGGAATATGTTTTTAAAAGTCAAAAATATGTTCTTGAATTAATAAAAAATAGACTTTTTGCAAATGATTCAAATTTGAAATAATTAATTTTTTTCAAGTCATATTTATAATCGTGAGGAAAAATTCAATTTTTAACAAAAATTAATTAGATACAGTTTAAAATTATAGAATTAAAAAAAAAATGTAACTTTAATCTAAAACAATTTGTTAACATAATTATTTGTTTAAAAAATTTTAAATAGAAAATAATATTAATAATTATTTTAAAATAATAAATATATATTTAATATTTTAATATTATTATTATTATTATTATTATTATATTATTTTAATAATATTTTCTATTTCCAAACTTAAAATTTTGAACAATTAATAAAAGTAAAATAGGTATTATCAAATATAAGAATTCATTAATTTAAAATTACTGAAAAAATCCCCTCGAATGAATAAATTTTGGTAGAAGTTTAAATTAATAATAAAAGAAAATCGGAGTCTCAATACATGAAAAAAAAAAAATTGTTAATTTCGGGGAAAAGTGCTCTATATGCTCTAAAGTTTGCAGATTGTCTCTTTAGAATAAAATACATATTCTAATAAAACAAAAAAAAAATAAAATAAAATTTTGTCTTTCTATCTGCGGAGTTAAAGATTTTTCTTTTCTTTGAAAATTGTCAAACCGCCTACCTCTAATCAGAATATTAGTTTATAAATAAAAAATCTGCGGTAAACTTGTCAGTCATGTATAAAATATGTTGACCAGGATTAATGAATTGACTAATTTATATTAAACATAATATAAATATAAAATATATATTATATTATATATATATATATATATCGCAAAGTTAAATTTGCTTTACGATTATAAAGAAAGTCGACAAAGATAGAATGGAGTACAAATAATGGTCAGAATAATGTTTTGGGTATAGTAGTTTAAATTACGACTTTTTTTTTATTTTATTTTTTTTTCTAGGATTGAGGAATTCGAATTGTTTAACATTTCGAAATTTCATATCGCGTTGCTTTAAGGCACCCTTAAAAATTTATATAAAGGCTGATACGTTTTGTATTAAAACAAAATAAAAAAAAAACAGAAGAGCAAGACTATTATAAAAACTAACGTACTACATAATTGAAAAATTGACTTATATTATTATTTAAAAAAAAAATTCTTTTCTTTTACACATATGCTTTCTTCCTTTTTTTTCTTGAACTTTAGCAATAGTAAATCTAAGCGTAGGTTTAATTTGTGATTTATTAAGTTCTCTGGTCAAAGATCGCTTTGTTGAAAAAAATATTTTATTTTACACATGTTATTAAATTACATGTGGTTTTAATAAAAAAAAAAAAAAAAAAAAATTCTACCGAACGAAAGTGATCATGAAATTTGTAAAATTTCATTTAATTTAATTTTTTTTTTTTGAATTTATTTAAAAATTTACCCAAGTTTAAAAAAATCACATTTTGTATCGGAATTTTTACAAATATCAAGATCAATTATTTCATTATAATGAAACCATGAAATGTTTCAATATTATATTTACATAGAAACACTTTACATTTAAAGAAGGGGAGGGAGAAGAAAAACAACATCGTCTTGAAATGACAAGTAAAAATAAAAAATTTAGTAAAACTAATTTCGAATTTTTAGTTTGATGTACTAAGTAGATATATGTAAAACGGTGATTTTTTTTATGTGTTGTGTGGCGAGCAATGCGTTTATATATATTATATATGCTTTTTTTAGCGTAGTTTATCCTTTGGAATTCAAAAATGAATTGATTTCCCTTCAAATGAAGAATTAATCTACTAATTATACATATATTAATTCTTATATACATAATAATATTATGTCTCTAGCTTTTTGAATTTTGTGCAATCAATCATTTTTGAAAATTGTATTTTGATATAATGTATAGTTCTCTTTAATATAGTCATTAGAAAGAAAGAAAAAAAAACAGTAATCTAAACGTGCGTCGAAAAAAAAAAATACTTGTTGAAAAATTTATCAAGTTTTTTGTCGTTTTCATGATTAAATATCGTTCGTTAGAGAAATCATTGTACAAAAAGAAAAAAAATATAAAAATAAAAATTAGCGATCTTCTCGAAAATTGTGAATTTGTGTAAAAAAAAAAAAAAAAAAAAAAAAAATATGGAAAATGTTTTGCAACAAGATAAATTCGATATATTTTAGTTTCATTTTTTGGAAAAATTTATTTTACTTCTAATTTTTTGATATGAATATTAATTTATTTGATTAAAAAAAAATTTCTCTTTTTAATTGTTTAATTAAATTCTTGTTGCTTAACTTTTGGTCTTTTGAGGAAATTCTTTTATTTTTTATTTCCAATTAGTAAATTCATTTTAAACTGATATCAACAGTAACTAGTAAATATTTAATAATAAAATATTGAAAACTGTAATATGCAAGTAAAACAATAGCTGAAAAAGCATTAATGACACATACATACATACACACACTGTATCAAGTCTGTTAAAATGAACAAACAGACTATAATACTAGACGAACATAATTTAAAAATAGCGTGATGCAATCTAGTATATATATTTTTTATGTATTTGATTTATACAGAATTATATCGAAATATATTTTCTCTTGGCAAACAATAAATCTGAAAATAAAGAAATTGGTCTTTTTTTCTCTAATTCACGATATATATTTTTTTCTGGGTAAAGAAAAACAATTTTTCATAAATATATATATAATACAAATTCTATGTATTTTATATTATTTTTTTTACAGTAAAATAAATTCCTGATATAAAAGTAATTATTATCAAATAGTTAAGATATTTTCTAGTTTAAAACTAGTTTTAATATTTTCATAATTCAAAATAGTTTTTTTTCCTTCTATTTTATTTAAACATTTGTTTTTGTTAAATTGACTGATAAAAGTTGTTTATCAAAAAAATTAATCGTAATGATATAAAATAATCATTATTTGAATTATTAATTATAATAATAAAAAAAAAAAAAAAATTAAAAAGTTTCAATAAAGAAAAGAAAAAATACTTTAATATTTCTAAATTCTTAAAATTACAGCTTACGTATCCGGATCTTCAGTTGTTTGGTGTTTCTTTTTTTTCTTCTTTTTCTTTTCAGATGAACTTGTTGCTAAATATTCATCTGGAATTGCGGATTCTTCATCTTGTACTTCTTCTTTAACTTTTTTTTTCTTTTTCTTTTTTTCACTGCCAACAGATTCGGCAACTTCTTCTTTTGGAGTTACTTCTTCCATTTCCATAGCTTCAGCTTGATCTTTGTCCTTCTTCTTTTTCTTCTTCTTCTTCGGTTCTGTAAGACAATTATTTTTTATATATATATATTTTTATCAATAAAAAGTATTTTACATGAACTTATAATAATTTAATGAATATTTTTTAAATTATAAATTATTAAAAAGAAAAATTATTTATTTTGATATAAATGCTTACAATTTGTTATTTTTTTTATAAGATTTTTACGGGTAGTGCCTGTTATTTTATAATTTATTTTTTGAAAGAAGTTTTTTTTTTTTTATTTTCATGATTTATTTTCAATTTAAAAAATTTAATTAATTTATTTTCATGTTTCAATTTAAATGGATTAAAATATAAAAAAATACGTACCGGATGTTTCAGCTTCCTCAACTTTCATGGACTCATCGGCCTCTTCTTCGGGTTCCTGTTTAATTTTCTTCTTTTTCTTCTTAGGTGTAACAAATTCCTGTTCGGGTTCTTGTACTCCCTCAGTCTTATCATCATCATCATCATCATCTCCATCGTCTTTCTTTTTCTTCTTCTTTGGAACCTCCTCTGTTTTAATTTCCTCAATTAATGGTTTCTTCTCCTCAGCCTCGGAATATCGTCTCTTAGTTGTTGTCAATGTAGAATCAGCAGCAGTTGGATATTGAAGAATTTCACTTTTCGTTTGATATTTCTCAAATTTCGCTTTCACCTTACCAGTACCACTTAGTTTACGTAAATTTCCCTCCTCTAACATTCTCAATTTTGCCTCAAGTTTTGCCTTATGTTCAGCACCAAAATCAAAATTCACATCCTCACCAAGTGCATCAACTCTAATTGCCAATGATGCCTTGGCAGCCAACATACGTGACATTTTTCCCTTATTTTTCGTCGAACTCGAACCAACTAATTGCGCATGATAAATTAAACCATATTTTGGTGTATCTTTCTTTGTTTTAAGTGCTCGAAATAGTGCTTTTTCAGCGCCAAGAATTTGTACTGTCGATGCTGGATGTTTTGCAAGATTAATTAATGAACCAGCATGAGAAATTAATCGTGCACCAACTAAATCACCAACAAGAACAGTTAAATTTGGTGCCATTGCCAACATTCTTGCTTTTAAATAATCATATAATTGTGAACGATATTGTGAAATTTCAATAACTTGATCACATAAATGTTGTATATTTATAATATCATCGTGTGATATTTCTGTGCCCATTGAAATTTCAGCTGCCTCTTTTACTTTTTCCTCAACATCTTCCGGTAATATATCTGATAAATCACTGGATGATGCATTTTCTCGTGTACCAATTATTTTCACTGTTTTTACAAATGCCACATTATCGGTAATTAATTTTCCCAATTCGGGAAAATGCCATCCATACCATTCGCGACAACGCATTACATAATTATTTAATTCTTTATCAAGATCATCAAGAAGACAGACAGCTTGAATTATCATTGTATCAATTTTATCGGGTGAAAATTTTAATTTATATCTTGAGAGACTGTGAGCTAAACCAAGTGCCATTGCTGTCATTTCCTTTTTGGGAAAACCAGCAAGAAGACTATCCATTTGACTTCGAATGCATCGCATTAATTCTTGAACATTTGTATTGCTTACACATGATAAACTTAATTTATCTTTAATAGCATTACCTAATTTTGCATCGGCAACAGCAAGTTGTTCTTGTACTTCGGAACAATATTTTTTTAAAATTTTTTTCAACGATTTACTCACTTTTCCCTCAACTGCTGCGGTTGTTGCTGCCAATGCCTCAGTTGTATCGGCAAACTTTTCGAAATGTTTTAATTTCACCCTGTAAATTTTGAAAATAAATTAATCATCTTGTGAAAATTTTTTTTTTATTTGTTAGATAAGTTTTTCAATTTTACTTTTAACAATTAAATATACAAGAATTTTATGAGCCAAAAGTTTTAAACGTTGAAATGAACAAAATTTTTGTTTTAACTTCTTTAAGTACGAATTTTATTACAAAATATTGTTTTAAATATCTAAAAAGAAATTATTAATTTAATTTACTGTTTTATTTTACATTGACATTATAATTTCTAATAATTTATAGATTGAAAAAAATATTTTTTGTTCATTTGAACGTTCAAAATTTTTGGCAGATGGAATTTTAACATTTTTCTATAAAAATCTGTCAGCAACAATTCTCATAATTTATTATATATATAGATAATAAATGAGAAAAAAAAAAATATTTAGTTGACTTAAGAATTAAAACAGTAAACTTGAGAATTAAATGAATATGATAAAAAATCACTAAATTATAAACAAATTATATTAAAGCAAATAAAAATTATGATTTATGTCAAAAATAATTTAAAAAAAAAAAATTTGTTTAACTTACACTCTGCCTGCAGCTTCTGGCGTTTCGAAATCATGATAAAGGTTATCTGTTTTGGCTAGTTTGTTTTCATCCAATAACTATAAAAAAAATTAATTACTTATTAAAACAAACAAATATAATTGCCCATTCAAAATATAAGCAATATTTAACAATATTAACTATTAATGTACTTTAATATTTATTATAAATTATTATTATATCATTCTTTAAATGACCACGTGTCTAAATATTTTAAGGTTATGTTTTGATTATTTACAAAAAATTAATAATTTTTACCTTAAAAATTGCATACCCCGCAGGGGTTTCAAATAGTACTAACATTGTACTAGTTTTTTACTTAAATATTGTAGCACTTTTTTAGTTTTTTAAAAAAATAATTATATTTTTGTTTGACACCGCACGCGGAAGTAAAGCATGCAGCCGACTAACTAAACAGTCGGTAAAACAATAGATGTCGCTTCCTATCATTTCTTCACATGTCTGCGAAATTTCGAAAAATCGTGATTGACATTTAACCTTAAAAAAAATATTGCTATAGATTTAGTAAGGCAAACTTATGAAAAATAATTTGTTTAAAAAAAAAATAAATAATTAGAACGTCAGTTAAAATATGTCAGATTTTTTAGACACCGAAGAGCAGGACGATAATAATGATTTTGATGTGATAATCGTTGGTTCTGGATTAACAGGACTAACTACTGCTTATTTTCTTCTTAAAAAAGAAATTGGTTTAAATGTTCTTATTCTTGAGGCAACTGGTGAGTATTTATTCTATTATATTTAATTTTCATATTTTCATATTAGTAGATTATCAATTATCGAAATTTAAAAAAATATATATATATATTTAAATAGAAAACATTGGTGGGAAAATATTTCTTACTGAAGAAAGCAAATGTTTTTATGCACATCCTTGTCAAATAAATATAGTAGAATTATTAGATGAATTAAATATCGTATCCATTTCGAAAAGAAAATCATCTTCAAAGGAGAGAATATATTTAACAAAATCTGGTCCATATCGAAAATTATCATCTTACATTTCAGCTCAAATTTATAATTTTCTCACATCGGTGATTTAATTAAATAATTTAATTATAAATTATAATTATTATTATGTATTTTAATTATTTATAAAAAGAATATTGAATAATGATTAAATATATTATTTTTATTTTTTTTTTTATTAATAATTTTGTTTATTTTTCATTATTGAATTTTTTATTTTAAAAAAGAATAAAATATTGTACATTTGGGATAAATTCATGCAACAAAATTAAATAATAATCTTATTTGAATTAATGCTTCAGTTTTGTTTTCTTATTATTTTCAGATTCAAAATATTAGCTTAGATTTTCAACTAAATATGCATTCAGAGGAAGATGCTAATTTTTTGTCAAACATGAGTTTAGATCAATTATCATCTAATTTTGTTACGTGGGGCACTGCAAGATCAATTTGTCAAAGTTTGCTATTAACTTCCTGTGGTAAGGAAAAATTTAAACAAAATTTATAATTTACTTATTAAATTAATAATTAATATATATATATATATAATAATTAATTAAATATTCTAAAGGTATAAGTAATCTTAAAAAAGTATCAACTTTGTGGTATTTATTTTTGCTCAATGGAGCAGGAGGTTTTTTTCAAAGATTAAAAATTACTCTAGGAGATGAAAAACGATTCTTTATCAAGGTTATTGTTATATTTTAAATGAATTTTTTTTTTTTAACTAGTTTAACGTCCGAGAAATATATTAATTAGAAGGTTTCGTATGAATAAAAAACGATAACATTCGGACCATTGTTGTTTTAATAAAAGTTTACTCCAACGTTTCGAAATCTAAATGATTTCCTCTTCAGGGAGTCTATCAAAATTACAATAAATTGTCAAATAAACAAATACAAAAAAATAAAAAATAATTAAATTAAATACAGTGAAACATCAAAAATAAATACAGTCAATAATTAATAAATAAAATACAATAGATAGTAAAAAATAAAAAATAAAATAACAATAATAAGTAATAATTAAAAACAAAACAATTTAAAATAATCTTACCAAATAAGAAACATATGTCAAGTCATAGAAATAATGGTCAATTGCGGTGTCAATTAATAAAAACAAAACCACCCTAACGTTGGAGAGAAACATAGAGTCTGGAAATCAAATCTAAAATTGAATAATCAAATAAACTGTAAATTAAAAATTATATAAAGAATAAATTAAAAATTATATAAAGAATAAATTAGTAAAGAATAAATTAAAAATTTGAAAATTAAAATAAAATAAAAGATTACATACCAATCAAACCATTTTTTAAAAAAATTTTAATAATTGAACAGACACATTATAAAACAAAACACATGATAAATAAATAAATAAATAAATAAATAAATAAAACACATAATCTATAAATGAACAATATAAATTGAAATAAATAAAATAAAATAAAATATTAAGTGTTCTTTTCCCAACGTCAACTTTAAAACGTAGAAAGGAAAAATCTAATAACCACAAATACAAACATTGCTAGATTTTATGGTCTACCTAAAATTCATAAAGAAAATTGTCCTCTTAGACCAGTTGTATCAACCATAAATTCTCCTACGTATTATATGTCAAAAATGTTTACCAATATTCTAACTAATTCTTTACCAAAACCTTTTTCTTATATAAAAAATTCATTTTCTTTTAAAAACTCAATTCAAGATTTAAAAATACCCGCTGATTATATAATGATATCTCTAGATGTTTCCGCTTTATTTACAAATGTCCCAATTGAACTGGTAATGAAAGGTATTGAAGATAGATGGTTATACATAAAAGAACAAACTAAAATTCCGAAAGACGAATTTAAAAATTGTATAGTTTTTATTATGAATAACATGTTTTTCCAATTTGACAATAGGTATTATAGACAAAAGTTTGGTACCCCGATGGGTTCCTCCATTTCTCCTATTTTGGCTGACATAGTCATGCAAGATTTGGAGGAGAATATTATAAACAATTTAGATTTCGAGGTAATATTTTATAGAAGATACGTTGATGATACGTTTTTATGTGTTCCAAAGAATAAAGTCTCCGTGACTCTTGATGCCTTCAATTCCTTTCATGAAAGATTGCAATTCACTCACGAAATAGAATGCAATAGTGAAATTAGTTTTCTGAATTTAAAAATCATAAGAACTAAGGACAATAAAATCATCACAGATTGGTACAGAAAAAACACTTATTCGGGTAGACTTTTAAATTATCATTCAAACCATCCATTTGTTTCTAAAATTGCAATAATTAAAAATATCACTGATACTGCAATTATTCTTTCTGATGAATGTTTTCACAAAAAGAACATTGATTTAGTCACAAAAATTTTAAGATTAAATAATTATCCAGATGAATTCATCAAAAAACACGTTACAAAAAGAATCTTAGAAATTAAAAACAAAAATTTATTTAAATTAAATAATAATGATGTTGACAATATTAGTAAGGAAGAAAAAAGTGTTGTATTTCCGTATTATGGACGAATATCAGAAAATATTAAAAGATTACTTAAAAAATTCAATATTAAAACTATTTTTAATGTTAATTCAAAACTTGATCATTTTATTAGACTCGGAAAAGATAAACTTGATGGATTAAATCAATGTGATTGTGTTTATAAGTTGGAGTGTAGTTGTGGAAAAACATATGTTGGTCAAACAAAAAGACCTTTACATATTCGTAGATTAGAACATATGAAAAATATTGAATTAAATGAAAAATATCATAATGTTATCAGTGATCACTTAACGAGTTGCAAAAATGACACTTTTTCACACTTTATAAAATGGGATGAATTTGAGATATTGCATGTTGAATCAAATCTAAAAAAACGATTATTTGCTGAAATGTGTTTTATTAAAAAAGAAGGAAAAAATAGCTTAAATAAAATGACAGACTTGGAAAATTTTGATAAGTCGTATGAAATAATTTTGAATTTTATTTCTAACAATTTAAAATGAAAAATTGCTCATTTTCGTTATTCTCTATTTCTCATACAATTGTTTTTGTTTTTATTTTCGTGTTTGTTCAATTGATAATTTATTGTAAAGAGTCGATAGTGTTTGGAGATCAGTTTTAAAGTTGACGTTGGGAAAAGAACACTTAATATTTTATTTTATTTTATTTATTTCAATTTATATTGTTCATTTATAGATTATGTGTTTTATTTATTTATTTATTTATTTATTTATTTATCATGTGTTTTGTTTTATAATGTGTCTGTTCAATTATTAAAATTTTTTTAAAAAATGGTTTGATTGGTATGTAATCTTTTATTTTATTTTAATTTTCAAATTTTTAATTTATTCTTTACTAATTTACTCTTTATATAATTTTTAATTTATTCTTTATATAATTTTTAATTTACAGTTTATTTGATTATTCAATTTTAGATTTGATTTCCAGACTCTATGTTTCTCTCCAACGTTAGGGTGGTTTTGTTTTTATTAATTGACACCGCAATTGACCATTATTTCTATGACTTGACATATGTTTCTTATTTGGTAAGATTATTTTAAATTGTTTTGTTTTTAATTATTACTTATTATTGTTATTTTATTTTTTATTTTTTACTATCTATTGTATTTTATTTATTAATTATTGACTGTATTTATTTTTGATGTTTCACTGTATTTAATTTAATTATTTTTTATTTTTTTGTATTTGTTTATTTGACAATTTATTGTAATTTTGATAGACTCCCTGAAGAGGAAATCATTTAGATTTCGAAACGTTGGAGTAAACTTTTATTAAAACAACAATGGTCCGAATGTTATCGTTTTTTATTCATACGAAACCTTCTAATTAATTTTTTTTTATTGATTTTTAATGAATTTCCAATATTTATCAGTAAATTGTATTTAATTTTTTTTTGTCTTTTAATTAAAACAAAAAACCTATTATGCGAAAAATAAATAGAAAATTAATAGATTTTGTTCTAATAATAATAATAAAAAAAAAAAAAAAATTTTTACACTCATATATAATGAATTAGAATGGAATGGCTGAATTAGTAAAAATTTTATCAAGTACAATAAAAAAGAAACAAGGAGTTATAAATTGTTTGGAACCAGTTTCAAATATACAATTTAGCGACACCAGAGCTTATGTAACGACAAATAATAAATTATACAAGTAAAATTTTACAATTATCTTGAAGTAGGAACCAATTTTTTGAATTTATATTGTCTCAAATGTTCCAGATTTTGAAAATATATTTTTTCATAAATTATTTTATTAAAAATCAATTAATATTATTTATCTACTTTTTTTTCTTTATTGATAAAAAGTAAACTTTCATGTAGTTATTTTAACATCAAAACGAAAGAACACTACATTCCAAAAAGATAAAAAAATGAAAACAGAAAAAATGTTAAAAATCTTTTTGAAACGAAACAAATTTATTTCCCCTATTTAATCTTATTTTTAGATGCGAATACGTTGTAGTGGCAGTGCCACCACCTGAAAGTGTCGAGATAACCGTTCAACCTTCATTATCTCCAATTTTATCAAAGGTTCAGACCCTCTTTGAAAATGGGAAAAATCTCTTTTTTACTGCCACATTTAGACAAGAGTTTCGAAACGCTAATTATAATTGTCCAATGAATATTATCACTACTCCAGATTGTGACTCAAGTTTAAAATTCCTTTACGATTCTACACATTCCAGCAATAAATCACAACTAGTTCTTGCAGGTTTTCTTAATGAGTCGAATTTTCAAACTCGCAAGAAATTCAATTTTTTCACTACTTTAAATCAATGTTTTCGAGGTGATTCTAAAAAAAATTGCATTATTTACAAAGAACGAAAATTCAATTTTTCTAATAATAATCAAGAATCAATTTGCGTATCAGGATGTCCAATGAGTTTCTTTATTCCTTGTGATTTTAAACATTATTTTAATCCCTTGTCTCTCACCAATGGAAGGTTTTATATTTTTTTTTTAAATTAATTAGAAAATCATTAAATTATCATTATCATAATTTTTCAAACAATTTATATATATGGGAGAAATATTTATTTTTTTTTTTTTTTTTGAATTTTAGAATTAAATTTATTCAAAATTAAATATTAAAAATAAAAAAAATTAATTATATATTATAAAATTAAAATTCTATTAAATATATCTAGTAATTATTTTTATTTATAAAAAGAATTTTCTATGCTGCGAGTGAATATGCAAAAAATTGGCCTGGAACAGCCGATGGAGCAATTGAAGCTGGAAAAATTACATCATTGGCGATTCTTTGGCGAATACGACCCCAATCTCTTAGTAAATCAGATTTATCTTTCTTCAGGTATTCTTTAAAATTCTTAAAAAAAAAATCATCATAATGATAATATATTATTATTTATTATATATCATAAATTTTTAAACTTCATTTCTTTTAGTATTCGTCCCAAAAAATTTCGTCAAATGACAATAAGATTTTCGCTAATTTATTATTTGTGCTTAGCAACAAATATTTGCATTTTCTGGTCGTTCATTAAAAAAGCCTATTAATTATTACCAACGAAAAAATTTAATGAGTAATTGACAATATTAATACCTATTAAAATATTAATTTTTAGTATTTAAATTAAAAAAAAAAATATATAATAAAATTGTTTCGGTTCCAAGTTAAATAAATATTATGTAATATCTTTTTATTTTTCTTATCTATATCGAAAGTTTCAAATTTGATGAATGATAATACACTTCGAAATCGATTAAATAATAAAATCAAAGTTCACTATAATGCTGAAAAAAAGATAACAATTTTTTTTTCTAATTTTTCTTATTGCAATTTGTATTATATTATTGAAATATCAGTGGCCGAAAATACTTTTTTTTTTAAGTATGGATACAAAAACCTTATCTGGTTTTGGGGAAATAAAATCAGAATTAAAATTCGATGGGGTGAGTAATTTACAATATTATGGAAAAAAATTTGTAAATTAATTGATTAATTAATATTGTTTTTATTTGCAAGTTTTTGGATTGGTTTGTCGCTTATAACGATGTACATACATTGTGGCGAGCACAGCCTACATATTTAATTGTTTCTATATTATTTATCGTCGGTGGACTCATCACTTTTTATCACGGTAATAACGCACACAAAAATGTAATAATTTACATTCCTATATTTATGTAAAAAATTACACTCTTTCAAATAAAGAAGACATATTTGAATATTCAATTTAATAATTTTAAGTTTTCTTTTTTAAATTAATTATTTAAAATTTAGGGGAAATTATTAAAAAAAAAAATTTTGAATATTATGATTTTTAAAATTATTATAAATATACAATGATTAATGTTATATTTTATTAAATAATGAAAGAATTAAAAAAAAAAAAATTATAAAAATAGTAAAAGAACTAATTTTTATTTATCATTTTTTTTTTGTTTTTTTTTATCAATTTTTCTTTTCAGTCAATATAAGAATATTGTAATAATTAAAAATTGGATATGCAATTAGGAACAAACTTCAAAAAAATCAATCATCTTAAAATCTATAGAGTCACTTCAAATATTATTCACGCACGCAAAATTGACAATTTTTTTTCGTATATTTAATTCACACACTTAAAATTGAATTTATTTTCAGCACTAAAATCTGGAGGTCGTTTTATTCAATTATGGATTGGTGTAATTTGCCATGGATTAGTAGTGGAAATTGTATGCTACAATCTTCCAGATATTGACAATTTTTGGCATTCACCAACACCAATAATGTTTCTAGGACGTCGTTTGCCATTGCATATAATATTTCTTTGTAGGCACAGTATAATCGATGATTTTCTTATTATAATAATGACTTTTTTTTTTTTTGTCATAGACCTCAATTTTTAATTATTAATTTAATCATTACAATAATATATTTTTATATTCTATATTTTTCACATTCCAAAAAGTTTTATTCAAAAAAAAAGGGGGTTGAAAATTCTAAATAACAAAAATCAAAATCTAGACAGTGATTTAAATAAAATTTTCAGATGCTGTTTTTATATACACTGCAGCTATTACAATTGATAAATTAAAATTACCATTATGGAGTGAACCATTTGCAGTTGGATTAATGGTCAATTTATTAGACTATCCTTACGATGTGATGTCTGTTAAATTTGTACATTGGGTGTGGCATGACACGGATCCAAATATTTTCGATCGTCATTATCACGTTCCATGGAATTCTTATTATTTTCATGCCACATTCGCTGCAGGATTTATATTTTGGTTTTATTTTACAAGACGATTCATTATTAAGAGTAATGATCCCAAAAAATCTGGACCGTAATTAATTATTTATCAATTTTACAAAACAAAAAGTGTCATTTAAATATGTAAAGAAATTTAATTTTTATTTTAATTAAAAAATTTCTTTTCATCTTAATTATTCACTTTGGAACTAATAATAACAACTTTGGTTTAATATAAACTTTTTTTTTCCTCCTTATAGATTTTCCAAGGAATTACTTTGCACTTTGATAGCCTCATTTTTGGGAATGCCCACTGGTGTGTTAATGTTTATACCAAACTATCATATTTTACATGATATTTACAATTTACATTCAGAATTAACTTATCATTTACTTCTTGGTATTTATGTCGTTATAATATTCAGTGGTATTTTAAGTCTCAAAACTCTACCTCAACATTCACGAAATTGTCAAGATTATTTAATACTCGTCTACTTAGCAATTTACTATTCAGTATACTTTGGTAAGTTTGGAATGCTAATTGTCAATGTAATTCCTACTTGTAAAAACTAATGAACAATTTTCACAAATTCGGCAGTTTTTTTTTTACTTATTTTTAAGTTACTTTCATTGAGATTTTTTTTTTTAAACCGAGCTTTTAAACACAAACATTGAAAAATCTTGTACGAACTTTCAAATATGATTTTAATTTATTTCTAAAATACAGGAATGGCTCTTATTGGCAATCCAGAATCAGAAATTGCAATGGGATTACATGAACCAATTGGACCGTGTGATAAAAATGTGTCTATAAAAACTGCATTTGGACAAACACTTTATAAACGAAAATACCTGTGCGTTACAGATTATGATGAATCATATTTTGGATGGTCTTGTTTATCTGATGGAAAACCACCAATTGGAAAAATTGCCGATTATTATACAATTTGTGGTACACCATTTGAAAATAGAATGGAATATATTATTTTAATGTTGACAATAACAATTATTGCTGCCGGTATATTTTTAAATATATTTCTTCGGACAACTATCAAGAAAAATGCACTCAAAAAGAAAAATTAGAACTTACAATTGTGCAAAAATTTCATTCCCATTATAAAAAATTTTTTTGCAAAAATCTTGAGGAAAAAAAATATATATATTATTAATACTATTTACAATATTATGCATATTATAAAATTCAAAACGTGTTTTTTTGTAAGAAAAAATTCATTGTTTAAAAACATTTTGCGCTATTGTGTCCGTCGTTGATTTTATCACACATACACACAATTCAAGCCAGTGTGAAATATATTAGATTTTTAAGTATCACAGTCTCAAAAGAAATTTATGCATAATTTTCGATAAAATTCATTTTAAAACAATTAAAATATCACTCGTTTTGAAGAATAAAATGATTGGTTATTTTAAAAAAATTTGAAATATATATGTATTATTAATTTCAATAAAATTTAAATTTGAGTAAAATAATACGTGATTGCAAATGCAATTATTAAGAATATCAATGCAAAAATTAAATATTTTGTCCAATTTCTTGAACCAGATTTGGTTTTGTCATTTTGATGTGTTCGATCTTTTATCTTACGTTTTGGTTTAAATTTCTTTTCAAACATTTCTATTTCTTTTTTATTACGTAATTCCTCCTCTTTATTTTTTTTGGCTATTTCTAATTCACGTGTTTTTTCTAATTCATCTTTTATCTTTTGACAAATTTCATCACACTTGACAATGCCATTGCCATTGCGAATTTGAATACAAGAAAATTCTTTTTTCAGTCTTTTACATTTACACCAGACCTTGACTTTTTTGTTGCATAAGTCCTCCTTTAAACATAATCCAGAATGACAAATATCAATACAACGATGTCCACAGGAATACTGAAAAATAGAATTCAGAAAAATATTTTCAAAGAATATTAAAATTATTTATTAATTAAATTAAAAATCTAATTTAATTAATTAAATTTTTGATACTCACATTTTTTGGACACTGATTACCACATCTTAAAATTTCATCCTTCTGTTGTTTATTTGCTGAAGTAAGTTCAGTGCATCGTTTATATAGGAAATTAATACCACAATGACATCCAATTCGAACAAGTTGTTTACAAGGAGCACAAGGAGCCGGATGGCAAACTTTCAAACACGAATGATTACAACCTTCGGGTCTTGGAATAACGCAAGCTTTCTCACATACCATACATTTATCTTCATCATCATTATCATCATCATTATTAGCATTATCTTCATCATTATCGTTTAAATAAATTTTATGACACAATTTTTCACAATTATGATTTGTACAAGTCAACAATCTTCCACATTCTCTTAAACATGAGCTAGGAATTGCCTTATGACAAGGCCACGGTAATGTCTCATGTCCACCAAGACAAGTGACCATAACAGAAACTTCACATGGTGGACATGGAAGTGTTTTCATTTTCCAATGTTCCTTTCGATTATTATCCCAAGGTGCAATCGGTGGTAAATCAGCATTGATTTTTATTTTTATCCAAACTTTTGTATGACAAACAGAAGGACACGAGTGTCCACATTTTTTATGAACAAGAGCACAAATTTTCTTACACGGTGGACAAGCGCCACGATGACATTTATGCGATTCACGTTTTGAATGATGACAAACTGGCGGTATTTTACAAAGTTTATTACAATTTGGTGGCTTAATTCTTTTCATTGAGCCACAGGGTACGGTAATTTTACTACTTCCACAACGACATTGAATAACATCAATTCTAGTGCACGGATAACATGGACCACTATGACAGGGAGCAGCGCATTTATGTTTTTGACAATTTAATTGATTATCACAAATCTTCTCGCAATTGTTAAATGTATTTTTAATTAAACAATCGCAACATTTTTTATTACAATGATGCCTACCGCATAATCTCCATTGTGTGCATTTTTTATTACAATGAAAATCTTTTGTACAGGCAATTTCTTTTTGAAAATTACCACAACGACATGTTTTCATTACCACTTCTAAACATTGTCCACATTTTTCCGTGTGACATCTCATATTACAAAAATGTTGACCACAATCTAAAAGTTTGCCACAAGTATCGCCACAAGTTGGCACTTGTTGTTGTTTACATGAGACGGAATATTTTTTTTTACCACATGGGCATGTGCGATTTTTCTCCACTGGACATTCTCTACAATCGCCAATTTTATGGCAATGACCTTCGCAAAAATGAACATTACATGAAAAACTTTGACCGCATGGTTTATCACAAAACCAAATTGATTCATTGCATGGAAGTGATTTAATTTTGTCTTGACAATTACATGAGGCAAGTACAATTTCAGTACAAGGTGGACAATCATCTTTATGACATTCCATTTGACAAGTGTGAGGGCATGATTTATATTTTTTTGAACAAATACTTCCACAGCTCCATTCTTTCATGTTACATCGACGGGGGCGAGCTGGTTGTTTGCAGCAAAAACATTTGACAGTGACTGTCTTTGGACAAGGTGGACATGGTCCTGGATGACAGAGAAGAAGACATTTATGTCCACAATTTGGTTGAAGATATTTTCCACATGATTCACCGCATGAATGTGGAATTGACCATGGTTGATATGGGGGATCAATTGATTTTCCACAAAAGCAAATATATTTTGTTGGTATTTCATTTTCTTTATACTCAGTGCGACATTTTGGACTAAAAGAAAAATTTCAAAATTATTATTACATAACTGAAAGAGACGATGTCGAACAATATTTTAACAATTTTTATTTTCAATAGATCAAATTCAAGGAATTGTGTTATTTTTATGGCTGTTTCTATTTCGCCCGTCGCGGGCGAACTAATTAATTTCTGTTATTTCGCCCGTCGCGGGCGAAATAGATACGACTGTGTGAACTGGCTATTTCGCCCGTCGAAATGAATGTGTTTTAGAAGACGGGCAAAATAAGAAAAATAGATTATTTCGCCCGTTCAAGATAAAATCGAGTATCTGGAAGACGGGCGAGTATATTATTTCGTCCGTGAAATTATTTTAACTTTTATTTTGCAATTTATGTTAAATATCATATATTTGATAAACAAATTTGATGGTCTCATTTATTTTTTGTGTTTCGATAAAAAAAAGGGTTTTTATGATTTCTTTCTCAGCAGAATCATGGTTTTATATATCAATGTGAGATTATACTCGTATATTCTTTAAATATTGAAAACGACGGTGCGTTGTTTGAAAATCTATTTGGTATCGAAAGTAGTTCATATGACATTCTTTATTTTGATTGTCTTCAATTTTATTTACTCGTTGAATTTAGAGATGCAAATATACAAAAATTTCAGAAATAGTCGATTTTTGAATTCTTATTTAAATTACAAAATTAAAATCCACAATTTTTATTACCAAAGTTTAATAAACAAAATTAAAAAAAATTTTTTTTTCATTTTTCATGAAAAAAATTTTTTAAAATAATTTTTTCAATTTTTAAGAAAAAATTTTTTGCAATTTTTTCGTCAACAATTTTTAAAAGAAAAATTTATAAAACATATTAAAAAATATTATTAATTATTTGAAAAAATATTAATATTTTTAAATCGATGACGATCAATTTTAATTGTTTTCGACTTCAACATCGTAATTTTAATTAGTTAAATTTAATAATTATAATTTATAATTTTAATTATATTTATTTACCATTACTATAAAATATTAAATTTTTTTAATTATTTAATAAGAGTAATTACCTAATACCTCTATAAATATATTAATTTTTTTTCCAATACAATTTCTTAGATAAAATAATTATTATTCTTTAAAGTCACGTCTCAAAAACGTGTAAAATAAATATTTGAAAAATCTTCAAGTTAATAATTACAAACAAATTAAATGTTACAAATATTCTCAAAACTTTAATTAATAAAATTTTTTGAAAAAAATAGAAAATAATTAAGTATTAATTTTAAGAATTTAAAGAATTTTTAAGAACTTTTTTTTTCTTTAAATTTCTTCTATTTTATTAAACCAAATACTCCAAAAGATATAAATAAATAATATTAGACCTATGCTCAGACGTCTTTTTTCTGTCCATCTTATTTGTTATATTTAAAAAAAAAATTATTTTTTCTCATTATCTAAAAAACAGCTGTCTATACTTAACGGACGAAATAATATACTCGCCCGTCTTCCAGATACTCGATTTTATCTTGAACGGGCGAAATAATCTATTTTTCTTATTTTGCCCGTCTTCTAAAACACATTCATTTCGACGGGCGAAATAGCCAGTTCACACAGTCGTATCTATTTCGCCCGCGACGGGCGAAATAACAGAAATTAATTAGTTCGCCCGCGACGGGCGAAATAGCCACTTCGTATTTTTATTTTATTCATTTTTTTAAACCACTTTTAAAAAACAGGAATTTCTAAAATATTTAAAAAAAAATTAATTTTCTTCAACTTTTACTAATAAAATAGGTTCTGAATTTAAAATCTAAAGATTTACAAAAAATTGATACCCTTTTAAGATACAGAGCCTGAATTCTTAACAAAAAAAAAAAATTAAAATAAAAAATTCCTAAATATATCAAATGTGTGCTTATATAATTTAAACATTTTTATATTTAAAACGTTAAATCGTGGATTTTAGCCCATTAATTAATATTAAAATTCTTATTTGGAAAAATTACAAAAATTTAATTAATTTTTTTTTATTATTTATACGAATCACAATTACTTACCAAGCCCACTGAGGATTGATTCCTTTCTCTCTTTTATAAGTTAAACTATCACGAATCCAATGTTGAATGCATGGTAAATGCATAAAAGTAAAACATTCATAACAATTCCATATCTGAAATATAATTAATTTAATAAATAAATATATATATATATATATATATATATAAATATAAAATAACAGATATTATAATAAAACTAATTCAAAAGATTTAAAAACATTCTTGATAAGAATTAAACGAATTTAATATTTTCAAAAAAAAAAAATTTTTTACCGCATCTGTTTTTTTCACCGATGAGATACAAATTAAACAAATTGCTCCTCCTGACTGCAAAACTTCACTCAAATAAGACAAAGTTTTCTCTGTATCACCGCCTTCAACTTGATACGAGGATAAAACTTTACCCACAGCTTCATCTAAAACATTTCCGCCTTCTTCTTCTTCTTCACTCGAGGAATCTATAAACTCATTTGCTTCTAAATGCTTTTCAATTGCTGCCCGATTCTCCGCCTGAGCACGTTTAAATTTCTTCATTTCTCATAAAAATTTTGACTGCAACAATTATTATTAGTTATAAATCATTATATTATATATTATAAATATTTGTATGTATTTAAATGAATAATATTTAATACAATTATCAATTTTTATCAATTTTATTTAGTGCTGAAGGCACATTTAAAGCTGCGAAAGAAAATAATTATGTACCATAAATAAATATTTAATATAGTTATTATAATATATATAATAAAAATAAATAAAAACCATTTTTAAGACAAGAAATTCTATTTAAAAAACATGACTACATGTATGTTGATGTCATTAATGGTATTAAGTAAAAATAAAAAAAAAATCCATGAATGAAAATTAATCGTATAAACTTAAAATCAATATTTATTTATTTATTCTATAAATAATTCTTGCATTTCGGCTAAGAACGTGCTTCCAGCACACTTCATTCATACATTTCAATTTTATTAAAAAAAAAAAAAATTAAATAGAAATAATACAAAATATAAACATATAAAATTTTTAAATATAAATTTAAAGAACTTAAAATCAATAAAAATATTAGTTGAATATAACATAAAACAATACATGTATAATATATATAAAATCAATGGAGTTAAAACTGATTTTATTTTATTTATCTTCTTTCTATTTTCACATGATGTGCGATATTTAATATTTATAAAGATTATTTAATTTTTGATTTTTTAAATAAGATCAATAAAACATTGAAATGTTTTCAGGTCAATAATTAATTGAATTACATTATATTTATATATATTGCTACATTAATTTAAAAATATTGAACATAATTAAATAATTTTTAAAATATTAAATAATTGTTTAGCATATTTTTATGTTACATATATAGATATAATACAAATTAAAATATGATTTTGAAAAATTAGGTTATGTTTGCATAACAAAAATGATTACGTGGACTTTACCTGAGTCCCTAAGTGAATAATCGTTAAATTTCTTCTCTATTTTCTTTAGAAAATATACTATTTTAAATAGAATACAATTATTTACTGTTTTTTAATTTATGCACTTATTATTATTATTCTTAAAGATGCGAGTAAAAAATAAAAGTATCAATTGTTGACAACACGAAGTAATAATAAGGAGACTCAACTATAATGGTGTATATTATCGGAATCCGGCTAGGGTGACTGGACCATAAGTGACCTGTTCGCTAAATGGAATTGACTCTCGAACGAGAGCGCATGTGCAGTGTGATATCACTAGTGAAAATCCCCTAGATAAGATTCACATTGTCAAGGTGCTTAAGGTGCTTATATACCTCAAATTTCGATCAGATGAACATTATTTCTGGACCGTGAAAATGCGTGAAAAGTCATTTTCACGGCGGGTATTTTTGAATTGTTTTAAACAAAAAATGTTTTTTTAAGAAATATAATATTAAATAATTGTTTTAATATATAAGAACACTTTAAAATAGTGATAGAGAGATGATTTGATTAAAAAATTTAGCAAATTTTGCTTTAAAACGTTTTCTGCTACAAGAAAGTGTAAAATGACGATGTTTGTGAAATGGTTTGTACAGTGCTTCTTCCTTGTGAGTGTCTCTCAGAGCTTTGTTTATGTTATGTCGGTTCTTTTTAACTTGTAATAAATAATGAGTGCTGAAAATAAATCGGTAAGTTGAAATGTTTATCAAATAAATTTAAATTCAACTAATTGTTTCGAATAACTGAAAGAAACATGTACACATGTACACTGAACAAACCATTTCACAAACATCGTCATTTTACACTTTATTGTAGCAGAAACGTTTTAAAGCAAAATTTTCTATATTTTTTAATCAAATCATTTTTCTATCACTATTTTAAAGTGTTCTTACATATTAAAACTATTATTTAATATTATATTTCTTAAAAAAACATTTTTTATTTAAATCAATTCAAAAATACCCGCCGTGAAAATGAATTTTCACGCATTTTCACGGTCCAGAAATAATGTTCATCTGATCGAAATTTGAGGTATATAAGCACCTTAACAAACGATGTAACATACGTAGAAAACCTCGAGTTTGTTACATTTACCCATCCCTGCGTGAGGCACTTGCACTGTTGCACACAGTGTTGCAGTCGATAAAGCAGTCTTGTTAGTTGCTAACTTCACTTTGCAAAAATGTAAACAAACTTAACCTAAAAATTCGTATAATTAAATCATATAAGAGTTTTAAATGTTACTTATAATATGCTGTAATTAAATCTTAAAAAATCTTTAAGATTTAAATTTACAATAATTATTATAATTGTTAATCGATATAAATAGTAAAATGTAATTCAAACGAATTTGTTTTAACTATAAATAAATAAATAAACAATGTCGTTAGTGTAAAAAAAATTTTTAAAACTATATAAAAGAAGAAATAATTTAGAAGTGCTTACTATTTAATTAAGGTAAATATTTGCTATTCACTTATTTCAAATTAATACTCTTTTACAATTAATTTTACTTCGAATTATTTTATAAAATTAATTATTCTCACCTTACAGAAAATCATGTTACTAGTGGAATAATAAATTAAAATACAATAATGAAAAAAACGAGTTCATGGCAAAAAAATCTTTATGAAAATCGTGGTTTACCTGATAATTATACGGATCAATCGTTTCTTGAAGAATTACGTAAAAATATAAAACCAAATAATATCACAATATTTCAAGCAATATCACTTGGAGCAAGTGTATCAATTGAATTAAGCATCGTAGCATTATTTGTCATAATTTTTATATGGCTAAATAATGAATGGACAACACCAAAAATAATTTTTATCTCAAGTTCATTTTTTACTGTAGTCGGTTATTTTCTTCACACTCTTCAAATATCAAATTTAAGTGAACGACTATCTAAAGATATAAGAACTGCATTAATATTTTTTGCATTTGGCTATATTTTATCGCCAATTTTAAAAACATTAACCGAAGCAATTAGTACTGATACAATTTATGCAATGACAATTTTTATGTTCTCAATTCATTTAATATTTGGAAAATATGGTTCACCTCAAATTTCACTTTCTGATTCATTGTCAATAACATCATCAATTTTTGGCTCATTAATGCTTGCTTCGCGTTTAACAACTTATTTACATGCCTTTGCTTTACTCACTGTTGCCGTACAATGTTTTGTTTTACTTCCATTTTTATTGACAAAAACAAAAGATAATATTGCAATTTCTATTATTTTAATTTTAATAACACAGTATTTTTTCTTTCAAATTTCATTAACAATGTTTTATGTCTATGTGGGAGCGACTATTCTTATACATTTCATTTGTCCACTTTGGTACATTAGATGGCAAAAATATAAGGAAAATATTTATGGACCTTGGGATGAGGCTGCAATACCTTCCTGACTAAGAGCCAAAAATCTTAGTATAAAATAATTTTTTTAAATAAAATTATAAATTATAAAATAAAATGTAAATGTGCCAATAATAATAATTAAAAATTTTGTAAATATATAAAGTTAAAAGATTTCGTTTTGTTAGAGAAAAAGATAGTTGTTCTTCTTAAATTAAAAAAAAAACTACTTAATTTTTATATCTTAATTAATAATTTATTACTGAATTATATCAAAAAAGTTGGATTAATTTAGAAAATATTTATATCTACACTCTGAGAAAAATGTGTTATAGAATCAATAACATTTTTGATTAAAGGATGAAAATTATTTATTCAAATCAGCTGAGAGTTATTTTAGATAGACAATGAATAATGTTCTTTGATAGAAAAATACCTTTTCATTTTGATGAGAATGTAATAATAGCAAAAAAAAATGATAGAAAATAAAGAATTGATTGAAGAAACATTTAAAATATTTCCTTTTAAAGAATATGTGAAAAAAAAATAAAAGAAACACTTTTTTTTACAAATCTCAAGTGTCATTTAATTGTCCTAGTTTCAGTAAAAAAAAAAAAAGAAAATATAAGAGAAAAATCTTATCAAACTTCTTATGGAAATAAATATATATATTCAACAAGCATCAAATTCCTGATGTATGTAAAGAAAAATACTTTACTTTACAACAATAAATTGAAGAAGTCTTTTGATCCTCCTAATAAGTGATTCAATAAATGATCGATCCACCGTTGTATATTCACTGTGTGTAAATAACAGTTGAGTAACAAAATTATCATTAAAAACTGAAACAAGATTGTGTTTTAATTCGGATACGGATTCATTTGACATTCGCCAATCAACTGCGCCGTCTTCCATGTTAATTGAATGAACTGCAAATAGAAAAATAATAAATGAAACATTAATTATTGCAATAATTTATAATATTCAAAATATTAACTTTAATTAAAACTAAATTATATTTTATAATAATTGTAAATTAGTTTTTACCTTGTGATTTGTTTTGACGTAATGTAGATTGCATAACATAAAAATCAAGATTGCTCCATATAATGTATAAACTTTGTTCAACCAAAAGTGAACAATATTTAACATTTTGTCGTTTATCTTTTGCTTGTTGCGCTAATCTTTGCTCCACTACCATTCTTTGTTTATTTAATTCTAAATCTGTTTCCTCTTCCGTTAAATACTGAAAAATGTTTAACAATTTTATTTCACACATTTTACATGTTTTTTATTTTTATTTTATTCCATGGAATATAAATAAAATTGATTGTTTAGAAAAATTCTAATTTATTATTGGACATTTGAATATTAAAATATTTATTTTAAAAAAATACCTTTTTAATGTCCGTTGTACTCATTTCTTGGACCATAGCAGCTTTTTTGATAAGAGAATCAATTAATGGTAATTCAGTGTGAATAAGAGAAGTTGCTGCCATTAAGTGATCAACAACAATTCCCATTTGAGCACCACAAGTTGGATCTTGAAATTTCCTATCTTTTCGATTTTGTCGCATCTAAAAGGAAATAAGTCACCAATTAAATGTCAAATATCAAATTCCAGTTAATTTTGTCTTAATTTTTGAATTTAAAAATAAAAAAAAAAAAAAATGATCAATTTCTAAAAATTTTATTACCTGATTACGTATATAAAGCATCACATTTGCTGCTATTTGTATGGAAGCAAAATGTTGTTCTTCAGATGCTGTTTTTGCAAGATGCGATTGTAAAGGTGGTGATGTCAATTGGAATTTTTGAAGTAAACCAATCATTAATTTTTGTATTCGATAAAGATAGGCACCGAGTTCACGCATTCCAGAATCATTTGTTTCACTCATTGCCAAATCATAAACATCTGCAAGAATTTAATAAATTACATCAATTTTGCATTGTTTTTAAGAGTGTCCATCAAGTTTTTTTAAAAAAAATAATAATTATAACCCTCTCAAGGTTATTTTAAATTAAATAGAATTAAGTAGGTATAATTAACAAAAAAAAAAAGAAAGAAAGAAAACTCACCAATATTTGCAGATCTTGCAATAACTCCAGTAAGATAGGCAATTTCCTTCAAAAATAAAGTATGCGATTGTGGTAAACCATTTCTCAATGTCATTTCAACAATATCCCGATGACTCTGAAGAAATCCACAAACTTGCATTGAACATGATTGATTTTCAGTTCCCAACGTTGTGAGCAATGCATCACAAAGATATAAAGCGGGAAATAAAATTTGTTGATATCTTTGACCAACACTTGGTATAAATGAACAATCCCCACCATCAAAACCAACATGAACATCAGGATGTTGATCATAAACATTCATACTTGAGAGACAAGATAAAATTTTATTCTCCAATAAACTCTCGGCACCCAATCTTGTTGAAGCCATACGGCAAAATGCTGCCATTTTTGCCTCATAAAGATATAATGGTCTCAATGTTTGTGGATCTGGTTGAAGAATAGATCTCAATAAATTATCTGATTCCAATAAACTGTCAATCATATGTTTCAAATAACCACGACTAGATAAATAAATAACCCAATCATTATCGCAATCGAGTTCAAGAATTTTATCTAAACATGAGAGTGCAAGCATTTTACAAACATCATGTCCACCTGAACAATTATGACAAAGAATATCCATTAATTTATCACCAAAACTATTAATCACTTGAATAGTTGCATAACGATGAGAACGCTCTTGCATTGGTAATGCTCGATATAAAGAATTATCCAATTGACTAACATACATTGAATCCATAACATTAGCAACTTCCGATTTTTCCAATCCAACAACACACAAAAAATTCAAAAATGCTCCATACAAATGTGTTCTCACTTTTTGTGATGAGGCTTCTGAATTTAAAATCCATTGGAGTATATGATTTAAAATAATTTTCATTGTCGTTGTACTTGACGGTGATGAAAATAAACTCTCACCCTCCGATTGAAGGACAAAACTATTTTTCAAATTAACCAAAAGTATCAAAACAGTTCCCGAGACGAGTGTTTTAATTTCATTTAACGCCTCGCACGATGTCATTTTTTGCAAGAGATCATGAGTTAAATTTAAAAGAAGATTTTGCCTTTGAGCAGCGGGTAATTGTTGATTTGTGGCAATTGAAAAGAGAATTTCCGTTGTTTGACACCAGCCTTCGACAAATTTAACTGTTGAAAATGAAAGTGTTTTTGTTTGATTTCGCTTTAATGCATAGGCAAGAATTGCTTCAAGTTCTTGTTGCATTAATTTACGTTGAGATGCTGTTGCACTACTTTGAGTAACTGCAAGTTCTTCCGTTATAACGGCATGTAATTTTTTCACATCAATAAGTTGTGGTCCACCTGTTAATGCAACGGAAACACTACAACGTCCAAGTACCATTTCCACTTGATTGGGATCGAAAAATTCCCATGATCTTGACGGTTCGAGTTTCAATTGAAAATCAATATAATGAAGAAGATCCATTAAAAGTTTTTGTGATGGTGCAATTTGACTTCGATCTTGACCAGGACTTCCGATTAATTTTTGAATTAGAGAATTTTGCAATGATCCACCGCCAACTCTTAATTCAATTGCTGATATTTTTAATAGCCATGACATACAAGCTAATTCAGTTCCTCTATTTGGTCCCTGTAATAAAAATTTCTCTAAATTGATAAAATTATTCATTAAATTTAAAAATATTAAAAACATTTTACTTTCAAAATTTTCTACTATAATTTTCATTTTTGGTTTTAACTTTTTTTTTAAATGATAGAATTTTTATAATATAATTAATGTTCACATTTAAATAAATTTTTTCACATACCTGAAATGGTAATTTTGAAAGATGTCGTTGCACAAAATCTTGATTAGTCGCCGTTCTAAGGAATCTCAATATTGGCATTGATGTTTTTGTATTAGCTGACAATGTATGAAGAAACCAATATGAAGCCTCAGTTATTCGATCTCGTCCTCTTTCCAAAGACAATTCAAGAATTCCCAATATCGAATGTAGACAAGTTCTTGGAAAGCCAAGAATTCCCGGTTGTTGAATAATTGTTTTTCTAATATCCTTACTTATATCAAAACCCAAAAGAAAATGAGCAAGATTTGGAGCAGGTCGTGTAATGCTTTGCATCATTAACATTAAAATTCTCTCCTTACATTGTCCCATATGTTGTTTCTCTTTATTTAATTCGTCCTCAAATTCAACATTGTCGTCCGTCTCTAAACATTCAACAAATCCATGTCTAATGTTTGTCGCCAAGACAGATGTACACGTAAACGTTGACAATAATTCAGAATCAGCACCGGGTTCACTTGATACCGCTTGTATAACGCCAACGGCAACATACGCATGTCTTCTAAGCCAAGAATTATAAGAGATATATTTTGCAACATTTATCATATGATCGGGTTTTCCCGTTCGAGGATTTACTCCCAAAAGAAGACGAGATAAACCAGTTGACAATTTATTTGTCGAAGTGCTCAAGGATGACGAGTCAATTGTCATATATTGATGTTGCAATCGAAGACCCTGTTCCAATATTTCTAAACAGTGAAGAGTACTTTCTTCCAAATCTTTTTGTCCTAAAAAAATTTATCCAAATTAAAATTTTATTAAAAAAAAAAAAATAAAATAAAATTTCCATTAAAAAAAAAATTTTTTTTTTTTTACCTGGAAATGAATCGTATGTGTCAAGATGATGACATCCCTCGTCAAGAATATAAAGTACAACATGTAAAAATTCTGAATTTGAATGCAATTGTTTTAAAAGATGATATCCAGGATTTGGATTAACAAGCGTTGATTCACCACCTTGTAATTCAACTTTACAACCAACAAAATCCTCCACTGATGGTTCATATTGTTTGATTAATTTATAAAAAATTTTCAAACAAACTTTAACAACTTGCCATTTTTCCACTGGATTTTTATAAGAGCGTGTATTAAATCTCAAGAAGACGGTATTAATGATAAATAATAAATAGGGATCAAAACCAGGATTTCTCTGTCCAACTCCCAATAGTCGTGGAATTGGAAAATCTGTAAGAACATCCATAAGTTCAAGCATTGCACGTGTAAGTGGATATTCTTCATTTCTTGATTCAATTTCTTCGAGTTCTGTTTGAACACCTCTTGGTTGATAACTACTTGTCGATGGAATTGTAGAAAGAATTTGAGCAGCTTCCAAACTTTGCCAAACTGTAGTTGAACTTTCTGGTGATCTAGCAAGAGCCGCCAATGTACGAACTAATACTCCTTTTAAAGGAATTGGCATAGCACAACCAACAAGACCAACCAATGATGGTAATACTTTCCATCCTGGATGATCGCATAATGCAACTCTTGACATTTCATCATTTTTCGCCACCACTTGAACAACTAATAAAACTGCTTCCAGACCCTTTACCTCGTGAGGTGTAATTCCTTTAGGATGAATTCTTTGACGATAAATTGTATCTTGCGTTGGTGGTAATTCTTGACGAAGATTGTAATAATAACGACTCAATGATGTGAAGAAATGATCCCACGAAATTGTAGACGATCCAGTTGTTCCTACAAAAAAAAAAAAAAATTATTTTTACAAATATTTAGTTTGCAAATTACTAAAAAAAATATTGAAATAAATTACCATTTGGCTTGAGAAAATTGAATACTTGTCGTGCAGCTTGAGGCGATGAAGCCAAAGAGGCAAGCATCTTTAAATAAGGCACAAATAATCCCGCTGGCAATATTTCACCGGCTAAACGAACAAATTTAAATAAAGCCGCTTGTCTTGATGGAAGACGACTACTGTGATGTGCATTTGTAACATGAGTTGAATCCGATGGTTGACACCAAAAATCAATAGCTAAATTTAAATTCAATGGATCTTGTTTATATAATTCTGCGACCATTAACATTAAATATTCAAAATGATCATCTAAATTTAATGGTGGTTCAATGCCTTCTTGTTGATAGGCTTGAATTAATCGCATTGATTCATCGGCTCTACTTCTTAATTCTTTTACTTTCAATGGCATTAATAGAATAAAATCAGAAATTAATGTATGAAAATAGCGTACAAAAAATTCCTCCATATAAAATTGTTCATTTTGAAAAAGTACCTCGACAACAAAATGAAATGCTTTATTTGAAACAGCGGCTTCAACTAAAATTTCATCTTCCTTTGTGATAATTTGTGTTGGACATAAATTTGGTGCTGATTTTATTGTTGTCACTGCAATTGCCAATACAAATTGAAGTAAACCACGAAGTCCTGCACTTTCCCAAGCAATATTTCCAGTTGTTAATTTTTGTACGAGTTCTTCAAGCATTCCACGCTCGGAAATTATGGGCATGGATTTCACGATTTCTGTTAAAAGATTATTATTTTTTTTTTGTTATGTTTTAAAAGAATTAGATTTACAATACTAATTTTAAAAAAAAAAAATTAATTCTATTAAAAATAATAGAAATTTCGATAAAAATAATTAAATACCTTCTCCGTCTTCTCGACTGTGAAGTGGACTGAGATTCATGGAATTTAAAACAGCCATAATTATTGATAATGTGAAATTGTCTGGTTTTCCTTCTCCAACTTCAATTTCGGGTTGACGATTTTGTAGAAAAGATATTAGACTGAATGTAATTGTACTTGGAAGTGAAGATTGCGCCGACCACATATAAAGAATATCGGCTAAATCTTGTCGAGTGTCATTAAAAAGTTTCATTATCATATAATGATGTTTTGCTCCACCAAGTGCACGATTTTGTTGCAATAAATCTTGTTCCTTTAATAAATTTTAATAATTATTCAATATTTATAATACATAAAAAGTTTTTAACATTTAAAAAATATTTACAAAAAATCAGTAAAGGGTAAGTCCACGTCAGAAATATCAGAATCTGCAAGTGGTTCTTCGATTTTAATGATACTTGGTAAAATTATAGCTTTATGGGCATATCTTTGAAACCTTTAACTTTTCAATAAGAAAAAAATTTTTTTTTTTTTTGAGCACAGTATTGAAACTCTGTTTACATAAACTTCAAGAACTAAGCTTTCCAATTATACAAGTGGACAGATAAAACAAGTTGTCTTCAAAAAGTTATAAATATTTAAAATTGAGAATTATTTTTAACCTGTAACAAAAAAATATTCAACAGGTGTTTGCTTTTTAGGATAAAAAACAGTTGAAGGGAATTTTCTAAGGGGTTATAATTTTAAAAAGCAATAAAATTCGTTTAATATTTTCAATATTTATATGAATTTAATAAAATACTGAAATAATGCACTGGGTATAAAAACATGTGTCAAAAATTAACTAGATATATAAATTTTTTATTTGAATATTTACATTACATTTTAAAATAGATTTTTATTATAGTGAATTGTTTTAAAAATGTAAAATTGTAATTTTTAAAATTTACCATACGATTTTCATAGACTTTTTTCTATTTAAATTTAATATTCGTAAACTTTCCAATTTCTTTTCTCTTTTTTCCTTTTCTATTTTTCTTTTCTCTCGCATCTTATCTTTTTTCAGAATGAATTTTTTTGGATCCATTTTTATGTCTCGAAATAAACATTAAAACTTAACCTTCAGGTTTTAATAATTAATGACAGTTTCTATAAAAAAAATTATAATCGGCAACTTCGTACATAACAATTTCTTTCTAAAAAATTTCGGTCGATTACGGTCGACCGTAATTGATGAATATTTTTACATTATCTTTGCAATAAAGTATTTTTTTCTCGAAGCACATTCACGGGATGTTAAATGGCACATGTGAAAATATATACAAGTACTTTTCGAATACTTTTATATGATTTTCATCAAGTATCACTCGTATTACGGTTGTTTTCAAATTTTGTCCACGCGTGTTTTCGTTTATTTAACTTATAATAGTTTTTTGAAGACATGAAGCACATCAATTTATTATGTCTCAAAATAATTATAGTAACTTGATCTTTGATTTCCCATAAGTTATTTTAACGTGCCGCTTGTCTTATAAAAGAAAAATCATAAATACGATGATTACGGTCGAAAAGGTTAAAAGTGAGGGACAACTTTTAAAAGCTTATAAATTTTTTCACAATGAATAAAATATTAATTTCCCTGCGAAAATGTGTTCACCGATTAATTAACATTGAAAAAACATATTTCAGAATTGGTAATTTTTATTAAATATAAAACTATATCGTTTAAAGCATCAGAAAGTATGGTTAAAGACAAGTAGACTTTGTTAAAAATCGCGTATTAAAATTGAAATAATTATTTATGTATTTAATAAATTAAAGTGAAATCTTTTGGAAATGATTGATTGTATCAAGCATTAATATTTCCAACAAAAACCAACGAAAAATTTATTAAAATTACCAAAATATATGCGAGGGACATTAAAGTTAAAGGTTCTAACGAAGCTGAAGTACGCAACGTTTATATAAACGATTTTTAAAGAAATAATTTTTTAAAATGAAAAATTCTATAATTTTTTGCCTAAAAAATATTTTTTTATAATTTGTTGATTAATGAAAACTACAAGAAATATTTTTTAGGCGAAAAATTATACAATTTTTCATTTTAAAAAATTATTTCTTTAAAAATCGTTTATATAAACGTTGCGTACTTCAGCTTCGTAAGGTTCTAGAGATATGCCCTTATTTAAGAGCAATGTGTGAGTAAAAGAAATTTTTAAAATATCTAAAATTGTAGGAGTTATATCACTTTTAATTTTGATACTGCATTTTTTTCTTTCCTTTATATCTCGGTTAATTTTCAACCGATTTTGATGAATCAAAAACGATTTTTTTCAGAAAATTACGCATTTTCAGAAAATTTTAAAATAAAAATAAAATTTTGTTATTTAAATAGAAAAAAGTAAAAAACAAAATTTCTTTTAGATTTTTTTTCAATTTCGACCTCTTTTTTTTAAATTTTAATTTTTTAATAATATTCCTTTTTATTTTATCTTTAATTTAAAAAAAAATTCATCCTGGAGACTTTTTTAGATCTCGTGATATCGTCCTTTAAGTATTATAAGTCTTCATCAATTTGAAAACCGCAGGACTTGCTTCTATTATTACTTTCATTTGTTTGTTGAAATTTTTTATGGTTATGAATAACTATTTGTTTTAGAATCCTCTAAAAGAAAGCGCTAAAAACTTCAGCTACAATTTCAGGTTGCATTGTTAAGGTTTCATTACAATTTATTTTAAATTATAAATATTACAAAAAATAAAAACTTTGCTTCAAATCTTTTAATAAAATATTGATTTGCTTGAATTTTCACTTGTTTTAGTCAAGTAATTTAAAAATAAAAACATTATTACGCGAAAGTTTCTAGTTTTGTAACAATAATATTATAAAACAAATGAAAGTAGAAACACAAATCTGGATCCTAGTTTTCTTGAGATGTGGATATTTAAAGAACGATATCACGAGATCTAAAAAAGTCTCCAGGATGAATTTTTTTTTTAAATTAAAGATAAAATAAAAAGGAATATTATTGAAAAATTAAAAAAAAGAGGTCGAAATTGAAAAAAAAATCTAAAAGAAATTTTGTATTTTACTTTTTTCTATTTAAATAACAAAATTTTATTTTTATTTTAAAATTTTCTGAAAATACGTAATTTTCTGAAAAAAATCGTTTTTGATTCATGAAAATCGGTTGAAAATTGACCGAGATATAAAGGAAAGAAAAAAATGCAGTATCAAAATTAAAAGTGATATAACTCCTACAATTTTAGATATTTTAAAAATTTCTTTTACTTACACATTGCTCTTATATAAAGCTATAATTTTACCAAGTATCATTAAAATCGAAGAACCACTTGGAGATTCTGATATTTCTGATGTGGACTTACCCTATAGATAGTTATAATTTTTATTTCCTTAATTTTATTTTTTATATTTTTATCATAAATTAAAGAATTAATTTATCGCAATTTTAATCTCGAAATGATAAAGTCGATTTAAAATTGATAATAATAAAAATAAAAATGCAAATACTCACTTTCATAGGATCCATTTCTTCGATGAGAGCAACAATTCTATCTAATAATCCATCTTCTTGAAGTCTATTTGTATATTCAGTGATTTGTTTTGTTAACAAAAGAGGAATATCAAGCATCCAACTATGTCCAGCTCTTGCCTGAACTAAAGTTCTTAATGCTGAAGTTAATGCTTTTCTTCCATCATAATATAAAAGTACAGCAGTCAATCCTCTCGTTAAACCCGGATGAAAGGGCATTTGCAATTGTGCAGTGTACAAAAGATCTAATGCAATATATTCATTTAATTTATACATATCCGATATAATCAAAGTTTCATCTATCAAATCCTTAGATAATAATTGATGTCCCAATGCAGGAGACGTAATTCCATCAACGTCTCCTTTTAAAATTTCTTCACGGCATTTTGGACTTTTTGGCTAAAAATAATTTTCATTGTTAATTTTAATTTATTTACATTTTTTTAAAATTATTTTAATATTTCCTCATTTATACATTATAAACAAAAAATTTATATAATTACTCACCAAATTTTTTAATAGAGTTAAAAAATTCTGTCTATGATTTCTTAATGCTTCGGAAAATTCGTGAAATTGTGGATCGTGAGTACTTGAAAATGATGTCACATAATGTTCGACAAGACTTTGTAATTCCTTGTAAGGAGTCCATGTGTCCTGAATGTTTATTCGTTCTGTAATAATTAAAGTGAAAAAAAAAAAAATAATTGTTGCACAAAACGTATATATACAATATACAATGTTGATAAATTTCTTTCTCTAAATTTTTTTTTTTTATATTTATTTAATGATAATTGTATTATACATAAAACGACAAATAATAATTATATCACAAATTTCCAATTATTTATAAACATATAAAATAATAAAAAATATTAATTGTTATAATTGACACATGGAGTTGTTTTAAACATCAAGAGGTTAGGAAATGTAAATCTTACTTAAATATGTTTTATATGGAGAAATTTAGAAAATTCTTACCTTCTGTCATTTTCTAATGATCTTTAAATCTCAGAATAGAACAGTAACGATTGTTAAACACTTCTTTTTATGAAAAGAATTGCATAAATAGCCGGTTTACGTTTTTTCAAGGTTAGTTTAAAGGCGGGAGCGAGACGAGCGTCCTCATCATCATATCGAAAGTAATCGAAATTAATAAACGACTTCGACTTCGATATTGTAAAATTCAGATAACTTCAGACATTACAAAAAAAGTTTTTTTTTTTTTACTTTATTATTTTCATCTATTTTCCGACATTTTAATTTTTTTACACTAAATTTTGTGTTATTAAATTCTAAAAGAAGGCTTCTTTAAAGTACAAATACAATTTTTTTTTTTTTTTTTGTTCATCTTTGCGAAAGAAAAGTGTAACAATTTTAAGATCAATTCTTGTAAATTCATATGTTATTCTCTGTTGTCAAATATTCTCAACAATTCAAAGTAGAAAAAAAAGAATAAAATAATTTTTAACTTAATTTAATTTGCTATGGAAAAGAAAAATGTGTTGAAGAAATAAAATAATAACTAATTGCACGGAGAACTATATAAGTAAGGTTATGTTTACTTTATTATTTGCTTATTACTTTTTGTATAATTATTATATTTAATATTTGCGTTATATAGTGTTTATAATATTCAATATTTGTAGAAATTCGTTTATTTGAATAAAATAAGTTGGTGAAATTTCAGATAAATGCTTAAACTGATATATAACAAATTGAAAACAATGAAATTCAAAACTGGAATCTTGAAAAACATTGATGTTGAACATTTTGAAAAAGCTGAATTTAATTCTGAATTGAATGACAGTATTTGATTATTAGAATATTTAAAAATCTCATTCTAACTTCATGGAGGACTCAGTAATGCTCGAAAAGGCACTTTTGTCTATTGAGAGTCACGATATGGATTTCTCGGTCGAAATGGTAAATTGTTATTTTAGTTTAAATTTAAGAAATGTAAAATTATATTTCAAATTGTTAAAAAACTGATTAAAAATATATTTTTTTTTTTTGAAATATATAAATTGTTTCCGGAAATGTTTTCAAATAATATTGTAAATAACAAAAATGTCATTGATTTTGTATAAAAACTATTTTTTTAAATCAATTTAAAAATACTTATAAAGTTCTGTTTCTTTTTTTTTAAATTGTCTCCTAAAAATGTGATAATAAAAAAAAAAGAAAATTAAAACATCAAAAGAAAAAGGTTATTAAAATATAAAATTGAAAATTAGGAAAAACTGGACTTGGAAAGTGAGAGTACTCATGAAAATTGGGAATCTGAATTAACAAATACAAATCTCTGTGACAAAGATGATGTCAATCTTCAAAGATGTTTTATCAATATTGATTTGGATTCAATAAATCAAGAAGAAGATGATGATGATGATGATGATGATGAAGAAGAAATTATCGAGAAATCTCCATTTTTATCAATAAATAATTATCATCATCAGGCAAAATTTTACAAAATTCAATGTTTCATTTGTCAAAAATGGTTTTTAAATAATGACACAATGGTGACACATTTAAAAATTCATTGCAGTGGCAATAATTGTCAAGTATGTGATGAAAATTTTCCCAATAGCGAAACACTCTCTACACATATGTTAATTCATATTGGCATGAATCTCTTTGAATGTAATAATTGTTATAAAACATTTCCCGATAAAATAAATTTACAAAATCATTTAAAATCACATTCACTTGACGATGAATCATTAAATAATAAAAAAAAAGAAGAAAAAGAAAGAGAATTTAATATCGTGAGAAAAAAAATTTCCAAATCAATTAAAAATAATGACAATAATTTTTTCTGTGATATTTGTCAAAAATTATTTAATTCAAAAAATAATTTCAATCAACATAATCATGAAGAAAATATAAAATGTAATTTATGTAATGCATTATTTAACGATAAAGATAAATTAAATTTACATATAAATAATCATAATCATAGAATGAAACAATTTAAATGTACATTGTGTAAAAAATGTTTTACACAAAGAGCCGCATTAAATAATCATATGTTATCGCATAGTCATGATAAACCTCATGCATGTCAAATTTGTTCAAAGCAATATAAAAGAAAATCAGAATTAATGAGACATTCATTGGTTCATACTGGTGAACGACCATATGAATGTAAAGAATGTCTAATGACATTTCGCGAGAAGGCAAAATTAAATTCACATATGTTGGTACATACAGGTGAAAAACCACATACATGTCATATTTGTCATAAGGCATGTGCAAGAAAATCAGATTTAACTAGTCATATGCTTTCGCATACAGGCGGACAATATGATTGTAATATTTGTGAGAAAATATTTACGCGTAAATCAGATTTAAATCGTCATGCATTAATACATACAGGTGAAAAACCATTTGCCTGTGAACATTGTGATATGGCTTTTAGAGAAAAAACAAGACTGAATTCACATATTTTAATGCATACTGGTGATAGACGGCATGTTTGTCATATTTGTCAAAAGTCATTTAAAGAAAAGGCAATGTTAAAGAAACATTTATTGACACATATGGGTAATCAATTTTATGAATGTTATGTTTGTCAAAAAACATTTACACAAAAAACAACATTAAATAGTCATATTTTAATACATGATGATGTTTCATCATATGAATGTAGCCATTGTCAAAAGATATTTCATGATAGAAGTGAATTGAAAAAGCATTTATTGACACATGCGGGTAATAAATTTAATGATTGTCCAATTTGTTTGAAAAAATTTACACACAGATCGGCATTGAATAATCATATTTCAAATTCGCATAATACTTAAAAAAAAAAAACCTACATTGGGTGTTTGATTATAATTACTTGAAATTTTACACTGTTAGAATGTAAAATTTCTAAATTATTATGTTACAATTTTTTTTTTTTTATTATTTTCCATAATTTTTTTTTATTAAAAACAATAAGAACAATAAATAATAGTATTTTATTTTTTCATTTTTTGTAAGTATTATTTTGAATTTGTTTGCTTTTTTGTTTCCTAATTTTTTTTTATATACTTAATTCAGTTTTTGTTACTTAGAAATTTATATTTCGACAAAATATATATATATATATATTTTTTTGTTTTAATTTTTTAAATTATGTATCCAAATTAAAATACTTTGGACATAATTATAAAAAATATAAATCTTTGAAATTAATCAAGCACCCATTTTGCATACTACCATTTTTGAGGAATAGAATAAAATTAGATTTGTGTCTAGTTTTATAGAAATATTATATATGACTTTTAAAAAAGAAAAAAGATATGTTTTCTATTTTCGTGCAATGTATTTTTTATGGTGTTTATAATATATATTATATAAAATCGGTTGTTTAGATTTTTCTACTTAAAAAAAAAATATATATATATATATATAGGTTTATATATAGTAGAAAGATTCTATTTTTTGAAAGTAGTGTATTATGCGAGAGTAAAAATAAAAAAAAAAATTATAAAAGGCGAAAAATATATATGCGAAAAAAAAATATTTTGTTTTCTAAATATAGTAACAAATATTTTACGATATAATATAATAATTATTTAAAGTTTTATACGTCTCTACAATATTGTGAAACTATAAAGTATTTATTATTAAGAATTATGAAAAATCTAATACATTAATTTATAGAAATATGTTCAAATACGAAACTAAAGTATCGTTTAAAAAAAATTAATGATCTACTTTATTTTAATGTTACCTTTTCCAAAAAGAAATTATTAAATCAATATTCATTTTTCAAGTATAAATAATTTTTTGAATTGAAATAAAATTGTTTTAAAATTCAAACATTAATAAATATTTTCAAATGTCTTTTTTTATCGATTCATTTAAATAAAATGTTAATAAAATTAAAAATCATATTTAATTTTATTAATGTTATTATTTAAAATTTAATTTAAATAACAATTAAAAATTTGTTTTTATAAAAATTTGATAATCGATGGGCTTAAAAATGATTCTTTTGCATTTTAAATTAGGGCGGGAATTGTTTGACTTGATTTTTAAATTCCCGCGAATATTTAAAATGTTCTTTGAATAAATTTAAAAAATTCAAAATTTTTTCACGTTTATCACATTAAAACAATATCTTTTTAGAGTATTAATTTAAAAAGCTAATTATTTACAGAGAAAATTTTTTATATTGATTCATAGAAAATCAAAAATTAAAAGTGAAATTAAATTCTCTCTTTTTTTAGGTTATTTTTAATTTTTGTAAAGTTGTCCGGCTTTGCTCATTTATAAGCGACTAACTTCATTGGTATTAGTGATCTCATTCTCGTAAGTGTCAAAACTGTCAAATTTCTATTTTTGTGTATCCGTGTGTCAGAAGAAAAGTAATTTTTAATAAAAACACCTTTTTTTTTAAAAAAAAAGAAAAAGTATCTTATTTTATAAATATGGCTTCAGCTGGAGAGCCTCTAACATTAGCAAGAGGTAAGATAAAAATGAATTTCATAATTGTCTAGGATAACACCCATAACTCATCGATTAATTTATATCTTTTTTTTTTAAAAAAAAGGTATTTTTTATGAAAAAAAATTACTAATGTCAAGTAATTAGTTTCAGTATTCTAAGCAAATTTAACTAATTTACTTTACTATAATCTTTACTAATTTTTCTTCTAATTATTTTCTATCATAATTTTTATCATTGAATTTGATTCTAAATTTTTTATAATTAAACGTTAGAAAATATGATATCAATATTATGTTTTGTAGATATCAAAAGATCCATTGAGCTTCTAGACAAACTTCAAAAAGGTAGGAATTTATAATAAAATGATTATTACATGTACATTTATTTTCGGATAATAATTTTGGACTTACTGACACATAAATAATTCGTTTGTTATTGTGATTTAATGAAGGTGGTGAAGTGCCTGCTACAAAATTAGCAGCATTACAAAAAGTACTTCAAAGTGATTTTCTTAATGCTGTTCGTGAGGTTTATGAACATGTTTATGAAACAGTAGACATCCAGGTATATTTTTGTTCGTATTTTTTTAATTAATAAAAAATGATTTATAGGGGTAAGCGGTACAGTTGTTGCCCCCTCACAGTGATTGCCACCATTACATTACAAACAGAAATAATAACGAAATTTACATATAATATTTTGTTTTATTTATTTATATAAATTCTACAGAATATTCTGCTAATAGTGTAAAAAGATTTTTATTCTTCGACTCACTATTATGAAAATAATAGCGCTTTTCGAGAACAGTGTCCTTAGCTCTTTGAAATTTTGTCAATTTAGTTGTAAATTTGCAAGGTTAGTGGTGATACTTTCTTTGACTTTTTAACGAAAAAAATTATACATATCATTATTATTTTTTAATTATATGCATGAAAATAAGTTTAATAATAAGTAAAAAAAATTTGTTTTAACGTAATTTGACTCGATTTACCGAAAATTATAGAGAACAACTACTATCTTGCAATTAATAACAAATAACAGTCATTGCCCTTTTGGTTATTATGTCATTTTTCAGTGATTAACCGTTTATTTTCAAGACTTTTTTGAGATAAGTATTTTTAATTTTTGGACGGTTTTTCATATTTGGTGAATTAATTTTTTAAAATAAAGATGTAATTAGAGCCGCAGCATGTATTAGAATGATTTGTAATATTTTATTAACAATTTTTTAATATAAAGTATGATTTTAGGCTATCGAAAAATTGCCGAAGGTGAAAAAAGGTGTTTCGTATATGCTTCTTTAAGCAATGAAAAGCTTCAAAATCATGTAATCATTATATCAAATCAAAATAGCCAAAAATAATTTTTATTTTTACAATTGAGTCAGATTCGACAATTTTCCCAATTTTTTAGGTTAATTGTATTATTTACACTTAAAAGTCATATTTAATGAATCTTATTATTGTTAATAAAAGAAAATTAGTTTAAAAATTCCTTCTTCTTTATTAATTTCAAATTATATTCATTCTTTAATAAATTATGCAAAATTTATAATTTACATTACTATTTTATGTCTAGTGGGCAATCATTGTAAAATTGATGGTCAATCACTGTAAAAATAATGACAATCACTATTTTTTCTGTTATGTGAAGATTTTTTATTTTTTTTAAATTTATACTAATATTAAATAAACAATTCATTATTATTTTCAGATTAATGGAATATTTTAATTCCTTTACAAATGGTTTCATTTCTCATTTCGATAATTAAACATTTGTAATTTGTATAAATATATCCCCTTTTTGCTTATACTGGCAATCACTGTACCGTTTACCCCTATAGATAATGAAATACTAAAAGTTGATAATCTAATATTGCAATAAAATATACATATATATAGAAATTAATTTTTTATTTTAATAATTAGAAAAATGAGTATTATTTTTTTTTTTTTGAAAAATTTGCATTTCTTTACAGGGATCACAAGATGTTAGAGCATCAGCAACTGCAAAAGCGACTGTCGCAGCTTTTGCAGCAAGTGAAGGGCATGCTCATCCACGTGTTGTAGAATTACCAAAAACAGAAGAGGGTCTTGGATTTAATGTGATGGGAGGAAAAGAACAAAATTCACCTATTTACATATCGAGAATTATTCCAGGTGGTGTGGCCGATCGTCATGGTGGATTAAAACGAGGCGATCAGTTACTTTCCGTAAATGGAGTCGTAAGTTTTCTATTATTCTATATATTTAAAAAATAAAATTTATTCCTTCTTTTATGTCTTCAAATATATTTCTTATTTCTTAAAATAGTTACCGTCAATCTGAGTTTAGTTTGGAAAAAATAAAAAGTTTTTATCAAAGTTTTATTAATAAAAAAATTATTTTTTTTTTTAGCAATATTTTACAAAAAATTGTTTTTAATTTTTTTTAAAAAACATGTGTTGTATAACAAAATAGAAATTAAAAAGAATTCTCGAAATTAATGATTTCGAGTTCACAAATATTTTTATTGTAAATTTTTTTTTTTTTTTAATTTATAGTAAAGCAATATTTATTTTAGAGTAAAGAACAGTATTATTTCGAAATCTTGTTATAAATATTTTATAGATTAGAATTAAATGTCTCAAAGTTATTTCTAATAAGATTTTTTTATTATATAAAGTATGTAGTAAAAAATTGATATTTAATTTATGATTCACTGACAATAACAACATCCACGAGAAAAATAATTTTACACTGTGAATAATTTTGTAAATTTATAAAAAAAAAAAAAAAAAAAAAATAAGTTGTTTTTGTTTTTAGAATTATAAGTATTGTAATTGTCTAAAATATTTATAAATTTGTAAAGCCACAAAAAAGCGTTTAATTTTTTAAAAATTTATTACAGTGCGTTGAGGGTGAAAATCACGAGAAGGCAGTCGAGCTTTTGAAGCAAGCTCAAAATTCAGTGAAATTAGTAGTTCGTTATACTCCACGTGTTTTAGAAGAAATGGAACTTCGTTTTGATAAACAAAGAGCTGCACGCAGACGTCAACACATGCAGTAAAGCCTTAAGGATGCTTCTTTTTCTATATATTATATAGTTCGTTATACAAAAAAAGGAAAAAAAAAAAAATTATATCAATTCACTGCATTTATAGTATTGCAATTGTTTTTAAAATTCAACAATTAGATACATAATACTTATTTAATATTTAAGTTATAATCATGTATTACTTGCAATAATAAATCATTCACAACTAACTTTAGATTAAAAACTTTACTTTATATCCTGAAAAAATTCAAAAATTAAATTATATACAATTAAATAAATAATTTAAAAACTTAAATAAATTCAAAGGGATAAATTTCAATTAAATTTTTAAAGAACATAGACAAAATTAATTTCTTTTATGTAATGTTCATTAATTAGAGTTCTGTTGTGTTACAAACTAAAATATTACAATTAAAATTTTTCTTTTTTTTTTCATAAGCAAGGCCACAAACTTAACAAACATTTTACATGTGATTTGTTTAAAAATTAGTCATAATAAATGGTTGTTAGTTATCATAATAATAAAACATCAGGCTTCGGGCTTTATAAGTCTTCATATACACAGCATTAATAAAACTCAACAATTTACACACACACACGCACGTACACACGCATACAATTATACAAATAATATAATAAAATTAATTTTAGTGGAAAAACTCACAACAAAATAAAAAAAAAGTAATAATAATAATAATAATAATTTAAGAAAACGCCTCTCGAGTGGCAACAATTAATTATTATCAATATATCATCAAATAACAATTTTTTATAAGTTTTGTACAACATTCGGCAATACAATTTTATAATATACATATATATATATTGTACTGCTGAAAAAAATATCGCATTTTTTTTTTTGCAATATAGAAAATTACATTATTTACACTCGATATAGAAAGTAACGCTCCAAAGCCCATTCAATATTATTATGTTACTTGGATGTTGAATAAATTTTTCTAATACTAAGATATACATATGTTACAAATTACAATAATAATAATAATAATATAAGAATTCATAATCGACGCAACAGAACTTGAAGTTTGGCACGACATTCTCTGAATATATGTATATGTATATTTATATAACATTATAATATGCAAAATCAGAAAAAACAAAGCAAGTGAATTAAAAATACAACACTTGTCTTTGAAATGTATATTCAAAATTAGAAAAATTAATTAATTTAGACTGTTCATTTTTATCATAAATAGGGCGAAATTTATTCTGAACCAAATAAATTCAACATTGATGATTCAAAGTAAATAAATTTTTCACAGTAATAATATATAGGCGAAATAGAAATTTTGCAATTTTTTTTTTTTTTTACTCCAAACCATTAAATACTATCTATATTAGTAAAATCTTACGCAACTAAATTGCACACATAAGAACATATTAATTAAGTATGAGAAAATTCTACATAAAAAAAATGTGGAAAAAATTTCAATTGTTAATAACTTTATTAGAAAAATTTTAATTTAATTAATTAATTTATTAAAAAAAAAAAAAATGGATCATTTTTTCTCTATAAGTATTTTATATATGTAAAATTTTCTCACACTGAAAAAAATTGCAAATAATTATTTTGCCGGTTATTATGAATTAATTTAATTGATGTTTAGAATTTTTTTTACGTCGAATTATCTGTAATTAATTTTTTCAATGTAGAGTTTATTTTTCTTTAGACATTTAAATAACAGTCCTATTTTATGAAACAATTGAAATTTGATCAAGTGTTGCGTTAATAATTCACTGAAACGAGCAATTTATTTTGATTGTCTGTGGCTAAAGGGGTGTTCGGAGAGACCTTTAAATTTTAATTTATTTTTCTTTTTTTTTAATGTTAGGCTTTTATGATTTTATGTTTTCTATTCAGCCAGTTTTTTCCAATAATAGTAATAAAATATTTATCAGAGAAATTGCTCTTTTTTATAAGTCTGATGTGATTGTAATTTCCTTTAATTACAATTATTTGATTTAATTTTTTTTTTTTTTTTTTTTTAATGGAAAAAATTCAATTTTTCCATAAAAGTTCAAAACTTTAAGGTACCATTTAAATTTTGTACGTACATTTTGATTAGATCTGTTTTATAATAGTTATCACTCAATGGATAAATTTACAACAACAACAAAAAATATATATATATAAATAAATAAATAAATAATTTAATTATCTACACTTATCAAAATATTTTTATTTATACAATTAGAAACTAAAAATTTTCTAAATTGAACCGATTTTGTTTTGTCAATGTTAAAGATTTCAAATATATGAATCAAATATTGAAAACTTACAATATAAATTCTTTATATTAAAAAATCATTTTAAATAAAAACAAAATTTTATTTTTTTTACATTCAATTGATTTAAAATTATTTTATTATTACTATATATATATCAATAAAATGCAATAAATTTTAAAAATAAACAAACAAAAAAATGAAAATTTTTTAAAAACCAATATTATAAATATATTCAGGTACAAAATAAAAGAGAAATGAAAAAAAAAACAATTAGCAAAAAACCGGCTGATTAGAGATTATATACCTATTTATCAATTGTTACTGGTGTACTTTTTTGTTTTACGGTATTTTTTTTTTTTTTGACTAATATATCAACTATAATTAACTTAACAATTAACTATTGCTAGTGTGACAATAAAAGGCTTTAAGCCCCTAATCAATTAGTTTAGAATTTAAGCTACATGGAAGAACAGACCTTCAGTCGTAGCAAACGGAAGATAGTTTTTAGAATTTGAATATAAATCATCCAAATTGCGTGATTTTTTTTCTTGATAAAACTACATATTTATATGTATATTTTTAAATCTACAGTGCGATTTCAGTTTAATAGTAAAAATAAAAATTTTTCTTTTTTTTTTTTTTTAATTAATATTGTGCCTATTGGGAAAAAAAGCGGACAAAGAATGCCAGACGATGTGTTCAAAAAAGAAAAAAAAAATGATAATTCAAAAAATTGCTGTGTTATTAAAGTTTCTCACTACGAAACTAGAAAATTAAATCTACAATAACGATGCGATAACTTTAACAATATACTCATTTTTTTTTCTTTACGATATCACAGTTAATACGTAAATCTTGTTAATGTTACGTCGAAATAATATTAGAAATTTAAAAAAAAAAAAAAAAAACAAACAAAACTTTACACTAATATAAATGACGTTTTGTCCATTTCAATTTTTCCCTACTTTTTTTATAATTAAAATATACAATATAACAGTTTTCTTTAAAAAAACAAAAAACTATAGTAATAAAATTTGTTTGAAAAAAAATTTTCATTTTTTAAATTATACAATAAATGCTTTATATTTATAATTGATCTTGAGAAAAAAAATAATTATAAATTTTGCTAAATTTTGAACAATATTAAAACGAATTTAAATTTAATTTCAACAATAAATTAACTCAAAGTATATTTTCAAAATATATGAATCAAACACAAAACGAATTATTTAAAAAAAAAAAAATACAAATAAATGAAAATTTCATATATTTTTCATTATGCAAAAATTCGAGAGATCAATTTTATAAAATCATTTTTTAAAAATAATTTTCTATTAAAAATTAATAATATTCATAATATTAAAATTATTTTAAATTTCTGAAAAATATAGTAATAGTAATAAACAATAATAATAATAATAATAATAATAATAGTGCCTAATTATACTTTTATACAATTAACATAAATTAAAATATTTAATAATGAAATTTTCAATAATTAAAAAAGATAATATCGTTTTAGAAACTTTCACAGTCTGCGTTTGATGTTTTTTTTCTAATTTGAGTTTCCACAATTTCAATGTTACTTGTTTTTCCAAAAAAAAGTGATAAAACTACTAATAAAATCGAAATACATTAATTTTTTTTAATGGCATTCTTCTCTGCACTGTCGGGTAAAATGTTCATAGGCATTTAAATTCGATATGATTATGTGAAAAAAAATTTTTTTCTCAAAATATAATTTTTCATTAAAAAATGTTAGACAATTCTAAAAAAAAAAAAATAAAACTAAAATAACAAATTTAATTATTAAATTCTTTAATTAAAATTTCTTTCTTTAATAATAGAATTTTACTCAATTTAGAAATTTGATTTTGTTAAAATAAATTATATGTGCTGATACGAATTTGTAACATTAAATCCGAGTGCATTACATTGATAATTTTTAAAATTGGTGTTTACCAAAAAAATTTTTTTTTTTTTAGGAAGAACTTTTATCACGCGGGCGGAGCCCTGTAAAAATATACCTTCTTTTTCTATATAGTATGTATATAGTCTACACAACACTTACAAGGCTCGCAGTTTCGAGACTCACCTCTAGTTTTTAATTTTTCTCTTTGAATTTAGTTGATTTTTTTTTATTTGATTTTTATTTAATTTTACCATTCTTTTTTTTTTTAGATTACCATTGAGTGTTTATTATAAAAATAAGCTGGTATTTATTCAATCACCAGACCTGCGTAGTATGTGCTCATAAGTGAAAAATAAGAAATCTAGAAGCGAGTTCGAAATTAATAATTGTCTGCTCTCGCCTCACGAATCTATCATCATTATTATTATATACAGCGTATAATAATTGAAATCGATCTCAAAAGCCACAGAGAATAGAAAAAAGAGAAAAAACGATACATTTTTTTTATTTCGACCTTTCTTTTTTTAAAAAAAAAAATAATAATAAAATAATTATTATTATCATCTAATAACAGTGTGATAATAATTTATTTTGTGAATTAATCATAATTTTTATGATCAAATTTTCGCACACATTGTCATGTCAATCTTTATCCAGAATTACAATTGAATTTGCCTCATCTTTGGTACAAAAAAATTATTTGACGCGTATTTTTGAAAAAGAAAAAAAAATAGCTATAAAAAATTAATAATATTCTATCTACTTTTGTCTTTTACTTCAGTCCCTATTTGTCTCCAAAACTTATTATTATATTTTTATTAAAAAAAATTTTTTAAACAATTTTAAAGTTAGTCAATTTTCTTTTTTATAAAGAAATTAATGAATTTTTTTTTTTAAATTTATAATATTATACATTTTAATATATTGCATTATTAACTTAATATTATAAAACATTTTAAAATTCAATAATATATAACTATACTTAATATTAATTTAATAAAAATATTGTTTATTTAATAATTTTTTATATTATTATATATATTAAAAATCAATCATAATTAAATGTAATAATCAATATTCTAAATATTCTTCAAATTTTCTTTTTATGTTTAATAAAAAACAAAATAAATAATTCAAAATTTCTTATTAATGTAATAGACAAAAAAAAAAAATAATTGCACAATATATTAAAGTTGAGATAAATTAAAATTTAAGTGACAATAAATACTTTTTCTTGTATTTTTACTATTTTAACAAAAATTAAAAGAAAAAAAATTTTATGACGATTTATAAAAAAAAATACAAGTAAAATAATTTTTTGTTATTTTTTCAATGGTTTTAATTTTTTTTAACACAAAAAAAAATAAATATTGTCTTTTTTGAACAACTTAAATATCAAGAGATATTTTTACCTCTTTTTAAAAATATACAATCGAAAATAAATTTTTCAAAATATAATCTCGGAAAATCGAGAGAGACAGATTCAATAATCATTCTGTATAAATTCACGCGTACACGGTACGTTAAATATATTCTCTTTAAATATATTATATAAATTTTTAATAATATGAATAGTAATCAATCGTATTTCTATACATATCTACAGAAGAAAATCTAATATAGATCTATTATCAATATTTAAACTCTCTATGAATTAATATATTTCTATATATATATATATATATATATATATGTATAATCATTCGCAACATTTGACAAAACATTGTCAAAAATCTTTCTTGCGTTTTTTCATTTTTTTCTTTCTCATTCATTTACACTTGACTCGAATTATTTAGACTACTTCGTTTATATAATTTATAATATAATATACATATATGTATATCTCTATATATTTATAATATTTATAGACTGATATACAGGTAATTAATCTTTTACTGTTTTTATTATATTCTAATATTGCTTCAAGATTAGTGCTACGGTTGTTTGTTTTGTTTGTTTTTTTTCATTTTGGCATTTAGCGAGTTTCAAACCCTGAGCAACCGCCAATACCGAAGATTTACGATTTTTCGGAATTGTATATAATACGGTTGTGAGATGTGAAATTTTTTTCTCTTTATGTGGTGAAGGGAAGAGAAGGGGGAAGATTTTTTTTTTTTTTTTTTAACGCGTTTTCTGTAAAACAGGGAAAAACAATTCAAGAAAGAATTTCGAAAAAATTCTCTCATTTAAAAAAAAAAAAATTGATTCAGGCAGATCTTTTTCTTTTTTTGAAAATGCGATCTTGATTATGAAGGTTGCTCTATTTGAATATCTTTCGCGTGATTCCTATATATATATATATATATCATAATAAAAATAAGAAGAAAAAACCGAGAATTTCTTATAGCGCTGCCATGAATTGACACATGATATTATATATATATATGTATATATTACCCCTTGACCTGTTTGAGGTAACGGTTGCCCTCGCCCCACTCTCTCCAGCGTCGACGTCGCTTGTCATTATTATTTGAATAATCATTATTACTGCTGGTTGATCTCCTTTTTGCTTTTGGCGCTCCTTCTGTTTTTGATCCTCCCCCTCCTCCACCGCTATATCCTTGCGAATGATACGATCGATTTTGATTCAATACTGTGCTGACACCAGCTAAATTCAATAAAGCATCTGCACCTTCGGCAATTTTTCTTTGTTCATCGAAATCCGCACCTGAAGATTCGGTGTTTGAACATCTTTTGCTGGAGGGAAAAATTTTAATAATCATTTTTCTATCGATTTTCATTCTAAACTTTTTAAACAAATAGAATTCTAAAATTTAATTTTTCAACTGAATTATTAACATATTGCAACAATTTTTACTAACTTTATTTATCAGGGTTGCCATAAAATTTAATTCATATTTTTTCTAACTTTTATAAATAAAAATTTTGCCTTTTTCCGAATTTTTGAATTTAGCTCTACTGTTTATTTAAAGGAAATAATTTGACGGACAATTAAAGCCAAAGTCGGTGCAGTTTCACATTTTTAGTTTTAAATTAAAAAAAAAAAAAAAAAAAAAAAAATGTTTACTTTTTTTTTCAGTTAAAGTATGGACAATTTTAATTTTTAAACACTTTGAATAATTGAAAGTTATTTTTGGATAAAGATTAAAAATTGTTACAAGGAGAATAATTTCCCTTATGATCTCATAAAAAAAACATTAACAAAAGAATAGAATTTTTTTTATCTTAAATACTTATACTAATATATGTACTAATAATAATGATAAATCTATTAACACGAATAATAAAGTTTGATTTTTCCAAGAATATTATTACACTCATATATTATATTCCTGATATTTTAAAATCTATTTTAAACTTAAATGGAAAAATTTCAGTTGATTTCTTTTTTTTGGCATCTATGAATTTTTAAAATTTGTTACTTTCATCTTTCAAAAATAGAATCCCTAATTTTGAGAAAAAACTGACATTATACCAAAAAATAATACAAAAATTTAGTAAATAAATATTTAAAAATTTTTTTCTATAAATAGAATAATGTAAATAGATTGTAAAAATAAAAAAATGCTAATAATTTCGAACCTTTCGAGTTTAATAGAAGTGATGCAACTATAAGTATGATCCTCACTAGAGCTCCTGGTGATTACCGGAACGAGCTTTTCCGGATCCGGAAACTTTCTCTTGCGATCTAGACAAGCAATGAGAGACCTCAATTCAATACTTAACGGTCGTCCGTTATAAACACCGCATTCAATTCAACAAAAAAAAAGTCTTCCACAGTCATAAAAAGCATCTAATAAACAGTTAATTGTTTCGTTAATAATTTCTATAAATAAATAATAATAAAAAAAATATATATCTTTGAATATCATGAGAAATATAGAGATCACAGTAGAATTTAATTTTAGATGAAAAGGATTTTTTTTTTTTTTTTTTCAAAAAGAGATTTTGAAAATCAAAAAAATTTAACAAACATGTTAGTTTTAAAAAAAAAAAATTCTTAAAACTTTATCATGTAAGGTAAAATTTGTCATATTTCTAAACAATAAATATTGAATTTAAAAATGTTAATAAATAAACTTTCTCGAGAAATATATAAGAAAATTGTGAAATTTTGATATTTTTCAAATATTAATATTTTAAAATTAATTTTTACAATTTTTTTTTATGCCATTCTCAAATTAATTGTATTTAATAAATTAAACTCTTTTGGATAAATATCAAAGAATAAAATTTATCTTTATAAATTGTGTAATTTTTTTTTTCCTCTATTAATTTTTGTCAATTTTTATTTTTTAAACTAAAAAAAAAAAAAAAATGTCATTAAAATTGAAAGACAGGGACCAACTGTGATTTCTTCAAATAATAAAATAAAATGTACCTTTATTATGATTTAAAATAATGGGTCCGTGTTTAAAAGAAAGCATGGCAGCCGCTGCAGCATCAACATCACTGTCAATCTCATTGTCATGTGTATCGCAAATATTGCTTGATGCAAGTCTTTTTGAAAGATAAGGAAAGAGAACGGGATCAGGAAGTCGTGTGCTGACACTTTTTCTTGGTACTTTCTCGGGCGATGAAATATTTTGAGCAGTTGGCGGAGGAAATGGGGCACGTGAGAGTGCTTGTATCAAATTTGGACGATATTGCGCATCCACCATCCACAAAGAACCTTTTCCCAAATTCTGAAAAAAAATGCACACAAAAATTATATGTATAAAAAAAAATAAATAAATAAATTATCTCATCAAAATGTTAATTCAAATAAAAAGTTCATTTCACAATTACAAAATTGGAGAATGAAACGAAATTTGTAATCGTTACAATCTATTTTGAATTAACATGTGATCTAAAAATAAACACATTGAACTATAAAGTGAAAATGGTGTGTAGTAGACTCACTGAGGCCTTTTCAACTTTTCGAAAGCACTTATTTAAACTCAAATTGTGTCTGACTGAGTTCTTCCAGCCGGTTGGGGCATTTCTAAAATATGGAAAATGATCGAGAATCCAAGCGTAGACCTCTTTAACTGGTAATGCTTTTACTGGACTATCCTCAATTGCCATGAAAATTAAACACGAAAAAGAATATGGTGGTTTACTATTTTTGTGTAATTGAGGATCATATGGTATATGTGTTGGATGCTTCATGCGATTTGATACTGGAAGATTATTATTGCTCAATGAGATCTTTGAGTGATTGCTTGGTATTCCATCAAAGAAGATTTTCTCCTGGAAAATTTGTGATACTTTATGATTTCTACCTGCCGATTGATAATTTGGATTTTGCACTGAACTATTTGGACTCTTGCCGTTGCTCTCTGTAAAAGTTTAAATGTATTTTTTTTTTTTTTATTTTAATTTTTTTAATATAATAACAAAAATTTATTTTTATACAATAAATAAATTAATTTCAATTTTGTGAAGATAGTTGGAAAAGTAAGAAAATTTATTTAACATGTTTGATTTTTTTATTTTTTTTTTTCATACCTGGTGAATAACTTTCATCAAGACTGGATACAGAATTTGTATTCTCTGAGAGATCATCGCAAATATTGTTGTTCAAGACATTTTCTTCTTTGGCATTCTTGGAAGATTTTGAAATTTCAAGACTCTTCAGTAGATTTTGCTGATGAAGCCAAGTAAGAGATGTCAAATCATCATCGGACTGATTGCTTTTCATGGATTTATCACTTCGTGGACTTCCCTCATTCAATTCGTCAATGGAGCTGCCTTCAGTTGCAATGTCTTCGTCTCTCACAGAATAAACAGCTTCACCACAGTCAAGGACGTGCGTGACAGTCAAACCAACGGCAGTTTCCATATTTGATGTATCCGGCCTGTCTGGTGCCATTATTTTACTTTTTTTCAATTTTTTCAATTTTTTCAATTTTTTTTTTTTTTTTTTGGTCTTTCAACTGCAAAATTCCAATTATAGAAAAAAAAGTTCAATTATTCGAAATATCATAAATTTTTAAAATTGAATTAAATTTCGAAAATGAAATAACTTAAATTAAATTCAAGTATTTCTTTCATTATTTGGTAAATAATAAGGTTATTTAAACAAAATATAAGTTAATTTCCAAGCAAAAAAAAAAATTTATGCACACTATGAAAATTCGTTTGAAATTTTTAAAAATTCTTAACAATTTGACAGATATTTTGTATTCTGTCAATCAGCTGTTATGGTTGCACGTGACGTTTCAAAAATACATACGTCACTTCTTTCTTAAACATCAAAAGAAAGGTTATGTTTACATCGAAACGTGTGTGTGTGTGTGTTTAATATATCATTGATACCTTTTTTTTTTTTTTAAAGTTAGGGGCAATGATTTTTCCAAAAATAATTTATTATTTTATAGCTCTTAATTAAATTACTCTATAAAATTTCTAATATCAATAAGTGTCATTTTTTTTCTCGTCACATTAAAAATAACATTTTAATATGGTAATAAATTTAATTTAATTTACCTATGGTTAACTTTCATTTGTTTTCCACATAGATAACTAAAAACTTTTCATTAAAAAAGAAATAATATTTTGAATTTGAAAAAATTGTTTAAAAATCGCGCAATTTTTCTATAATAAATCACGTGACAGATTCTTTTCGTTTACATATGTAACTAGTGCACTATTGGTGCAAGATCGATGATGTTGCCAACTAATCACCAACCGGAGACACGTCACGCAAGAAATGAGCTTACTCTCAACTTAATATTGGATGCGTTTGTATTTTTGGTACTGCACATACATATATATATATACACACACGCAGATCTTGTTTATATGATAACAATGCGCGACAAAATGGCTACCGTTTATTCAAAGAAAGTGCATTCAATACACTAAAAACTTTGTCACAAAATAACTAATTACAAAAGAATAATAAATAAAAATCACTTTCATTAAATGTCAACACTTATAACTTTTTCAATAAATATTTCAATCCACAAACAAAACTCATGTTTGTATTTTGATTTTTTTAAAGGAATTTTAAATATGGCGTCGCCCTTTTGAATGCATGTTGCGTGTGTATATATGTATTTTTGCATTGTTAATTATGCGATATCACGGCGATGAAAATTTTCTTTTTTTTTAACAACACTTTTTATGAGTATTCAAACAATATCTATCCAATATTTATAAATTGTCTTTCTTTTTTTATTTATGTTAATAGGTTTAAAAGAAAAGATATGTTCACGAAATAATAAAGACAGATTTTTGTTTATAAAGTTGGGAGAAAAAAATTGATAGTGTACATGAAATTATTTATTATTCTTAGAGAAAAAAATAAATGAATTATTTTTGTTAATTTTTTTTTCAAGAATCGTGAAATAAAAATGTCAGCTAAATACACGATTGCATTACTTGTTGAATTCAAATATGGAGTTGATAATGGATTACGAAACTTGAGTATAAGAAAATAAAAATGGCTACGGACATTGCTTGCACACGGCATCAACAAGATTTTCCATGAAAATAATTACAAAATAATAAATTGAATTTTTGAAAGAAAAATTATTCTTCTATAACACGTAATAGTTAAGCTGAATTTAGACAAAATCACTTGCTCTATTTTCAATAGTTTTCCTTCGACATGTCGTCACACTCTTCACAATTGCCCTCAATAGCAGGAAAATATAAAAGAAAACCTCTTCTTACACTGATTTTTATATCAAAAATAATATCAATAAAAATGTTAAAATTATTTTTCTTCACAACAAATTTTCAAAAAATCAAAATGTTTTTAGAACATTCAACACATGATCTGGCGTTTTGCGTCTTCATGTTCACCATGGTCATTATTTTCTTTTTTTTTTTTTAAACTAATTGTATACAATTTACATTGATTGTTGAATATTAATTTTTAAAAAGGTTTTTGAAAACGAGTAAAATGTTTCTTTTTCAAAAACTTACGTTTTCACTCACGCAGACGGTGTTCTGGAATACTTTTCCCAATGAGGAGCATCTCAAGCACTTACTCTCTACACAAATATCCAGCTGATCTAAACGCCATATTGGTTTATTTTGACGTCAGTAAAAAACACGATATATCGCTGAACAATATATCGAAATTCAAATTTAAAAAAAGGAGGGTTTACACACCAAGAAATTTTCTTTAAAAAACCATCGTTCCATATATATTTATTAAAATATAAATGATTTTTAAAAAATGAACCAATTGTTATTGTTTTTAAAACTCTAAGTTTTTTAATTTCTTCAATTATTATATTTTGTAAATTCAATTTCTTTTTTATTGCTTGACTTTGAAAATTGCGAAAGTGGGAATAATAAAACTAAAATAAATAAATAATTTTTATTAAAATATTATATAATAAATTATCCTTTATTTATTAAAATGTTAAATAACCAACAATTGAACATTTGAAAGCAAATTTTTTATTTTCACTAAAATTTCGAATCTCACAGAGATGAATAATCGGAATGTCAATAAACGTTTGAACAAATTGATCAACACTAATATGAAAGACATGGTTTTGTGTGAAATGCATTTTTCTTTTTGTTCCTGGAAATCTAAATTGTCACAGCCGACTTAACGTTAGATATACATACTACATATGTATATTTCTAATATATATATATATTTATTATTTTTTAAATATATAAATAGAACTTGATTGTAATAATAGATAGAATAATAATAATATTATTATTATTTTTATCTAAGATCTACAATTATTTTGATAGTGAATGTGTACTTTTTCTTTAATAATATAATATTTAATGCGAAATATTATTATTAATGCACTGTAATTCCTACCAATATTTACATTCAATATTTAACATATGTGTGATTACATTTGAAATTTAACTACGTCCTTTTAAATTCGAATAAACATATTTATTCAAATTTAAAATGTCATAGGTAAATTTCCCATGAAAACGACCATATATACTCTAATTAGTACTTTTTTTTTTTGTTTATTAAAGTTTGTATTTTTTTTTCTTTTTTGGATGGAAACCAAATAACAATTATATATTCTGTTCTTCCTTTTTTTTTCAAAAATCACAAATGTTTCATTAATTATTACAACTAGAAGAAGTTTTTTTTTTTTATTTCAATTAATTATTATTATTAAAAATAATAAACAGGATTTTAATTTTATCAACAGAAAATTGACAACTGGCACAGTTTAAAATTTATGGCACTGCCCCACTTTTTTTTTTGCCAACAAAATAAATTTAAACAAACAATAAACAAGATCCTCAGTGAATGTGTCATTTTGTATAAAAAATAGAATAGAAAAATTTATTTCCGAGTAAAAAAATAGCCTCATGAAGATTTCAAAGAAGTTGAAAAGTACAGAGACCCTATTTTTCTTTTTTTTTTTTGTTTGTTTCTTTCTTTTTACAGAAAAACAAAAAAAAGAAAACAAGAGTTGTCAATCATTTTCCATATTTTATCTTAAGCATGACGTTTTGTTTGTTTGATTTTTTTCTTCAAAAATAAATTACATCTGAAAGCAAAAGAAATAAAGATTTTCTCTTTAAATGAAAATGAAATCTATTCTTGTATTCTAGTCTATTTTTGTGCAGGAATCGCAAACACGAACTGGATTTAGCCAACCGCGACGAGGGACTGGTTTTTTATGTTGTGAACAATCTTGACATACACCACGACCACAATCACGACAATGATGTAGAGGAACCTTATCTGAGAATTCTTTATCGCAAACACAACAAAGAATTACTTCCGAGTCAGGAACCCAATACGTAGGCCTTGCAGTGTCTTTAATCAATGCTAAAATAATTTATATGTTTAATTATATTTAGTCAATTATCTTTAATAATTATTTAATATGAAAAAAATTTCTTTGTTATATTTACTAAGAAAATATATATTCAAATATTATTCTAAAAAATTCATTAATTTAAATTTTCAGGATATGTGAATTAAATAAAATTGATGAGAAAAAGAAAGTTGTATTGGAAATAAAGAATTAAAAATTTTTAAATTCTGATATAAATTTTGTACTTAATGAATTTAAGAGAATATTCACATTTTTTTTTTTTTTTTTTTTTTTTTTTTTTTTTTTTTTTTTTTTTTTTTTTTTAATACTGACAACTTACATTTAGAATAAGAAAGAACAGATCCAACAGCGCTGAATGTTGAAACAACGTGCTCAGAAACTTTTCTGACACTAACATCTTCTGTATTTTTGGACTCGTTATTCGAATTTGTCTCTTTATTGTAACAAAAATCACAAACTCTAACGGGTGTATTCCAATTTCTCTCTGGTACACATTTTGTTCTTGACGAACATGAAGCACAAAAACCTTCGCCACAAGAGCGACAATGATGTTTTGTGTCCGTAGGTCCAAATAAATTATTGCACTTATGGCAGTGTTGAATCTCATTATTTGGTCGCCAATAAGTTGGAGCAACTTGATCGGCAACCCAAGCGGTTATTGCTTTCGTCGGTTGTAAAGAAACATTTGTTACAGCTTCACTTAAATAGGAGACTCCATCGAGTACTCTCTGAGCTGTATTTTGTGGTGTAATACTGATATTTGTCTGTAAAATTTGTGAAAAATTATAAAAAAAAAAAAATTCAGAACATAAATCATTAAAAATATATATAATTTCTTTTTTAATTCTAAATTTTTTTCTAATTTTCTGATTATTTCTTTTAAAAATATTCGATTTTAATTTTACCGTATTCCAAACATGAGTGATTTCAGAACGAACAGACACATCCTCGGGATTCTTATTACCATACCAATATTGACGGCTTCTGTAAATTTCTCCGCATTGCGGACATTCAATTACGTATCCGGTCCATGCATATTTCGCCAAACCGTACCAACTACTGTCATTTTGTGTTTGTGTTCGACTCGTCACTATAACTTCATTTCCATTTCCATGGCATTGTTTGCAAATGTATACTACATTTTCATACTGATGCTGATACCGACATCTTTAAAAAAAAAATTAAAATAAAATTTCAAGAGAATTTTTAAAAAAATGTCCATTTAGTAAATAATATTAAAATATCTAAAAATTTCATAAAAATTAAAAGCCTAGAATATTTGGAGATAAAAATCTATCATTCAAAGTGTATTACTTAATTATTATAATCCAATATTTTTTTTTTTTCTATTCATAAAATTTACTAATCACAATTTCCACAATATTGAAATTATATACTAAATTTGTATTTAATATAATTAAAATAACATCCTTTAAATAATTTATTATATTTACTAAAAATACTCAAGGCAACTAATTGTAAACAATTTTGAGAAATTTAAAAATTATTTACAAAAATTTATAATGTAAAAACTAAACAAAAATACTATTTTTTTTTTTTTTTTTTGCTATTTCCATTGAGTTACTTCAAATAGACAACAAAATTTAAAAATCAGTCTTAAATTTAATGCAAGTATTTAAAAAAAAAATTTACTAAAATCTGTTGAAATCTGAAGACTGTAGGCTATTTTAAATCTCGTTTTCTAATTTTGTCCTAATGTTGCCTCCCGCCCTTTCTAAATTTTAACAATTTTTTTTTTTTTTTACCAAAAGAACTGAAATTTAATACAGTTTTTTTTTCCAAAGTGAAAAGGAAAAATAAGATTCAAATTGAAATTAATTTTACTATCGTTATATAAAAAAAAATTTTTAAATTTACGGAAAAAAAGTTTGTTTTTTTCCTTAAATTTTATAATTCTCGATTACAATTTTGTTTTTTTTGCAAAAAAAAAAAAAAAAAAAAAAAAAAAAAAAAAAAAAAAAAAAAAAAAAAAAAAAAAAAAAAACAATTACCTGGTATCACTTGTATGTGGTTTTCCTTCACGAAGATGGCCCATACTATTTTGACATCGACATCCACAACTAAAACATTTCACAGGACAAGTGAAATATTGATCGGGAAATAGAATAATTGAAATATTTTCAATTTCACCAGAGAATTTGTCATTGAGAATTTTTAATGTATTGTAAACTAAATGCGGTTTTCTTGCCGATCTAACAGTTGTATTGTCTAATTCATTTCTAATTGCCAAACGCAATGGTTCATAATCAGTTGGAGGATTTAAAGTTTGAACTCCCACATATTTAATTGAACTGAATGCCTCAAATTCCAATCGCATTTGAGCGAATCGTGTTCTTAAAATGTCTTCTGCACTTTCGGCTGCATCTTTAAAATCATTATTATTATTATTTTTTTTTTTTGCTTTATTTTACAACAATTAAAATTAGAAATAATATGTAAAAATAAAATTACCATTTGTTAATGGACTCGTGTGTCTTGTTTCGTGAAAAATAATTACACTCGGTCCTAAATTACTGACAGAACTCAAAACTCCTTCCCTCTGACCAACAGCCTGCAAAGCTGATTGAAAATGATGACTGTAAGCGCGAGAGGCTGCTCCCAAAAATGTAAATAAATCACGATGTAATCTTTCAGCACGAGTTCTATAAACAACAATATCAGAAACTGCCAAAACTTTTAAAAGTAATCTTGTGCGTTCATTTTCATGTACAGTTACACCTGAAAAATAGAGAAAAAAAATTGTCAATTTTTTTTTGTTTATCGCATTTCATTGAAATTTATTTAAAAAAAAAAATAATAAATTACCTAAAAGTCCTTCAGTGTCCAAGCAAATAATATTAAGATTTGGATCAAAAGCAGCCCAAACGCCAAGTGTACATGAGCTTTGTTCATTTGATGTTTTAAAAATTTCTCTACCTTTAAAAAATGTTTGATTAAATGTATGACTTTTACCATCACCTGTATTGCCAAATATTGAAACAACTTTAATTTTTAATTCTTTATCGTTACAATTCAATTTATTGATAAATTGTTCAACATTAGAAACTTTAAGACGTTCCTTTTCGTCAATGAGAAGAAAACTTTGTAATTCATCAAATGAAAGTGATGATGATTTTGAATTAATTCCTTGTAATTGTGATGAAACACCATGTAGAGATAAATTATTTCCCCCTTGATTAAATGGTATAGTCAATAATTGATTTTCATCGCGATTATTTATGGAGAGACTGTCTAAACTTTCCATAATTGCTGGACTTGTTCCATCAACACGATGGCCATGCCAAATTGAGTGAGTTTTACTTCGATAATCTAAAGCACTCATTTTGCCCTTTTCTGGAGTTTTTTTTTTTTTTTTTTCAGTGCATGGTATTTTAAACCTGTTAAAAATAGAAAAGTTGATCTATAATTATTTACAAAGACTTTCTCTATTGGTTTTTAGTTATTCTATTTTCATTCTCTAATAATATAAAAATGTTTGAGAAAAATATTATATTTACAAAAAAAACGTTAAATAATATAAATAAACATACAATTAAAATAAATTTATATATATAGAAGTTTAAAAAATATATTTTTAAATTTATAATTTCATTATGAATAGAAATTAATACAAAAATTATCAATACACGATGAACAAAAAAGGAATAACAGTAATATTGATAAAATTATAATTATAACTGTCAGAAGGTTATCCTAACCCTAAAATTGTTTACGCGCATATAATTTCGTAAATATAAAAAAAAATAATTTAATTTTCACATTTCAAATGAAAAAAAAAAAACATATTACTATACAAAATAGAAATAAAAGTTATTTTGCAAAAGAAAATTGCGGAAAAGAAACACTCGAGGACACCAATTGAAAATTTTGTCAACAACTACTGCGCAATTTCCAATATAGAAATTTAATAATTTTCAATATACTTACTTTATAACAGTCAAAGTAAATTACTTTTATGAGTAAATTTATTGTTATTTAATGTAAATTTCAAATTTAAATAGTTTAAAGAAAATGTGAAACAATGTTTATTTTGAAATAAATTCTAAACAACAATTACGACGCAAGGAGACGCGCCTCCGCCATCATGAATACCTTTACTTTGCAAACTTCTATTTTAAAAACGCAAATTTATCAAAACAAAATTTATCTATTTCTGACAACTGTATAATCGAATTTATTAATTAATGTTTTGTAAAAAAAAAATTAAAACGTATTTTAAAAAGAATGTATTATTCTTACTTTTTATCAAATTCAATGATTCACTGCCGCAATTAAGGGTGCGCTGATAGAATACCTAAATCCGACTCCCGTGCCTCTACCAATCACTTTATTTAACATTGAAATATTAAAAACATCCTGATTGGCTAAAATTTTCTGCATGTATTTATTTAAAATTATTATTATTATTATTATTAAAATGGTTTAAAACAAAAAATTGATAATGAAAATTAAAACTCTTTTTTTATATCTATATGTTTTTGTTCAGAGAATTATTAAAATATGAATTTTGAATCTAAAATGGCGCAAAATTTATTAAAATTACAAAAAAATGACAAATTTTTTTTTCAAACTTTTAAAAATTATTAGACACTAATTTGTATTTTATAAATTTATATTTTTTTCCTATTAATAACAACTTAATTGGAAAAATTTTTTAAAATTAAAGAATTACTATATAGAATACTAAATTAAAAATCTTAAAGTGAAACATGTTTACTAAAAATTAATATTTAATACGGTATCTAGTTTCTAATTAAATCTCTTACAATTTTTTATTATAATTTAAATTAAAAATAATCTCACTAATTACAACAAAATTTATAAATTAATAAAAAATATAAAAAAGAATTTTTTATTTAAAAAAAAATTCTAATAATTAATTCTAAATTCCAATTTCATTAAAATAAAATATTATATAAATATTATATTATTAGTAAAAATTCAAAAAAGAATGAAAATTATTTAACAAATGTTTTGCAGAATTTTTTTTTATTTTCAATTTTTTTAGTTTCCTCGTTGTACAATAATATTCGTTATTAAACCAGTACAGGAAAATAAAATTAAACAGAGAAGAAATAATATTCGATCGATGTAATGCGATGCGGGACGACTGATCGAAGGAGGAGCGATTTTTTTTTTTTTTTTTTTTATAGCATTACATATTATACACTTATAGATTACAATTTTTATCAATTACATTTACATATGTATGTTCAAGTGAGTGAATGTCAGGTGTATGCATTTTATTTGTGTATAGATAAAATCTTAATAATATACCAAACAAATGAAAAATTCTGTTTGAGACTTTCATTCGTTTTTTGAAATTTGCTATAATTAATATTCCGCAAAAAAAAAGTACATCCAAAATTTACTTACAAGATGTTTAACTGTACAATTATATTGATTCTAACAAAAAAAAATTAATAAAAACAAATTAAAATAAAAATACAAACCTCTAAATAAAACTAAAAAAAAAAATTAAATTCTTAGCTGCCAATCGAATTTTCGGCAAAAAATATTTATATAAAAAAAAAAGAAAAGTAAAGAGCAGTTGGATCGTATATATTTATAACAAAAGTCTCAAACTACGTTAAGACGGATTCTCAAAAAAAGCATTAAGCTTCAAAGCCAAACAAAACTTATTTCATACTTTTTTTTATTATTTTTTTCTTTTTTCTTTTTTTTTTTTTTTTGATAATGAATTACTGCATTTCACACAAATTCAATTATACGATGTTTTTTTTTTCTTCAAGTGGAGATGAATGTCTTATTCAACTAATTTACATTATTATGACTGTATAAATTGTGTTTCTTACTACACGTAAAGGCGATGGCAGCTGTTTTTGTCCTCTTTCTTTCTTTCTTTTTTTTTCTTTTTTTTTTTTTTTTGTTGAAATTTATCCATTCCGCTTTTCTCTATGGCTATTGCCTCGCAACAGTCCAATCGCACCGGAGCAAATATTTATAAAAAATAAATAACTTTCAAAGAACATTTCTCATTTGACTAATATACGTTAATTTAATATCTGTAAATATTAATAAATAATAAATCAAATAAATAAATAATTTGTATGTTTAGCATCGTTTCGCGTATTTTCAATATACGATTTATAAAATACATTAACGGCTCTCAATATTATTATTATTCTTATTTTTTTTTTTTTGTTCGCCGTCTTTAATAAAAAAATATTATGTATATATTCGATTTTAAGCTTGCGTCTCTTATTTTCTGGATTTTCTCCTTTAAAAATAGGTGATATAGTCGATCATTTTCCAGATAATTAAAAAAAAACATTTTTATTTATAAATATTTAAAAACCATTCGCGAATATAAGTTTTATTTACATATAAAGAAACAAAAATTGATATATTTGTATATATATATATATAAATGCTTCCTAAAGAGGAATTCGTACTTTGATTATTTTTTTTGATATTAGGTTAATTATTGTTTGGAAAATATTCTTTGTATTTAAAATAAATATTTAAAATTTATACTCGCGAGGGTTTTTTTCTTTTTTTATTAAATATATATAATATATCAAATTGCAATTCATTTGGTTTTTGCTAATCACCGTAAAATTTCTTAGGTCTCCCTTCTTGTATTGACAAAAAAAAAAATCACTTGTAAAAAAGTGATGATTAGCTTTTGGTGATTTAATTATTATAATTACTCATTATAAAGTTAATTGATATGGTTGTATATCAAATCATCGACATTTTAAAAGCGCATCGCGTATTATATTGTCGACTATTGTAATACGAGATACAAAAATATTATTGTCTCTTTAGTAAACATATGTATATGTACTGCAAAAGACACTTTTTTCTTTATGATATTTTTTTTTTTTCAATATATGAATTTCGTTCTGAGATGAATGCCTCCTTTGCAATAATAATATTATTATTGATGTCTCTTAAATTCAAAAGATAATAATTTTTTGCTTTATTATTTTAAGCATTTTCTATATAAATTTTTTATGCCTTGGACAGGCAAAAATTCGTTACCGTTGTGCGTGTAGTAAGGGTTTTTCTTTTGTTTTTTTTCTATTCCCACCTATTTCTGTATGTTGATGATTTTTTTTTTCTATTTTCAATTAAGTACTTTTAACTTCTTTCTTGCACTCGATATTAACAATATCGACTCATTCAATGGCGAGGGATGAAAAATGTAGGTGTTTATATAAAGATGTCTCTTTCTTTTTTTTTTAAATGTTCAATGGGAATTTTAAAGATCAGATTCACCATAAAGAGCAGTGGAGAATGAACGATAATCGAGAGCACCTGGTGCTCCACCAGGTCCTTTAAATGGAGGCATTCGTTGTATACAATATTCTGCCTGATCAGGTGGCAATTCTCGTCTGAGTTCATCGGCTAGAATGTAAGGCTGAAAAATCAAAATCAATTGATTTTTTTAGTTGAATAAAATTCTCGATTTCTTTTTAATTAAAAAAAATCACATTATCCCACTTTAATAATTGTTAAAAATCGATAAAACTTCGTCTAAATATAAATTTTAAATTATAAAATTCGTCTTAATAGAAAATTAGGCCTTATAAAATTTGATTTACTGTAAATTCGAAAATTGTTGTAAACTATCAATTAAAATATTATTTAAATTAACAACATCGACAAAAAAAAGTTTAAATTTAAATAAATTGATAAAATAAGAATTATATTAAATTTTTTCAGAGTTTGAAAATTTAGTTACTTAAAATTAGTGTAAAGTTATTTAAATCTGTTTAAAAATATTTTTTTTTTTATAATTTAAATTTAAAAATTATTTTTATATAGTTTAAAAAATATCTAAATATAAAAAGAATTTCAAATTTAAATTATGTTGTTCACGTACAAATTAATAATTAAAAATGTATTTATAATCAGAAATTAAAAAATGACAATATAATAAAAATTTTGTTTAGTTGCAAAAAATTAGAGAATATAAAAATAATACATACCTTGTCTCCAGCGAGAATACGGAAGCTGTCTATGACTTGTTCAGCAGTGTCTGTATCCGTGGACTCGCGTGTCATAAAATCTAAGAAGGCGTCAAACTGAACATAACCAGAATTATTGGGATCAACAATAGCGAGAATACGTTGGAAGTCAATATCTCCTTGTCTGTCTTTTCCAATTGAGTATCCCAAGGATACAAGACACGATTTGAATTCCTCAGGTGCCAATCTTCCTGTTCTGTTCTTATCAAAGTGATTAAAACTGCTTCGGAATTCGTTTAGTTGTTCTTGCGTAATACCCTAAATAGTAAAAAAAAAAAAAATGAATAATTTCAGATACTAATATAAGTAAATTATTATTTTTTTTCAATAATAAAGTTGAGAATTTTTCAATATTAATTTTATAAAAATTAAATAATATATTTTATATTCTTATAATTTAAAAAATGAATAATTTTGTTTATTCTATTTAATTGTTTTGTTGAATGGATAAAAATTGAAAAGAAAATACCTTTGAGTCTCGTGTTAGAATTTGATTTTCGACTTCATTAATATTACGATTGATTGAAGTGAGAAGTTGTTCCCAACCAACGCGTAGAGTTTCCATTGTATATTGTGTATATCTATTTTCAAAGATCATTCCCTCTTGGACGGCCTGATGAATCTTTTCTAATTCCTCGAGATGTGCCTTATATTGATAAACGGCTTGCTCGTATTCTTTAAGTCGAAGAAGTTGATCTTCAAGTGTGCCCTGAAGTCCTAGTCCAATAGCGGACACAGCGTCCAATTGACGTTCTATCCAAGGACCAACGGCATTAGCCTTCTCTGCAAACTGTCTACGTAACAACTCATTATCTATTTAAAATAGATTAAGGAATAATTTACACAATTAAATTAATCAAACGTAAAGAAACTAAAGTCTCGTTGATTTTGTTTCTAAATTTCAATTCCAATTTCTGTTTCATTTATTTTTGCATATATTTTTTTTTTCTTTTTGTTAATTTGAAACTACTTAAATTTAGCACTATAACCTTTCGATTTTAATAAAGTGCTTTAAAGTGATTTTTATATTTGTATAAAAAGAATGTACAGAAAAAAAGTGAATTAAGATAAAATCTCTCAAATAAAAAGGATACTTTGCTGTTTGCGAAGTTCTGCAGCCAATGTGCCGTCACGTTGTGGTACCAATTGCCTGACGTCACTCCATTTTTTAGTAAGATCCTTAAAAATAATTAAAAAAAAATTAGAACATTGAAATCGCTATCAAAAAAAAAATTTTCAATCATAAACTTCAGAAACTAATATTTAAAAATATTGAAACTACTATCGAAAATTAAAATAAAATAAATTATTTCCCATATTACTCATAATAATAAATTTTTAAAAAAATTATTTCTTCCCAGTTCAATTTTTTGTTAATTTTATTAAATTATTTCATTTTCAAAGTATAAAATCAAATCTTAAACATATCAAAATTGTTTTAAAAACAAAAAATAATTAAGAATTAAAAAAATTATTTTGCAGAAACTAATTATTTAAAAATAGTGAAGTATTTAAATCAAAATTATTTCAAGATAAAAACCGAGGCATGAAAAAGTTAAATAAACACATTAGTATATTGAATATTTGCTAATTGATAAATACATACGAGAGCAGTAAGTGTCGTATATGGATTTTCAAGACCTCCAGGAATCTGAAATTGTTTGACTATAGATTCCACTTCACGAACAAGGCCAACAATTGAATTATATTCTTTGTCAGCTTCACCGAGGGTTGCTTTAAACGCAGCATGAGCATCCATTAGGCCCTGAATTTCTTCCATGGTATGAACAATAAACATATCAACAAGATCTTCTCTGGTCCCACCCAACCAATTGTTAAACGGCTATAAAAAAAGATAATATAAAATTTAAATACAATATTTTATAAATAAAATCTTAATTTTCTTCATTAATTCTATTTTATAATTTTACAATTATTTCCATTCTTTCTTTTTTTCTTTCCTTTTTGTATTTTTTTTTTTTTTTAATAATCGAAGAATGAGAGTGTATTCATTTAAATTACTTTTTTCTTCTATTTCTAATTAGAGATAAATTTCTTCTTACCGCAGCTCGTTTAGCAAATTCCAAATGCAGAATATCAATTTTCTCGAGAATGCGTTCAGCTTCGTCGAGGGCTTGACGTCTGCGTTGAGTAAGAGTTCCAAGACGATCCCATTGATCGCAAATTCGTTGACATCTTGAGTTCACAGAAGCACTGTCGTGATATTCCAGTGTACTAGAGAAAAACAGAAATAATATTTAAATAAATTATAATAGTAATAAATTAAAAAAAAAAGACAATTTTAAATGTCTTAAAAAAACTTATTAATATTTCCTTGTTTGTTAAAACAGTTATTTATTTTATAAATCATTTTAATAAATTAATTTAATTTTTTATATTACAATTATTATACAAATTTTGATAGAATTTTAAAAAACATCAAATTTTTATTTCACAGAACTTTTATTTGTCTGAATTATTAAATTTACGCCGAAATTTTTTGGCTCAGTTGAAATTCTGTTAAATGAAAATTTGGTTAAATTAAAATTAAAATCGTATAAAATTTATATAAATAAATAAATATTTTTTTTAACATTAAAAAAGTAAGTTAAATGAAATATTTAAATTGCAAAAATAAATTACTAGATAGTAATAATATTAAAAAGAAAATTACTTAAGTTCCTGAGCGATGGCAGCAATTTGCTCAACACGATCCTGATGGGCAGCGAGATCAGATTCAAAAGCCTCATGCTTTTTCTTGAGTGCTTTCAATTCGTTAAGTTTACATTGACGGAAGTGTTGAGATGTCAGCATTTCCTCTTTACCAGCTGTCCAATCCTCGTGAGCGTCTGCTTTATGTTTGAATTTTTGTGCCAAATGTTCTAATCGTTCAAGGCGCATCATTTCTGACAAAAGCCATTCTTCAAACGCCTTTTCAGCAAGTTCCAAACCTAAAAAATTATTTGAAAAAAAAAAAATGTTTAATTAAATTATTTAATTTAAATTAATTCCTTAAATAATAAAATACAATTTTTAATAATTAATTAAATATTTTAATCTTGATTACCTTTCCATGCTTTATTGATATCGGAGACCATTTTTCCCTCGGTTGGCATATAAGCAGGACGATTGCTTAGTCTGAGTTTTGTTTGAAGAGTGTTGAAATTCGTTTCAAGTTTTGCTTTTTGTTCAACACGTGGTGGTTTATGTTTACGTCTATAAGTTCTATATTCCTCCAATTTTTTTTGACAACCCGCTAATGAATTGTCAGTTTGTCGACTAGCGAGCCAGGGCATTGTCCTTCTGATCCATTCCAATAGATCAGAGGCCAGTCGTTCATATTCTTCCATTAAACGTTCATTTTCTTGATTTACCTTCAAGACCTTGCAAATTCTGTTGGCTGCTGTTTCGGCCTGTATTTACCCAATCCATAAAAAAAAATTACATTAATTTCTTTAAATTTAATTAAATTAATTTTCAATTACAAAATAAAAAAAGCTACAATTAAAAAGCGTAGGTTATTAAATAAATTTTTATCATTATTAAGAGATTCGAATTTCCTTTCTGTTTTTAGCAATCATATATTATTTTTAACAACAAAAAATTAATTACTTGATTACGTTTATTAAATAATTATTTAAACATGTTTCTGATAATTGATGTAATTTTTTAAATCGTTAGAGTGGAAAAATTCTCATTATATGTTGAAAATTGAAAACTATGGGAAATTTATTTATAAATAAGTTTTTAATTATTCATTAATAAACGTAATATAAAATGACAATTTTTCTTTTAATTGCTTTTTTTAATTTTGTTAAATAAGAAAAGTTATTAATTTTCAAATTCTGTGGAGGTATAAAAAATTAAACAATATTTTGTATATCTTCTGCTCTGTAGCACCGTTTAATGACAATGATACTCTATGCCTTTCCTCCCAAGAATTTTTTTTTTTTTTTTTTTCAAAAATTATAAGAAGTAAAAAAACAACTTATATGTCAGATTTTAAATACAAAAATTAAAAAAAAAATATTTAAATAAATAAGAAAAAAACACACCTTTTGGGCACCACTGAAGCAATGATAATACGAAGAAACATAAGTCATCACAGCCCGTTCATCAGGCATTGCTGTGTTTCGCATGTCTAAAAAAACACAGTCAAAAAACTCAAACCATGCATAGTTAGATCAAACATCCTTCTCTTTTCTTTCGATCCTGATTATTTCATTAAAAAGAAAATTCTTTATTTAAAAAGAAAATTTATCCCAATTCTTCGTTTATTTACAATATTAAATTATTTTTTTTAAAAAAAAACCTCCTACGGAGTTATAAAAATTTGCAATTTGAGATAAATTATTATTTTTGACTAAAATTGTAACAATTTTTGTTAAGTTCTTTTTTGTTTGATTATTTAATTTAATTTTTTCTAGAAAACATAAGAAATAATCAATATTTCGATAAAACTTCTGAACTTGTTTAAAGAAACCTTAGATTTAACTTGATTTTTAAGAGAAGGAAGCTTAAAAAAAAGGGGGTCGAAGGGACGGGGGATAAATGCAATTAGAGATAAGCGTAATTAATTTTTAAAATCGATTGTTAGAAGGCCACTTGATTATGGTTTGTAATAATCTCAACAATAGGATGAACAAAATCACACGCGGTTTATTTTGTGCTGACCTGGTGCGCACCCTGGAACGCGTGATAGTAGCAGGATACGTAAGTCATGATTGCACGTTCATCCGGCTTTGGAGTGTTGATCAAATCTAATGAATATAGCGCATCATATAAATTCCCGAAATTACTAACGGAATATTATCTCTTTAAACTTTAATCCAATATTAATTTATTTATCCGGAAGGTAAAAATGAATAAGCCCTAATATTCATTAGTTACAATTTTTCACAGGAATTTGAATACAATGTAGAAGCAAATTTTCTAGTTTATTAAAATTTCATTTTTAGTATAGAATTTTTATTTAATAGAATTTAAATTTAATATAATTTCTATTGAACTCGATTTTCATTTAAAAGAATTCTAATTTAACTGAATTTTTATTTAGCAGAATTCTCATTTAACAAAATTTCGACTGAGTGAAATTTTTAAATTACAGAATTGTTCATTTTATTGAATCTTTATTTTTTCGAATAGGTATTTTTTTTTTTTGAGAAATTGTTGGAATTTTTCAAAAACGACGAATTTTTATTTTACAGAACTTTCATTTAAATCGAATAAATATCAGACAAAAAGATTTCAGCGTAAATTTTAAAATAATCCAATCAGGAATTATTAAGAAAATTAAGATTGGTTAATTTTAAAATTCACTCCAAAATTTTTCTATACAAAGTGTTTGTTTGGATAGATGAAAATTCAACGTTTTAAAAATTCTATCAAATGAAAATACGATGAAATGGAAATTCTGGCATTTAAAAATTTGGCTCAGTCAAAATTCTGTTAAATGAATATTTTGCTAAATGAAAATTTAATTTAATTTTAAAATCCATAAAAAAATTCTTGAATTAAAATTTAGGATAAGTAAAAATTTTGTAATATGAAAATTCGTCCAAATTATTTACGCTCCCCGCGTTTGAAAAGTAGAAAAATATTTGAGATTTGTATAATAATTAATTATCTCCAAAGCCACAAATTTAAAATATATTAAAATTATATTCAAATAAACGAAATTTCGTAACAGTATGGGATTGGAAATTTTCTGAATTAACTCCGTTAAAAAAAAAAACAATTTTAACGGTCAAAATTCAAATTCACTAAAACGAACATTAAATTAAATAATATTTAATAATATTTCATTCACATGAATGTTTAAAACACCTGAAAGTTCATTTTTGAATTTTTTATCAATTTCAATTTACAATGTAGTAATTGAAATGAATTTTTTGTACCAAAAATTTTTCAATGAAAAAAAATATTTTACTTTAGAAATTAAAAATAAAAAAAAGAAAAAAAATGTTAAAAGCAAAAATTATGAAAAGCTCACCATCGGGATCCAACATTCTAGGAATATCGAGGTATTTCTCGGCAACGTCAAAGGCAGTATTTAAATTTTCCAGAGGATTGTCTTTACTGAGTTTATTGTAATCAATGAGATCGGGACGATGACGATGAATGAGAGCGCAAAAAGCGAGACCATCTTTGAATGAAAGATGGAAATTTTGAACATTGACATTCTTGTAGGGTGCAGTTTTACGTTGACACCAAAGAAGAAGACCCTCTTTCGCTGTCATTTCCTCAACGGAAATATCCTGAATTGCGAACCTCAAAATTATGGTCCAAATCATTCCAAGTGTCATCTTCAAGTTACCGTCAACAATTTCTGTTAAAAAATTTTTTTACATTTAGACAATTTAAAAAAATGAATAATTACAATTTAAAACTAATAAAATAATTAAAAATAAATAAAATTATTAAAATTTAAAATAAATAAATAAATAAAATAAATTTAAAAAAGAGAAAATTTAATTTGAAAATTTTTTAATTTAATTTTAATAAAATATCTAAATTTGCTTACCTTCTGCTCCAATGGAGACGAGCTTTACGCCCTTGCTAGCAATATAGTCTAAGGCTTTGTTTACATTGGCAATTTTATGGAAGCGCATTTTTCCACGGTCAGGTCTTGGAAGGGTTTCACCAGAGATCACCTCAAGTAGGAGCATCAATTTCAATCCATTCCTGAAGTCGTCTTCGATTGATTCGATGGCAGTTCCAGCTTTCCGGAGATGTGAATTGCACCATGCTGTGAATGTCTATGCAAAAAAATAATCATTTCATTAAATATAACTATTATTTTTTATAGACATAGTTTTCAAGTATTATTAATTTAACATATTTTTTCTTAAATAAATAAATAATATATCAAATTGAACATTAAATTTTGCGAATTAAAAAATATATTTTTAATACATTTTACGTACGTAAAAAAAAATGATTAATTTTTATAGAGAAATAAATTTTATTTCAAGATTTTTTTATTCGAAATAAAATTATGATTGAACAAAATAATACATAACTTTTTTTTTTCTTATCTTTAAAATAAATGTATACTTTATCTTATTATTGTCTTTGCAATGTTATTTTTATCTTGATTAACATTTCAAAAATTTGACTGTAAATTTACTGGAGTTGAAGAAAGAAAAAAAAAATATTTCTTTTAATAACTACGAATTCGATTTTCATTCCAAAGGAGCTACACTGATATTTTTAGTTTTCTCAAAATACATTCAAGGTGACATATCAGAATCATTAAAAAAAATTTCGAATCGTCAAATTTGTGGTACAAAATATAAACTATATTTCGTTTCATAAAATGAACAAATTATTTCAAATAATAAAATTAACTATTTTTAATTTAAATCAACTTAAATTTTATTAACTCTTATATTTAAAAATATGTTTCTAAAAAATTCATTTTTTACTAAATTTCTTGAAATTTTTAATTTTTTTTTTAAATAAAACCTGATCATAATTATAATCAAAAATTTAATAAAAATACAATCTGATAAAGCTGAAAATAAAATCCAATTCTAGATATTAAATTAATTGTGAATAAAAGTAAAAATATTTTTTAAAATTAGAAAATAAAATTGTTTGTTATTTTACTATTAGAAATAATTAAAATTGAATGGATTAAATTTACAATGTTAAAACAAAAATCAACGAAATGATGAAGAATTTAACGAGTGGAATTTTTTTTTTCAAAAAGCAGATATTGTTTCTACACGTCTAGGCATTTGGAACTTGATTCATCTTGATACAAAGAACTATATTTAGAATTGAAATAGGAGTAGTCAACTATTTTCCCAGCAATAGGAAACTCGCAAAAATTAACTTTAATATTGTATGCATTTTATTAAAACAGGAAACATAAGAATATGATCATTTTATAAAAAGGAATTGAATTTGCCTCTAAATTTGCTTAGAGTATATTTTAGTAACGACCCCAATCTCTCATTATATATCTAGTGTCCTGGTTCCTAAGCTTTGCTTCCTATCGCTCAGGCAATGCTTTATAATATCTTGCCCATAATTTACTTATCGATATTATTGAAAATAATTACAATTCAAAAAATTGAAAATAATCCTTAAAACTCCATCTAAAACTAATGTAAAATGTTTCCAATTTTTTACAATAGTTAATTAATTTTTTTAAAAAATACAATTTTTAATTTCAATTTCAGAATTAGTAAAAGTTATAGGATATAATAATAATTTAACTACTTTTGAAAAATAAGATATTTTAAATTATACTATTAAAAAAATTTCCTTTAAATTATTATAGTTAAATAACAATTTTTAATTTTGCTAAAACAAAAATATTTTTAAATATGAAATTTTGAATGGATAATTAATTTTTGTCTTAATTTAAATATATATATATTTTTTTTCAATGACACTAATTTAAAATAAAAATTTCATTGATGTGGAAATATATGAAATAACATTTTTTTTTTTAAATAAAATACTTGCTTTTTTAAGATTATTAAGAAAATTTAAAATATCTGTAAATTATGGAAAAAACTGTACTTCTTAAATAAAAAAAAAAAAAAAAGAAGGTTGAAGGTAAACATTTTTTTTCTACAGAAAATTATTGAGTGAAACTTAATACGGGTAGCGTAAAGCATGGCGAGCCAAAATTGGACATGAGCCACCTAAACCTTACAATCTATTTGTAAGACATCGGTTCCTCCCGCACCAGTTGCATTAACACACATCAAAAACATTTATTCATCCCTATAGGACCGGAAAATAATTTTGAAAAAAATTCATCTTTTTCTAACTAGCCTTCAACAATATAAAAATTAAATTAAAAAAAAAAATTAATTAATTTAATGATCATCGGTGTATTAAAAAATGAAAAATAAAATTAAACGATTAAAATAATTCGTTAATTTGTACTATAATATCTAGAATTATTAAATCTAAAAAAAAACGATAATTAAAGATAATATCATTTTAATTGTAAATTTTTTATTTGTAAGAAATAAAATTTTATTTTTTATTTTAATTTTTGTAATTAAATTCAAATTAATCTTTCATTAATCTTTTCATTGTTTGTAGAGAATGTGAATAACAATATACATTTAATTAAAATTCAAGTCTCTAGTTTAAAGCATGGAAATAAATGAAAATAATAGAATTAAATTGCAAAATCAAGTGATAACAAAAATTAATTATTTTCTTAATTTAACAATATAACAGTAAGTTTTATTTTATTCGATGATAAAGAATTCATAATTCTTTGCATATCGGAATTTATGAAGTATTTTTAAAAAGCTGACAAAGATAAGAAGTTGATTTTGTATTTTATCTATGAAAGTATAGAGAATTATTTAATTGTATACACAATTAGTGATTTATTCAGGGCTTAAAGTAATATTTTATTCGTTCAATTTTAGATGAAAAAAAAAAAAAATTTCTTTTCAAGAAAGAGAATTCTTTTCATAAAAAGAAAAATTTTTAATATTCAGAAAAAAATAAAATTTCAAATTTTCTTGTACAAAAATTAAAACAGAAATTTAATCTTATTGTTTACTTATTAACTATAATGTTGTTTTTTTAAATAAATAATTTTTATTTCACGAATATTATTTAAAGAGATCAACTGAGTTTAATTTATTCATATCGTAAATATAGACTAGATAACAAGCTACTCATGTAACAACCAATGATGCATGCGAGATGTACAAAATAAAAGAAACGAAAACATTTAACAATTTATAATTCAAACGATTGTATGTATTACAATATAAATAGTGTAATAACATTGAAGTTAAAATACATACACTTTGAAACTACAATACTTTTTTAAATTAGAAAAAAAAAACACTTGAATTATCCGATTTTTTATATATAACTAAAATTCAATTACAAAAATTTTTTAAATTAAATTTAAATATTTAAATTCTGTAAAATATTTGAGATTAATAAATTTTTTATTACTACGATTATTTGCCATTTTAAAAATATAAAAAAAAAAAATCACAAAAATACTCGAGAATTTTTTTTTAAATTTCTAATAAGAATTTTAATATTATAAAATTACTTGAAATCTGATATTTAATTTTTTGCACTTGGTAATTTGTTGATTAATCGAAAATTAATTTGATTTCATATAAATAATGTTTTGTCCCAAAAGCAACAGGTGTCGTGTGTAAATTAAAGAAGAGCAGGTGAAAAGGTTTAGACCGTTAAAATGCGAAACTACTACATAAATACGTAACGTTCACGAGATAAATATTCGTTTCGGTTGTACTAATGCTCTTTGATGCGCAAAAAATAAGAATTTTTTAGCAACGAGATTTTAAAATCAAAAAAACTATTTATTTATTTAAAGCAAAAGATGAATGACATTTTGAAATTATTTAATTATTTTTATTTTCTATTTTTTTTTTTTAATTTATATACCAAATTTGTAAAAAAAAATTAAAAATTTCTATTCCCTACAATTTATTAAAAATTTGAATGTTTTTTTTTTTTTTTTTTTTTTAATTTGAAATATTTGTTCTAGTTAGCGATCACTGACTTTGACCCATCAGGTAGGTAGGTAGGTTTACGGATTTATTTCTGAAGCTCTGCAGTCTCGTAAAGTCAGGTCAAGGTGCAACAAATGATTCTGAGTTTTGGCTTATTTTAACTTGGAATGTCTCTCCCTAATGGAACATCATTCAAGCTCTACTTCTTTTAGTCCTAAAAGCATGAAGCAAAACAACAAAGTTATTATCATTGCTATTATTATGTATTATTAAATAGAACATTCATTTTAACTGTATCAAAAATTGAATTTACAAATTAATATAAGAAAATTTTAAAATCACTTCGAGAAAATTTTATTTTTTATTCTTTGTAAACAAAATAATAATTTTCAATGTGTTTTTTTCGTTTAATTAACTTTAAATAATCGTTTATCATAGAAATGAGAATTTTTATTTATCACAAAATTTCATTATTTAAAGCGTCAAAAATTAATATCTCCAGACTGTAAGAATAATTTTTTGAAATACTATATATCAAAAAAGACATGAAAGTTTAAAGTTCTAGTTTAAAATTTGTACTATACATTTTTCTCTGTACTCTGATGATTTATTAAAGATAATTGAGTTCTTTAATGAAATAGAAAATAAGAATATAAGTATATATATTTTTTCAAAAGTCATATACGTGTATCATTAACATGATTCGATATGAAAGACGTATTTTAAATTTGCGTATATTCACCATCTGTTCGAAAATTACATTGAGCTACTTTCTAAAAATTCCCAATCATTCTCTGTTATAGAAAATAACGGCTCTAGTTTCAGTTTTGAACAGTAAATATACAATATACGAAAAAAAAAAAAAAAATTTATTTCCATATATGAAACTATATATAGGAAATAGATTTATAACTTAACATATTAATTTTGTAGACAATATTTTAAATAAAAACTCATTATAATAGAAAAGTGCGGCAAATTATAAAAAAGAATAACAAAATTTTAATTAACAAACTTTCGGAATTTCGTGAAGAAATATTTGAATAATGCAAATGCATCGAGTCCTTGCACTCTTAACAACACATGCGAATGACCTAAAAGTTCAGTTACCTCCTACTGTCCATTTCACAAATCCTGTCGATCCACTTTCACCCTGAATTCCTAAACTCTTCTACTTTTCTTTTCAATGAAAAAAAAAAAATGTTATTACCCTGACAGAGAATAATAATTTGACAAAATTTTCTGTATACAAATATGATATAACTTCTATATTCTAAATTTTCAATATTTTGAGAAATTCAATTTTTTTTTTTAATAATTTAAGAAAGTAAATAAAAATCTGAATAATTAAATTAATACAGTAATCGATAATTTGACGTTAAATTTAAGATTAAAACTTTCTTATTAATCCAGAAATAAAAAATAAAAGAAAATGTCATGACTTTTCTTTTAAATGTTTAACACTTTTTTCTTTTTAATTTATAAATACAAAGATGTTTCCATTTAATTACAAGAAATGAAAGTATCACTTTTTAAATGTAATTTTTTTCTTTTTTTTTGTTGATAAAATGTAATCATTGCGAATTAATTTGTTTAAGTAATTAATTGAACGTTTAATTATTGATTTAAAGTTATGAATTTCACAAAATAAAAAAATGTAATTTAAAATTAAAAAATGTTTTACTTGAAATGTAAATAAAAAGATTATTAAATATTTTAATATTAATTTTAAAATTATTCCATTAAATATTTATATTTTTCTGAAAATAAATTTATCATTAATTTTACTAAACCAATAATTCAATAAATTATGTTTTGACAATAAAATTAAATATTTTCAATTTAAAAATATCACTTTCACATCCAGAAATGATTTTTAAAAAAATTTTGTTGAATTTATTTCATTATAAATGAAATAATAAATATAAATTTTATTTCTGATAAAGAACTTTAAAATGGAATTTAAAAAAAAACAAATTATATATTTTTCAAATAAATATTTCATTTTATAATTTCTAAAAAGTTATGTTATGAAAAAAAAAAATTGTATTTTCATGATTAAAATATCCGTGAAGAAAATAAGAAGAGCTCAAAGAACTTGACGTGCTTTCATTGAGAATGTTTCTTCATTTTTATATAGTTCTATTCATATCTCAAGTGTTGAAAAATTTCATAAATTTGTATATAAAAACATTATAACAGAGATGAATGAATTGTGTCGTTTCGAATGATGATCATTCTATATATCCGACTAGATAATTATATATAATAATAATATATACGGCATATGTGAGCAATGTTATTTTCAGCACATATATAAACTTCAACGGTAAAGTTCGCTGCAAATAGAACGGAGCATAAAATTGTAGAGACTGTCAATGCACGCGGTGGAACGACCTCTTGCGCTTTACTTGCGTATATATCCATAGACGGTATCCGGATACTTTTCCTAATCTCTATATTAATAATGTCTAGGATATAAATTTACGACTGGACAGCTTCAATCATATATATATATCTTTCAACTCAATTATACTCCTTTTTGATATTTTCTCAATAAATTATTTTACATCAATAATATATACCTGTAAATAGAGAAAAATATTTCAATATTTATAACAATTATAATTCCAATTATTATTTTAATATAAATTCAATAATTATTCCATGGATGAGAAACTATAACGAAAAAAAAAGAAGAATTATTTTTATAAGAATTAAAAATAACTTTTCGAATATAGTATTTAAATTGACGCTTATCATTTTTTTTTCTTCTCGCGTACACGTTTGTTTATAAAAGCCGCTGAGAGAGATCTCGCGAGAGATATTTTTGTGAGACGTCGTTTTTAGACGGCCGTCGATGACGTAATGGGATGCTGGGCATCTATCCTTAACTATATTTCTTCTCATATACCCACGCTTATTTCACTAATTTCATTTGGAATTTTTTTCTTATTTTTTTTTTGCCCCCTCAAGTGTATGCCTCGTTTGTTAATACAATTTTCTTCAAAAAAGAAAAAAAAACTGAAAATAAAAAAGCACAGAATTTTTTTTTTTATGTTAATTAAGTAAACATATACTCTTTATTTCCTGAATATTTTTCATTACGTTAAAAAAAGAAAAAAATGTTATTCTCGAGTTTCACAATGAAGACAAATATTTTTATTCTTAATCCTCATTCCAAGGCGTTTATTTTTTATTTACAACTTTTAAAACATTCTACAATATTCTGAGTCATTAAAAAAAAAAAAAAAACTTGTTTTCACGTCTTTTTACATTATTGGCGCATTTGACGATAAAGACTTTTTTTTTGATAACAAAGACATTTTAAATGAACGATAATCAATAACCATTCGAAAAAAATATTTATAAATTTCAGGGAAAAAAATTCATATGAAAAAAATTTAAAGAAAATTTGTTCACTTTTAGATTATTTATCTTTTAAGAAATTATTTTATTTAATTAATCACTTTAGGCATTAAATTATTATTTATTGCTTGAATTTTCATTAATCTAGTCTATATTATTAAAATATTGCAATAGTAAATTGTTGCACAAAAATTCATTTAATTTCAATCCACAGTAATTGATACATTTAATACATATAAGTATTTTGATTCCAGGATGTAAAATCATAAATGTATTGAATTAAAAAAAAGAAAAAAAAAAATTTTGATCTTAAAATAAAAAAAAAAAACTTAACCTTTAGTAGGCACACGACTAATGTTTATAGTGATAAAAATAGACAAATAATTAATCTAATCAAACGAATGCGAATGAGATGGAAAAAAAGAGAGAGAAAAAAAAAGACTAACAAGTGTGAAAGTGGAATGTCCATTGCGTGACGGAATTGAACGGAAGTTGATATAGAAACGAGAAAACTTGTTATCATCGCATAACAATCGACTTACGTATAAATATATATACATAGTTTAAACTATGGCATGACTGGGTCACCCGATTTCAATCTGAGATTTGGCTCGCGGCCTAAAACTTTCAAAGGTTAACGATCTTTACGCCATCAAAAATTAAATAGACAGTGCGATAATTCTCTTATATGAACGCGTGCCTTGACTTTGTCAGCGAAAATCACTATAATTTGCAAACACAAAAAATTGAATCCTTAATTTTATTTTCAATTCACATTTCAATAGAAATTCACTTTAAGCGCATATATAAAAATTTACTTCATACCAAACATTTATAAGATTATTATATCTATAAATTTATATAAAAAAAAAAATTCAACTTTGTTTTATCAATCTAATTAATTCTAATTTATCTAAAATTCAAACTAATTTTAGAAATTGGTTCTTAAATTGTATTTTCTTTTTTCAAAGAATGAAAAAAAATTGCATTTAAAAAAAAAAGTGTTTTCTTTAGAAAATAAATATTTTGTAACATATTAAAAAAAAACACACATGTTACAAAATTGAACATTTACAAAGATGTGATTACAATTGAAATGTATCGTGAAAAGTATGAGAAATTAATTCGCAATTTGACCTTGAAATTTTGTTAAAGGAAATAAATATAAATTGCTTTAATATGCATGTAAAATAAACTAAAGCGTGACCCACTTGCAAATGAAATGCCGTCATTGCTTGGAATGTGCGGGTTTTGTATATAACTTCTGATTCAGAGCTTCTAAGACATTTTCTCAAGCTAATTTACAGTTAACTCTCTTCAAGGCAATTCATTACTTAATTAATTCAGAAAGTACTTTTTTTTCTATAATGATGGAAAAAAAAAAAAAAAATTTACCTGCTTCTATTATTATGACAAAAGAGTTGAAGAAAGCTACACTATAAATATATATATGTTTAATTTTTCTAACTCTAAACATTAAATCGCAACTGTATTTTTTTTTTACAGAATTTAAATATAAATTCAATGCATAATTGATAGAAATAAAAAAATTAGCGATGAAAATAGGTTTTTAAAAAAATTGTAGCTAAAATTAAATTACACATCGTGAAAGTATAAAATCTTGGCATAAAGTTAGAAATTCAAAAACAAGTTTGATATGAATTTTAAAAGTGCGGAACTTTCACGCATATCGAAAAATTTTGATGAAATTGTATATAACCACAATATGAGTCACTACCCAATTATTTTCGTCATAAAGTCCGAAAATACAATCCGAAGGGCTGCACCACAGCAAGCAAGCAACATGAGCCTGGGGGCCTTGAGCCTCTGCCAAAAATTGGGAAAAACTTCACCTCTACGTGCATACTTGCAAAGTTACACTAAATCAATTATATTTTATCATCACTATTAAATCAAAAGTCCTCGAAACTATTATTCAAATTAATGTCTATTCTCTAAAAGACACGAATTCGCAAAATTAATTTGAAATCAAAAAGAAAATATTTAAACATAAAAAATATATCGAAATTCAAGAAATTTGTTATACGGACAAACAACAACAACAAAAAAAAAAGAGAGAGAGAAAAAAAACAATGTAATGAAAATAAAGGAAAAGAATTTAAAAAGTATTATGTAAAACATTGGAAATACCTATATCTATTTTTAAGACACTGCAAAGGAAGTAGAAATTCAATGATTTAATACCTATATAAAATTTAAGAGATTCTTGAATTTTGAAAAAAGAAAGGGAAATCTAAACAAACCGGAACATAATTAGTAATAAATTAAATACCTTTCGTTATTCCCAAGGCGAACTGGTTATCTGGCATTTCGCACTTTTGCTTTGAGGTTAGAATCGTCAGATGCGTTTATATATATCCGTATTATATACAATTTATATATAAAAAATATATTCACCCCTCGTAAATAAAATAAACGAATTCTATTTCTTTTTGTTTACCTAAATTCTAAAACACGTTGCACTCCAAAATTACACAAACACCATAACCTCACAAAGCTTTTGCGAATCATACTCTTTTTTTTTTTTTTTGCTCTTAAATAAAAACAAATACGTGTGTATCCTTAGGGTTAGAACTTTCACTCACTTTTTTTTGTTGTTTCTCCCAGGCCGGGTCAAGAAGACCCTCCCTTTCCCACTCTTCCTCCGGCTCCATATATCCGTCCCCATAGGCCTCCATGTCGTTCATCCTTTCTCGTTGATGTCGTGTGTTCCTTTAAAGTGATAACTTCCTGGTCACTTTATTTTCAAAAAAAAAAAAAAAAAAAATAATCAAATTTTTATCACTTTTTGATTTTTATTTCGTTTAATGACGAAAATAACTTGTTAAATATTAATAACGTTTTAACCGCGGTACAGCTTCTCACTGGACCCGCACACTACTACTTTACTACTACTACTACTACTACAACAACAATATAGTGGGTGCGAGTGTATAAAGAAATGGGGGTATGGAGAAAAAAAAATTTAAAGAGAAACGAACGTGAGTAAAAGAGTGAAAAAAAAGAGAGAGAGAGAGAGAGAGAGATAAATGAGAAAAGTGTCTGAGAAACGATGGAGCGATTTTAAAGCGGTGTATAACGTACCCGCCAAGCCCAAGAAGACAGTTCGTGGTCGTTCTTTCCCTCGCGTTGACCCCTCTGCCACGAGTCTGACACGATTTGCTCGCCGGCTATCGGCCGCCGCACAAGCCCCCAGACCCCACCTCCATCAAACACAGAAATAAGCCCCTTTTCCCCAGTAGTAGTGGAGGTCCCTTGCCCCAGCCCCCTTCACACCACAAGTGCACAGGCGCCTCACTTTCAAATTGAGAACGACATAGACGTAGGAAATAAGTTTTAACCCCTTTATTATTTTCCCTTAAAAAAAAAAAAAAATAAATAAAGTTGTAATAAATCTTATTGCACCTATAAAAAAGTCTTCAAATTACACCAAAATAATTAGAATAGCATTTACTAAAAAAAAGCCCCCCACCCCCCCCGAAAAAGCTAAAAGGAACTGTCTATAAGAAAAGGATTTTAATTATTTTATGTTTTACATCTATATCAATCTGTAAGAAAAAAAATGTTTCACCCACAATATTATAAGCTTTTTACAACCAAACATTTTAAATATTGGCAACATTGATTCAATATTAAAATTGCAGCAATATTGCAGAAATATTATAATGTTGGCAATATTGTTGCAATAGTAGGGGGAATATTGAAAAAAATATAACCGATATTAATATACAGAAAAACTAACCTGTTTTTTTTTATATAAAAATTTTACCCGTATAACAGATTTAAAGAACGTGGCATTTATATATATATATATATATATATATATATATATATTGTAAAAATAGAATTACACTCCACCGTGAAACCTCCTTCACCCACGCACGGCAAAAATAGTATATATGATAAGGCCGCAATCCTTGAAACAATAATCTAAACTTCATGCATGCGTACATTATGAACACATTAGCTCATAATGCAAACACAGGTGCGTGATAAAAAATTATCATCGCGTTTATAGAATAAAAAAAGATCTTGTTTTTTCACTATCATAAATTAAAAATTCGTGGGAAAAATATTTTTTATTAATTATAAAGAAAATTACTAAATTATAGATAATACATTGCCAGAATTCCTAATAATAATATTATAAATACACAAGCAAGTAATTGTTGACATCCAATTCTAACCTCAAATATTGTATATAGAAGAAAATCTTTGATTTGAAGCATAAAGAAGTAAATTTTCAATATTTATCAAATAGTATTTTAAGTAAACTATTGTATTTTATATAGTTATGTAGTCATTTTTATAGAATTTCACTTACTCTATTTAATTTTTTGTTATAAAAAATAAACTCACAGGAAGCACAACAAACAATTTTTTCGTTAAATTTAACACTTGCGCGCATGCGCTCGCACAACTGAAAAAGTTAAGCCGCCAATTTTAAATATTTTTAAATTTTTCTAAAAAGATACAAAGTTATAATTTTTTTTTTTATTATACATTGTATGTAAAACTATTTATTAACAAAAAAGTAAATAATTTTTAAAAAATTACTTTTTAAAAATTTTGTACAATTTACGGATAGAATGAGATAAAAAAAATATGTTTCTTTTTCTTTTAGTAATGAGTGCAGATATTCATTTTACCGACGCATATATATCAAATCAAAGTTTTATGTAAATATCAAATTCTTAATTTCAGTGTATAAAATTTTTTTTTTTTTGATATATTAATTAACATTAATAATAGTTTTTCCTTATGAAAGAATGAAACAGATACAAAGAACAATAGTTTCAGTTTTGATTTGTTTTTTATTAGAAATAATTTGAAGAACTTTGACTTATAGAATATTCTCACATAAAATTAAAACTTTTACACTTCTTTTAAAAATGTATTTGCATTAAATATTAAAATAAAAAAATAAATTATTGATAAATTGTAACAAAAATTTAATTTCAATTAAAATACGAGGAAAAAATTTAAATTTTTCCCGCCAATAAGTATCGACATTTTAATTAAACGATTGTCATAATAACCATTAGATGTCACTCATTGATCATTCTCAATAGTGTTTGTTCCATTTTGTGGCATTGCAACTTGGACTTGGAAAAGAATTACTATATATTGTTAATATACTATACACATAGTAAATTGGAAAGCAATTGGTTCTCAATAGATTTCTAGATTTTTCTTTAGAAATAAGTAACGTTTCAATTACGTTATTTATTTTAAGTGAAGTGAATTTTATTACATATTGACTGGTGAATATTGTGTTTTGTAAAATAAAATAATTGTCTGTCGTTTTGATAAGAAACAGCTGATAATTGTGTGTGGTTTAGTTCAGTGACCGAAAACTTTGCAACATGTCCATTTTTGGAGCTTTAACTGGAGACTTTGATGATGATCCAGCTGTGGCGTAAATATTATTTTTCAATTTTTTTTTTCCCTACTTAATTTGGTATAAATTCCCTTTTTTTTAATTGTCCTAGGCCTAATTACATATGTTAATTTAGGAGAGATAATATTTGGCACTGACGTTTTGACATTGATCTTATTTATGATATAATGATAAAATTATAAATCTCAATTAAATAATTAAATATTAATATAGTTAAATAATAAATATTGAATTAATTTTTCATACAAATATATTACATTGTCTATGTGTAATTTAGAATTTTTAATTTTTCTAGTAAACAATTGAAAGTACAAAATCAATCATCTTTTGTTAATCAGATAAATATGTCATTAATTGACAGTTCTGTTTCTATAGCATAATGTATACTTACAAAACATAATCATGATTATAAGAGAAGTGTGACCTAGTTTAATCGAATTAGTTAAAGTAATTCACTTAGTTTGAATAAGGGATAAAAATGAAATTTTATTAAATGAAATAATCTAATCAGAAAAATTAAATTAATTTTAAATTTTATTACAAAAAAAAAAAAAAACAGATTGCAAAGATTTGCTATGGGATCAATGTTTCCGGATCCTTTTGGAATGATGGGACCTCCTGCTATTTCCGGATCTCGTCAACGATCGAGAGGACCTTTTCCTGATATGCAAATGATGCCTTTTGGATTTCCCTCGTTTGGTTTTCTAATGCCTACTATGCCCACAATGCCCACAATGCCCTCAATGCCCAGTCCGGCAATGATGATGTCCAACTTTGTGAGTTTATTTCATTAAGTTATTTATGTTAATTAAGAAATAAATTAAAAAATGAAGACCTTCATTTAAAAAAAAAACCAAAATATTGAAAAATAAAGGAATTTTTTGTGCTGCAGATCGTTATGTATGAATATATATTGGGAAATATTAAATTTATAATGCGTGCTTTTGAAAATTATTTATAACATTATTAAAAAAATCATTTTTTCATTTTATAGATAATATAAACAATTTTTTTTTAAATATTTAATTAAATCTGTTAAAAAAAATTAATTTTATGAATTAAAATAACGAGGTATAAATTAAACTTTAGACGGGTTTTGTCATGAAAATCAGTGAAAGACAAAGAGAATGATGGGAAAAGTTAGGTATTTTTATAAAGAGTATTAAAAAAATATCAAAGAGCTAAATTTGTTAAATAAAATTACAACTTTTGGAAAAAAAAAAAATTAAGAAATTTAACAAAAATTTTCTATGATTTAAACAAAAAAAAAATGTTTTTTCGGCATCAGGGAAAAAGACAAATAAAATTTTTGTATCAACCCTGTTAGAGAAAGATAACAATAATGCAACAACATAATACTTTAAATTCTTAATCATTAATATTTAATTTCCTTTTTAAGATTCCATACAAGAAGAGTACGTAAGGAACCTTATTAGTTACGCTTTTTTGACGAAATTACATTTCTTGCTATAGAAAAAAATATGATTTTCATTTTTAATGAGTAAATTTAAAAAAAAATAAAAAAATAAAATAAATAAGACAAGTACAAGTTTAATATACACTGAAATTGAGGATTGTGTTTAAATAATAATGCTAAATTACATAAGTAATTTTATGAATTTTTTTTTTTTTTTTTTTTTTTTTCATTTAGGGAAATGGAAATTGTCATTCTTTTGCAAGCACTTCTGTAATGACAATGACTAATGGTCCAGATGGAAAACCACAAGTTTATCAAGCTTCAACATCAACAAGAGTTGCACCAGGAGGTGTGAAGGAAACCAAGAACACTGTCTGTGATTCTCGCACTGGAACTAAACAAATGTCAATTGGTCATCATATTGGAGACAGAGCACATATTCTTGAGCGCAAAAAGAATTTACGCAGTGGAGAAGAGGAAGAGAATCAAGAATACATTAACCTTGAAGAAGGTAACATTTTTTTTTTTTTTTTTAACAATTTTTGCTGACGTGAGAAATAGAATTAATTAATTAATTAATAATAAGGATTTATTTATTATATACATAGTTCATGCCTTTTGGCATTGAATGGATTTCCGATATTATAAACTTGTAATACAATATTAAATTAAATTAATATTAATATTCATATTAATAAGGATTTATTTAATATATATCTTTTGAATATTTTTTTTCTCAATAAAATGAAAATTGGTATAAAATTATTGTACATTTTTAGAGGAGGCCGATGATTTTAATAAGGAATGGGAAACACGTACACGACGTTCAATTGGCGCAATCGGAGGTGGTGCAGGTTCATCTCATCATAACAGACGTCGATCAGATCAAAGGCATTTAGCCTTACCCAGTCCATCATCAAGGTTAGTGTCCTTTTCAATTTGAAACTCTATTAATTGAATATAATATTCTAAAATCTAATCAATTTGAAAAAAGGTAAGAAATGGGTAAAGAAAAATTAAAATTATAAATCATAATTTACTCAAAAAAAAAAAATATTTTTTTTTAATTATTGATCAGTCGATCAATGCATTATTTTGAGTGAATTTATAATTGAAAGAGCATTTTCAGTTTTAATTTAAAAAATATCTTTTTTTTCTAAAATTTATTTTTCCAATTTGTAGAATTTTTACAAAGAATGCGTAAAACAGAATTTTTCTAAAATTGCATGAATTGTATGTATTTATAAAAGTAGTAAAATCAATTTTTTTGTTATAATTATTGTCTTCGTTTCTTTTCCCTATATATGTTAATAAAGAGTAGAATTATTAATGTAGCATGTATTGAGTATCTTAAGATCTTGTTGTTAAGCTTAATAGTTATATTTTGAAAAAAAAAAGAAAAAATTCATTTACTTCACAGAAACAAGAAATCTGGAAAATATGTCAAGAAATCATGGAGAAAATGAAAAAATGAAAGAAATATTTGATATTTTTTTTTTATTATTATTGTTTGATTAATGAAAAATTAGAATTTGTGAAATTAGTTGCATGAAATTTACAGTATGGGAAAAATAAATTCTTTTTTTTTTTTGGCATTATCTTAGAATATTTCTTCTATGTATTAGATTTCTATTATTAATTGTGTTTGTAACTTTATATAATAGAAAATATAGAATCATTCCTTTATATTTAGACCAAAGTTGTTGCCGATTAATTTTAAAAAATTATTATACATTACAGAAAATTTTGATGTTATATTTCTAAAATTCAAAATGAAATAAAGAATTTTATCAAATTATTATTTAACAGGTATAAAGTATTTAAAATAAATTGGACATTTTTATACAATATTTCAATTATTACAAAATAAATATTTACAAGTAAATAATTTTTTAAAATTAGTAGACAAAACAACTTTGATCGAAATAGAAATGAAATAATTCTATAATAATAATGCATGCTTAATATTTATGTAGAAATTTGTATCTTTATTGTACCTGAACCTTTTTTTATTTGTTACTGGTCCGGTTATTGGTGCATTCTTTAGTAGTCGACAGTCTAGTCACTCAAAATGGATACCCTCTCCGAGAAGAGCAATACGAGCTTTAACCTCTCGGTAAGTTAACAATTTTCCCAATAATGTTTCCTTACATGTTCACTCCTTTATAGGAAAATTTTGCAAGTCGAGGAATATGTCTGGGGAAAGTGTACATTTAATTATATTATAATTTATAAAAATATTTTAGAATGTTTTAGACAGAGCTTGTGTTATGTGTTCGTTTTTCTTTTTTTTTTTTTTTTTTTTGACTGTCAGTATATATTTATAATCGTATTTCAATTTAGCCATTATTAAATAGAATAGTAAATTAAAAAAAACGTTTTAAATATATCTGAAAAATTTTATAAATCCAGAATATTATAATTTAATTTAATATTATTATTTATTAAGTTTTAATGAAACGATTTTTTTTTTTGAAATCATAATTTTATAATTAAATGTTGTTTTTTTATTCTTTGAATGATAAAATATTAATATAAAATAATAGACTACTTCTTGGGTTAATTTTTATTTTATTTTTCTTTAAATATTCGATTAAGTTAAGATTAATAATTGAAATACTAAAATTGGAAGAAACTAATTTTTGTTATGAAAAATGCACTCATACATGCTCTTTTGTTTCACTATAATATTATATATGTAGTTTATACATTTGTCAATTTTCGTTAAACATTAATAACATATTTTTGCATCCAATCATATTGAAGCCTTATTAACTATTATTTTAAAAAATAATATTAATAATTAATTATTAAAATCTAATAATTGACTGTGGGAAGCTTGTAAAATTGTCACATTATTTTCGCTTATACATAAAATGAAATCTGGAATTATAAATTCACTCATTAACTCATTAACTTGCTTTATAAGCTTTTATTACACTTTTTCATGCTTCAAATTTCTAATTACAATATAAACACATTTTTTTAAAGATAAAATGTTCCGAATTATAAATAATAAAATGCAATTTTAAGTAAATAATTATTATCGAGCATATATAATTTTATAATAATTTTTCTATTGTTTCTTCCATTATTGTGATGCAAAAGAAAAAATATATTTTATATAAATTAAAAATTTCTATTCTTCTATCAACAGTGGAATATTATCAGGAATGTTCCATATTGTGTATTTCAGGTACAGCTACAAGTAAATTAAAATAATTTAAAAAAAAGCGCATTGTTCGCAACAGTGATGATTGTAAGTATTTATCATTCTTTTTACACATTATAAAATTTTTGTATGTTGCTTCACATTATTATTTGCATTTTCTTTATTCTCATTTCCTGCAACAACATATTGCAGACATTACCAAAGTATTTTAATATTTTCTTTAATATTGAAATTTAATATCTGTGAAAAATTGTTCTAAATTTATTTTTAATTGACTAATACAGATTGAATATTGTTTCAATATTAATTGACGATTTTTCTATATAATGCAAAAAAAAAAGAAAATAAAAATACTGGGTCATTGTCGCTTTTTCATCTTCAGGCATGTGAATATCATCCATGTTTAACTATTGTTCATCGTAGCATGAATTTCATTGAGTAGAATTATTTATCATATTCATAATTTTAGTAGGGTCATATATTTTATTTTTCTTTTTGAATGGGGTTTATATAAGTAGTCTGAATAAAAGAGAAATGGTATCATTGAAAAAAGAAAAAAAGAGAGAAATAATACATTCTGGAATGACTAATGGCTTTTTGAAATTATGCATTTTATATTTAAGAATAAGATAATAATGCCGGTTCTATTTTAATATTATTAAGTTGAAATATATTGTTAACAATATTAAGTTTTAATATTAAATTTAATATACACTTGTTAAATTTTTTTTTTTTAATTATATGTTAATAACAAAAATTTATTATAGTTTCCATAATTCTAAACTTAAAAATTTTAATATTGTTATAAAGTATTTAGAAACCATTTAGAGAGGTGCGATTCAAATACTTAAATTTATAAAAATTAAAATTTTATAAGTTTAAACCCTACACAAAAATTAAATTTAAAAAATTAAAAATATTGGTTTCAATATTATAATTTTCATTTGGACAATTTAAGAATGTCAAAATAAAAGTTAGCATAACTTCACATTTTCGTATTTTTAATAATAAAAAAAAAAAAAAAAAATCTAATTAAAAATATTTTCAGTTTCAAAATTGGTTAAAAATAATAATTTTCTAATAAATAAACGTGTTTAGAATTTAAAAGAATAAAAATTAAATAAATTATTTTAAACTAGCAAAATTAAACGCGTGCAAGCGCGCCAAATTGAGTATTTAATTGTTTGTTATAAAGAAATTAAAGATTAATATTATCAATAATAATTTAATTTATTAGAATATTATTACATATTAAATGATAATAATGAAAATGATATGTTTACAGGCCTCGGATTATACGACATTTTCCGACTTTTTTCAAAAATACGACTTTTATCGACTTCTTTTAATAAAATGCGACATTTTTTTTTACATTTGAAAAAAAATGTAAATAAAATATATTTTTCTAGTATAAAATGTAGATCTTCTTCAGATTTTCTTCAATTCAATTATTTAACAAATTTTGAACTAAAATGATTCTTCACTAAATTAATTATTTTTAATAATTTTAATGAAATACATCACAAATTCAATTATATGAAAATTATTTTTCAATTAAAATTTTTATGAAATTTAATAATTGTTTATAATTTAAAAAAAATATATCACAATAAAATTGAATTATTTTTTAAAAATTTCTATACAAAATAAACTAAAATTCAATTATTACCCGAAATTTTAATTCAAAATCAATTAAAAATCCAATAATTGTCCAAAATTTTCAATTTAAAATTTAATTATTTACCAAGTTTTCAATTTAAAAAGAAATAAAATTCAATTATTTTCTAAAATTTCTATTTAAAATTAATTATCCAAATTTTCAATCAAAAATGAACTTAAATTAAATTATTATCAAAAATTTCAATTAAAATTCAATTATTTCCCAAAATTTTCAATTTAAAATGAACTGAAATTCAATTATTTTCCAAATTTAAAATCAAATAGAATTTCATTATTCTCAAAAATTTGAATTCAAAATTAATTGAATTTTCAATAATTTGAATTTAAAAGCATCTAAAATTTAATTATTTCTAAAATTTTCTATCGAAATTTTTTTTTTGAAATTTAATAATTTCAATTATAACTCTAAGGAAATTCAATTATTTTTAACTATTTTAATAATAATCTTTGAAAATTCAACTATCTGAAACCATTTTTCTATTAAAAATGATTTTCAAATTATTGTATTTTGTCTTCATTTTCTAATAAATTTTTAGTGAAATCATCTAAAATTTTAATTACAAAACACTTAAAGTTTTAATTAATTTCAAAAATCTCAATTTTAAATCCTTGAAAAATCAATTAAATTTAAAAAATGTTTTCCAAAAATTGTTTGATAAATTATTTTTAGTTCTGTAATATTTAATAATTGTTTGAAAATTAACAATATCTTTTGAAATTTAATTATTTCTAAAAATTTCAACTTTAACCCTTCGAAAATGATTATTATTAAAAAAAAATTTTTTTATTTAAAAATCTATAAAATATTTTTCTTAAAATAAAAAACTAATACACTTTTTTTTGGAATATAAATCGACTAAAACGACTTTTTGTGTCTTTAAGTTGATTCGAGGTCTGTGTTTTTATAATTAATATTTAATAGGTATTCGTTGGCCCCTGGTATTTGAACCGTGCCCAATATTGTCATATAGAAACTTGAGAAAATATTCAAAATATCAAAACCCTTTTTAGGTACCAATATAGATATATTAATTTCAATATAAATTTCATATTCATAATTAGTTATTACGTTCTATAAGATTCTATATATATAGTTACTTTAAAAAAATATATACATTTTCTAAATTATTTGAATTAATTTTATATGTAATTGTTTGCAAAGTTAATAAAATAATCCATTATTAAATTAAATGTTATAAAATTGGAAGTTTCTTTTTAAATCAGCAAAACATATAATTAAATATTTATTTTGCAGGCCAAATAATGAAACTGATGAAAAATCATCTCCTTCTACAAGTTCATCATCTGGACGAAAACGTGAACACACACCTGAAACAGAAGTTAATCACAAGCGGCACATCACAAATGAAAATGTTGATTAAGAATCTCATTACAAAATTTAAAAAAGGGATGGGTATCGAGTAAATATATCCTCATTAATTTACTACAGTTATATAAACTTTAATTTTTTTTTTTTTTTATGTTTATTTTACAATCAACTGCAGTTTTATTTTTCATTATTATATTCTTCTCTATATTAGGTTATATTATCTTTTATTACTTAATAAGTTGAAGTTTATAATGGAAAAAAAGGTATTTTATTTTTCTGTTTATTAATTATATTATTATTTAACGAAATGTTAGATATAATACTCGTTGAAATTTTTTTTTACATATAATAGTTTTTAAATACGTACATTCATTTAAAGAAAGTGAAGAAATTAGATTATTCTCCATATTTATTTCTAATTAGAATTTTTTTTTTTACTTTATTAATTCTTATGTTTTTTAATTTCTATTGTCAGTAATTTTTAGTTTTTTCCCTGAAATTTTAAAGATGTTCGACGTCTACTTTTCTTGTTAAAAAAAAAAAATATTTTCTCTCAATTTTCCTCAAATTTTGAGAAAATTTTTCTGTATTTATCCATTAATTGTGGTAAAAATTTCCTAAATCCCTAGCAATTTTAAAAATTGAGTTATTTGGGTGTAAATTTCATCTTTTTCATGGTTTTTTTGTTAAAAAGATAAAAATCTCATTTTTTGATTTTGCAAGTGGTTTTAAAAGTTTTACCACATTCAAAAAAAAAAAAAAAAAAAACATAAAAGAATATTTTTTCAAGATTTAAAAAAATTTAACCAAAAAAGAGAGAAAAAAAAATGATGATATTATTGAATACCCATGATCCCTAGTTTTTATTTTTTGTACTTATTGTCATTTTTACTGTTTACTTAATTATCTCTCGTTCTAATTGTTTTCACCATAATTATTATATCATTAACTTCTTAAATAAAACTGATAAAAATGTGAGAATTATAAAAACAAAATCAATTAGAATTAGCTCAAACTATAAATAGATAAAAGTACTATTAAAAAATAGAAAAAGAAATTTTTTTTCTAAAAATTTAAAATAGTTTATGTGAATTCAAATAAAAAAAAAAAACTATTGAGAAAAATAAAAATTAGGATTAATGACAATTAAGAAACAATAAAATTAAAGGAACTAAAAATTTAAATATACAGTGTATTTTGTTTATAGTTAATAATCTACACAATAAACATAAATAATAAAATATGGAGAATAATTACGGGGCCTGTAAAATCATCAATTTTCGATGATTTAATAATAAAAGGCGACTTTAGTTGACTGATATTGACTCATCCCTGTTAAAAAAAAAATAATAATAATATAAGCTGTAGCTAAACATGTATCGACAAGCTTTAGAAATAATGTCTCAATAGTATATAAATTATTTTCAATATTAGTACGTCAAACATATATAAGTAACACTTATAATGTGAAATTTTTCAGTAAACATCTATTATGTAGAGATAAATTATAAAACATTAAAGTTAGAACAAAATGTAAGTGAAAAATGTTTGTTTTGAAAAGAATGTTTGAGTCTGTAACAAGAACGACTGTTTTTTTATGTTATAGTGATATTATTATTATTATAATGAAAAATATTTGAAAAATTCTTTTTTTTATAAAGCAGTCGAAGTTTAAATCCTTTGTGTAATACTATCGATAATTATATATGATAATAAACTAAGGTAGAGGTACAAAAAAAAATGTGAATTATTTCGAAATTTTTTTTTTTAAATAACATTTAGCTACAATTTGAGTTAACAACGAATTCAATGATTTTAATCTCTTTTTTAATTGATTTATAAATAACAATTTTTAACTTGAAATTTATCTATTATTATTTTTATATTAAAAAAAAAAAAAAAAAAAAAAAAACTTTTTTTGATATCATCATTTTTCTGTCAATTATTTTTGAAGAAAGAAGGTAATAAAAAAAAGTAAACAGATTTAGATTTTGTTCAGAATTTTATTAAATTTGTAAAAATCTAATCTATAAATAATACAAAGGCGAGTATATTCGCTTGTTTCTTAATGCATTTAAATGATATAAAAAAAATTTTTTTTTTTACCTCACTAACATATATACTTTTGCAGAGCTACGAAATTCGATAATTAAAAAAACAAGTTTCATGCACATTTTCATTTAAATACATATAAAAAGAGATATAAATTATTTCGTCTGCACTAAACCGCTTTCATTCTCAACTTAAATTATTTACACTGATTCTACAATATGTACACGCAAGAAATTTTCTTTTTTTTTTTTTTTTTTTTTTTTATCCAATAATATCACCACTCAGCGGTTACAAATTAATTATGGCTAGATGATTCGTTTCTTACTGACACAATGACCTTTCCAAGAGATTTCAACACTTTATGGTGTCTCTAATTAAATAATGCCTACAACTTAAAATTATCGAATCGACCGGACAAAATAAGTACAATGTAAATTATGTTAGGTTTAGTTTTTACGTTTATATAAGTTCGATTATAATGATATAATGTTTGAATTTCGAAAAGGTACTTTTTCTCAATAATAATGTAAAATATTTTAAAAATGATATTTTAAAGTAATGCCAAAAATTTTTTTTTAAAAGTCACTAAATTCTTATTTTTATAAACAAATTTTTAGTCGCGTGTAAATAATTTAATTTTTTTTTAATTTTGAACCATTAAAAAATTGAATTTTAATTTTCTGACAGTAAAAAACGATAATCTAACAATTTTTTTTTACTATGAGAAATTAATTTTCATCCAACTGTAACATTTAATAATAATTTATAAAATTAGAAATATAATTCCTCATACTATTACAGAAAAAAAATTTTAATTAGAAATTACTTTTTTTTTTTTTTTTTTTTTATTAAAACTACGAAAATGCTAACTTTTAATCGAATTTTTATTTAACAGAATTGCGATTGAGCCGAATTTTTAATTCTGATAAATGAAAATTTGATTAAATTAAAATGATTGAAATAAAAAAAAAAAATTGTTTACAAAATTGAGAAAAAGTGCCGTTTTCATTTTCAAATGATAAATTTTTAGACATCTATAATGAATAATTAAATATGAATTTTGATTTATCAATGAAATTGCCTGTCTCGAGTTTTTTTGTTTGTTTGTTTATTCTTTACAGCCAAGACCAGCGGACCAATTACAAATTCCACCGATTGGATCGAATGAGAGTTTATTTGGACAAGTGTATTCAGTACCAACAACCAATCCATTGACCATTCTCGCGCAAGTAATGAATTTTTTGCATGACGTTGGATGAGGAAAATTGCCTTGATCAAGACAATTAATATGACCCCTGCTAGTAACGTAGAGCTTACCATTAAGCCTTGGCTTTCCAACAAATCTGATTTCCTCGTCCTCATAATAATCATAATCAATAATTGCTGGACGTCGTGGTCTCTGTGTTAAATTTTGTGTGACAATTTTGTTGAAATATTTTTGACCCTGTCGGCGTCTTAAAGCCGGGATGGAAACAGTTTTTGGCAATTCTGTTGTACTTATTTTTCGCCAAAATGTTGTTCCAATTGGAGAATTACCTAATCGTGGAATGGTAATTTTTTTTTAAATAAATTATTTTTAATTATATGTTGGTTTTTTTTCTATGTTATTTAGAATGAGACGTGCTAATTAATGTAGAAAAAATAAATAAATCATATAAAGCATTCGTGTTATTCCAGAAAGTGATAAAGGACGAAGTGCAGGCCAAGAAGTAAAAAGAGACACTGGTGACAAGAGAGAAAGAGAGATAGAGAGATGCATTAAATTATTCTGAGAAGCAATCAATCAATTGGAAATATATTGAACCATTTATCAAAACATTTCTTTTTAATTTGCTTTAGAGAATTTGTGAGAAGGCACATAAAGGATAGTTGAGAATTAAAAAAATAAAATAAAATAATACGAGCATTACAATTTCATCGAAGATTCAAGAACCAAAACATTGACGAGAGTTAGTGCGTGTATAAATTAAGAGCCAAACGATGAGAAGATTGTTGTAATAATCAGCTGAGAAGGAATCAAACGATCGATTAGACGTGAGAGAAATTTTTTTTTAAGTGAATCTTGGAAAGAACATTAAAAAAGAGAATTTAGTTAAAAGGAAGAAACGTTCAAATGATTATTAGGATCATTCTTGAGGATGCTGTACCAGACTCTGTTGTTGTTTCAAAATTCTCGAGTACTAATTCATGTGCTCTATTGGCCTGATCGTCCATCTCAGCTTTTTGGTCTTCTAGCCTTGCCAAATGTTCAAGATAAGCTGCTGCTGTTTCTGCATCGTCCGCAGAAGCTGTAAGATAAATAATTTTAATCTCTCTTTTTCCTATAATTTTTTTTTTTAGAAAATAATCTCTAAATCTGAATTTGTAGAATTTTCACCACAAAAAAAAAAAAAAATATTGAGATGTCCTTTTTTATTATTTTCAAGATATTAATTAATTAATGTTAATAAAAAATTATAATAGTACTGCAACCTCCTCGTGGTAAACCCTGGAAACTACTATTACTATTATCATAATCATTATTTAGAATTTTTTACTTTATTTTCGTAATCAGTAACTATAGACAAATCGTGAATACAAATTTAAATAAAAATTTAATAATTTTTACAAAATTCTTTCGCCATATTGGATTCTCCATTTTAAAAACTAATACCGGATTTGTAATTAGTAACCGCGAAAACCCCTCGAGTGATGGTTTTCAAGTAGATTCGATGAATTTTTGAAAAATTCGTCCGACATTTTGAATTTTTGAAAACTAATACCGGATTTGTAATCAGCGACCCCGAAAACCCCCGAGTGACGAGTTTCAAGTGGATCTGATGAATTTTTAATAAACTCTTCCGCCATATTGGATCCGCCATTTTGAATTTTTGAAAACTAATACCGGATTCGTAATCAGCGACCCCGAAAACCCCCGAGTGACGAGTTTCAAGTGGATCTGATAAATTTTTAATAAACTCGTCCGCCATATTGGATCCAACATTTTGAATTTTTAAAAATTAATAACGGATTCATAATCAGCGACCCCGAAAACCCCCGAGTAACAAGTTTCAGGCCATTTGAAATATAAATTGACTTTTGGCCCCGAAACCGGATCTCCTGGTCCACTGTGTGCGGGAGTAGCGCTCCTAGTGTTCACTATCGGTAACACTAAACGTCGTAATGGCTTTAGCTTCATCAAAAAAGTTTGTAAGTGTTAGGTTCTTTTTTTTTTTTTTTTTTTTAATTTTCAGTGGTCGATTTTCTTCTTTTTTAATTAGTAGAATTTTACTAATTCAGATTTAGTATGATAGGACAATCAAAAATGGATATTTGGAGAAATAATTTTCATTCTTAAATGTTTAATTAATTTCCCATTTGAAAGAAAGTATATTAACTTAAAAAAAGCGGTTATAGATTTTTCCATAAAAATTAAATAATAATTTTACCAAAGCTTAATTGTGTAGGAAGATTTATCTCCTTTGTGTGAAGATTCTGACGCGTAGGGCTAGTAGAAGTGAATCGTCTCAAAGATGGATGAAGTGAAGAAATTGGCTGATGTGTCGTTGTTCTAACTCTACTTCGATTTGGCTCACGATAAAATGATCCTGTTCGTCGTAAATTATCTGATGATGATGATGATGATGATGATGTACGATAAGTATTGACCTGTTGATAAATGCGACACATTTTTATGAAGATGCGTTATGCGTTTATGAATAAGAAAATTAAAAAAAATATCTTGATACATAATAGTGCAGCTAAAGCCAAATGACACAAACAAAGATTAGAAATGGAAAATGACTAGACTAAAATAGTAATTGCACAAGAAGCATATGTTAAAGATTTTTTTTTTGAAACTACAAAAAATAAGCAAACTACGAGGACTTCGTAGAAAATGGTACGCCCTCGAAGAATCAGTGTGTTAATAAATAAAAAACGATCAGAGGCGTGTGTAATATAACAAAGATAGCAGCGAGTTTCTTGTTTTATTATTTTTTTCACGCTTGCTTCTTGCTTCCTTTTTTTTTTGATTAGTACTCAAGAGTTATACGGAAGGAATGAGCTTTCATGTGACGGAATTCCTTGGCTATTTTTTTTTTTTTTTGGTTAGCTGCGCAGAAAGTAAAGGACGTCGAATAGATATTATAAAACCTGGACGTCGCTACAGGTGTTGTTAGCTTTCTTAGATATTCCCATCTTCCAAGTAAAAGGACGCCAACATCCAAAATTTGTGTGACTTGATTTTTTTGAGGACCATCCTCAAAATTATTATTTATTTATTTTTTTTTTATAAATGTGAGAAGGCAGTGTTTGTTAGAGAAGGGGAGAGGTTTTCTTTGAGGACATTAATGCTTGCTTTTAGAAACTGACCTCACTGCCAGCTTCTTCGGTATCTTCTACGATTTTCATTTCTTGATTTAAAGATTTGCCCTTCCTGTTATTGGATTCATCATTTGACGTATCGTGCGATTGATGTTTTGCTCTCTTCCTCACGACCGTTCTCATTCTTCGTCGAGATGGTATTTGATTTTGATGATTGACTGATGAGTTTGAGAAACTTTGCACGGTTGTCGTTGACGTCAATGTTGACGGTGTAGTTACAGTTGAAAATCTCTTAGCACCTCTGTAAACTACAACACGTTTCCTGGTGCTTGGAGGACTTGCCAAATTACTCGCTATATGTTCACTTTTATTTAAAGTAGTTTTAATAATTTTTAATTTTGATTTATCTTCACTTCTTGAATTAGTTTCTATGGTTTCTAATTTCAATTTATTTTCAATTGTTGTTATTTCTTCGTTCTTTACTTTCAATTTTTCTTCATTTGGTCCAATTCTTTTTCGTTTTATTACACGTCGTCTTCCATTTAATGTAGGTTTCTGTTCTTTGAAAATTGTCTCGTCTGTAGTTGTCTTATTATTTGTAAACTCTTTTTCTAGTTGTTGATTATCATTAGATTTCAGGACAATATCGCTTCTTATTGATGTAACAATAGTTGGAGTTTCATTTTGGTCCTTTGTTGGATCTGTGTTTAAATACTGATTTTGAATGGTTTTGTCTTTTTCTGTTGTTACTTCATTTCTTCTGAGATTTTTAGTCTTGAGTGTTATATTCCCTTTTTCGTATTTCACACTTTCTTTTTCGAATTCGTTCCAATTCGTTTTCGAATCAAGAACAATTGGTGTTACAGTTTCTAATTGTAGATTTTCATTATCCCTTTCTGACATTTTGTTTTTAAAACTTTCTGTTGTAGGCGTTAGAGATTCGTAATAAGAATTAATAATTGTAGAATCAATAGTTATTGCGGATGTAGAATCTAAAATGGGAAAAGTAGTGGCAGAATTTACTGTTGAAGATTCTGAATTTATTATTGTTGTGTCAATTTCATAATCAGGGGAAATAGACTCTAAATCTGTTTCTACAGTACTAGAATCATGATTTATCGAATGTACATCAGGATATGTTGAAATAATCTCTGGTATTTCTGAATAAGATTCGGAATCAGATTCAAAGTTTCTCGAAGAGTCTGAATCTTTAATAGAAAACTTGTCGTTTATTTTCTTCAATCGAATTTCCTTTGGAGAATTAAAATCTTCGGAAGGTTCCTTAGGAATCGGTTTTATTTTTCTTATTTTCTTTCTTAAATGTCGTCGAGGACTAATAATTTGTTCAGTAACAGTTGAAGGAGTCACATTAATATCCTCAAATGTAGTCAGTTTAGATTCAGATACTTCTGTTGTAGTTTTTGTTGAATCTTCACTTTTTTCTGAAACTCTTGAATCCATAAGATAGAAATTCATTTCATTTTGTTGATTTCTATTGTAATCGAAATGATCTCCACTATTATCAATTACACCAGTGTTAGCCGAGAAATTAATTTCATCGTTTTGATGATCTTTATTCTCTAAAAGAGAATCTCTGTTGAAATCAAAATCTACGCTTGTTATTTCATCAAAACTGAAAGTTACTGTTTCATCAGTGGGAATAATTTTTCCATCAATTGGAAATTCTTTTTCAATATTTAAAAATACTTTTTCAGTTGTAGAAAATATTTCTTCATTATTTCCTCCATTGGAAAATATTGTTTCGACATTAGAGGGAATTATTTCAGAAGATTTAACATTAGGTGGTATTTTTTCGACATTAGAAGATATTGCTTTATCATCGGAAGTTGTTACAAAATCAAAAGATTCTTTTTCATTATCTGAAGATAATTTTCCATCATCAGAAGATATTTCAGCATTGAATGTTTCGTCATTGAAATCTTTATCAAATCCAAAAGAATTTTTTCCATTATCTGAAGATAATTTTCCATCATCGGAAGGTATTTCATCATTGAAAGTTATTGTTTCATTATTTGAATCTATTTCAGATCCAAAAGATTCTTTTACATTACTTGAAGATAATTTTTCATCATTGGATGATATTGTTTCAACGTTAAAAGATATTTTTTCAGTATCTTGACTTGATTCTGTTTGAGGACCAACAAATGTCTCACGATTTAAAGTTTCGTCGGTACTTTTTGTGAGGAAAAATCCTCGAGGATAATCAGTTATTGGTGAATCTGGAAGAGTACTTCCTCGGGAAGTGGTAATGCTAATTGTGGCAGTAGTAGTATCTAAATGTTTTCTTCCATCGGTTTTTGTTTGGGATTTATGGGAAACAGCTTCAGTTGTTCCTTGTGATGAATTGGGACGAATTCGTCTCCTTCGGTTTCTCTCGATATTTAGACTCTCTTCCATAATTGTCATACTACTCATACTGTCCTGAGGAATCGATGAACTTTCACCAAAATTCGAATCAATTCTAGGTCGTCTTCCTCTGTAAGTAGCAGCTGATCTTTCAAGTTCTATCAATTTTTCATTTTCATAAATTTTCCGTTCCCTCAGAGCTTTTACTTCCTTTAACAGTAAATCATTCGTCACAAGATTTGTTTCATCCTCTAATTCTGAATTTTCATTTTTTTCAAGAATTTTCGGATCAATTACTCTAATTTTCAGCACTGTATGAAGTATCGTTTTGTTGAGATTTTTCTTTGGAACACGCAAAAGGAGGTGTTTATTTGGATCTTGAAATTGGTCATTGTCAAGAATTTGAATGGGAATGTCAACAGTTTTTTCTTTTTCTTCATCTTTAAAGAATCCTTGTGGTGAAATTAACGGTAATGGAGGTAACGAAAGTTGAGAACTATCATTTTCCCCATTGATATTGGAGTGCTTGTGACTTTGGTGAGCGATAAGTTGCTTAAGAGTTGGTAGTTGAAAACTTTCTGAACTGGCCATCTGAAAATGAAAAATGAGAGTATATTTTAGTCCTCCTTCAGTCTCTTCCTCTCATTTCAATCATTTTCTTTCGTAATCACTCTCTTCATTCGTTCTCGTTTATCTTCACCCCACTGTCTGCTAGGGGGAAGTAGTAAAATGTGATGAATGATGTAGCTTTAGTAGTGTGATGTGTCCGGTCGCTAGCTTCTACATATAACTATATTTCTATTTTGAAAAAAGTAATGGATGATGATGTCGATGGCATATATGTATGGTACACTTTATTATTTTTTGTTTCTTAGAGACTAGACATTATTTATTGGCGACTATCCCTGCTGGATGTGATAAGATTATTGAAAACTGACTCAATTTCAATGGTTGATGATTCACCGGACGATTCGGTGGTGAATTTACCACGAAATGCACTTTCAATTGGTAATGTTGATTTTTCGATACTTGTTTCCGTTGATGTGTCGGTTCGAATTTCATTTTGAAAATTTAGTTTTTCTTTTAATTTTGATTTTAGCGAGAATGAAATGGGATTTTGTGTGGTTTCCATGGGAATTAGAGAAGTGGACGCTAATTGGGAGTATTTACGTCGTATGAGAATTTTTTGCCGTTCGGTTGTTGCTGATTCGACTACTGATGTGACTAATCTTGTAATTTGTGGTTTTGATGATGGAGTCGTTGAATAGATATCGACAAAATTTTGCAATTCATTTTCATCTTTTATTCGTGATTTTGAAGAACCACGTTGTGATTGTTTACGAAGATAGGCATCAGCGACGTAATCAAATTTTTTTGCTGGTATCAATGTTTCGGTTACACTTTGTTCGGTGGTACTAATTCTATTGGGGAAAAAGCGATTTTTTGAATCGTCATTGTCATCGGGATCATTGTCATCAATTTGTACACGTACTCTTGGTTTTCGATAGATTGACAATGTTGATCTTAGATTTGAATTATTGGTTTCTTCCAATGGAAGTTGAGTGGAGCTTGTTCTGACAATTGGACGATATTCAGGTCTACGATAAACAGGTCCTAGTTTGTCCTCATTTTCTGAATTTAGTGGTTGTGTATGAAGCAAGAGAAGTGGATTTTCAGTGGAGGCTTTTGGAGAAAATGTTCTAACTGTGTTGAAACTCTTCCAAAATTCATCGGGACCTGATGAAGAAGAATTACTAATATTCTTAATCTTTGGATGACTTATTTCCCTTTCTGAATTAATTTCCTCTTCGACTTGTGTTTTTGTACTTGGACGACGTCTGATAAATAGATTTTTTCTTCGTTTTGCAAGCGCCTCCGGATTGGCTTCAGTCGAAAGATTTGGATTAGCAGTGGTTGCTGTGGGAAAACGACGAGCATTTGTAATTGCCGAAGTTGGATGTGGTATTCTTCGTGAATATTTGTAACGAGAATTTGCCGATTCTGTTGTTCTCACTGGTAGTGGGCTGGTGGCTTCAAAAAATGCTGAAGTTTCCGGTAATTTTGTTTCGTAAATTTTGTAATTAAACGTTGTTTTTAAATCTTCAGTTGTTGGATCATCGGGAATTATGAAAGTAGTCGGTAGAGTTGATGTGTCAAAATCTGTTGTTTTGAAATTGAAATAATCAGAAATTGTCGAAAAGTCTTTTGTTGTTTCTTCAGGAAGTGTTGTTTTTCCTTCTGTTGAATCGGGATTAAAATCAAAATTAGTGGTAATTGGTTGTGTGGTGTAATCAACGTGGAAAGTTGAAGGATTTTCAGTGCTTGTGATAATTTTCTCAATCTTTGGTGTTGTAGATCTACCAAAGTATCGGGAGCGAAATTGATCGGTTTGTTTTGCGGTTATGGATTTTTTCTCCTGTACAGGACGCAAACGTCGAATGACTTTTCTTCGTTTATTTTGGAAATTGTTTTCATCATTTGCGTTGGTTGATGTTTCCACACCGGTTCTTCTTCTCAATAGAATAATTCGTCTTCTTGAACTTGTAGACTCTGTTGTTGAAGATCTTCGGGAGAATTCATCGGCGGTGGTAAATTTTCTTCTCAAGTTTCGATTTCTGATGGGTTCTGTACTAATGGAAGGATAGGTGACGGTATTAACACCAAGATCAGTGGAATAGTACGGATGTATTGAATTCAGTCCAGTCCATCCTCTACTGTCATCCTTTTCATCAGTGGACTTGAAATACGTGCCAGTTGTTTTCGCAAAATTATAGGACGAAGATGGAGAGAAGAATGTTTCTTCCTCTAATCTGGAGGTGGAAGTTGTTTCACTTAAATCTCGAAAAGAAGCCTGAGCTGTCGAATCTTCAAATCTTCTGGAACTCTGCCGATTTTTTGATCTTGTATCAATGTTCTCTGAATCTTTGAATATTCTAATGTTTGTAATTTGTGAGGAAGCTTCGTCAACACTTTTTCCAGGTCGTCGGGATTTTCTACTTTGATCTCTTGGAGAATTTTCCGATGATATTCTGATGATGGGACTGTCATCTAATTCGTTTCGTGAACCACGTCCGATATTTGATTTTGATGTAGGACGTCTTCCTCTTCTTGATGATTGATTCCTGTTAACACTTGGGGCAGATGTTGTGATTCTGGATCTACTTCTATTATTAATTTCATCAATGGGAATTGATCTATTTTTGGTATTAATTTCATTAGCGGGCGTTGTGAGTGTCAATCGATTTCTCGAAGAGCCTCGAGTTCTGCTTCTGAATTTACTAACTGGCGTGGTGATTTCTTGATATCCACTATCATCCGTCTTGAATCTCTCGCGATTTGACGTTTCCGTAGTGACTCTTGATCTTGCGCGACCTCGTGTTTGATTTGTGTTGGACGACCGTGCAAAGTTTCTGGACGATTTACTACTCACCTTGGACCTTGAGGGAAGTGTTGCAGAAGACAATGGTGTCGTGGAGTCCAAGAATGATGATGATGATGATGATCGAGATCTACCGCGGGTAAATCCAAAGGGTCTCGGTTGGGAAACGGCGGCGAAGATTTCTTTTGTTGTTGTCTCGATGGAAGGAGAAGGACTACTGGTGGTTTTAGACGTAGTTGCCAATAAAATTTCAGTTGCTGTTTCTTCGACAAGTTTTACATTTTCTGAATTTATCGAGGATAAGGAGGAGGATGAAGGTGTTTTTGTATTGAATATTGGCTCGTCATGAATTGTAACTGATTGAGTTGTTGGATTATCTGTGGTTGTAATTGTTGTTGATATGGTCGTTAATGGGGACGTTGATTGTGACGAAGATGATGAACTCTGTGAGTAAGTCATTGATACGGTGTAAGGGAATGCAGAACTTTCAGGTGCAAAAGTTGTTGTGTCCTTGAATGTGTTCAAGTTTGTTTTTTGAGTTGCGTCCGAATTAAATGGAATTTCTTGGAATTCATTTTCATTTTTTTCTTGTCTCTCCGTTGTACTTCTGAAACGTTGAATGCTGATGTACCTGTAATTAAAAAATTATTTCTATCATTAAAAAAGGGTAAATATTATAATAAAGGAAATTAAATTCTTTTTTTTATTTGAATCAATTTTCGTGAAATTTCAATGTCAATTTAGAAACTGATTCTCAATCAAGTTGATCATATAAACCTAGATTTTGCAGATTCGTCGTCTTTTTTATTTGGAAAAATGGTTCTTTTCGCTGACTTTTCGGTCTCCGTTGGACTTTGAAATTCATCGTAGCCATCGCTGGTGGAATTTCTAAAAAAAAGTCATTCATTTTGATAATTTACTTGAAGTCTTGGAAAATAAATAATAAAATATTCGTTAATTCAATTATTTTTAATACCTTTGTATTTTGAGATTCTTGTTGTCTGAAATGTTCTTTTCGTTTCTAGAAAAATTAAGATTTGATTTTTTTTTTTTTAATATTTTAAATAATTAATTTTCCTAACTTTGTGTAATTAAAATTTTTCTAACCTTGTACTTAAAACAGGAAATCGACGTCGAGGGCTTAGTTTATCCTCCTCAACTTCATCTTCCTTTACATTGACATTATTATTATCTCTGCCGGAACTAAATAATTGAAATAGTTTAAATGTATTATTATTATATTTATTTTCGATTGTTTTGTGATTAATTATTATTTGCATTTGTAGTAACAAACCTTGCAGCGATAGGACGATTGCGTCTAATATTGACATAACTGGGTGTGACTCGTGGTAAAAGTATTTTTTCTTCAGGCGGATTGCTGATGCTTCTCTCTTCCGATGAAGCAACATCTGCATTGTCATTCTTATCTTCTTCATCCTCGTTTTCATCGATTCTCTCGGATGGCGAAGATCTGAAAGAATAATAAAATTTAATTTCAAACAAATAATAGACATATTAATTCTCTTTTATCAAATTATTTGCATTCTTTCTGATACCTGGATCTTTCTATTGTTGTATATTGTGGTTTATTTGTTCTTCTGAGACTTTTAACTTCGGGAAGATCATCGAGACCATCAAATTGTGCTCTCCCTGGTCCATTCGTGTAACCAATTCGTGATCTCTTGTTTCCTTCATTTATTTCGTCTCTTGCTTTATTCTCAGGTGGTTTCGAAGATGTTCCAAAGAATCTGGAATTTGTTTTAGACGCTTGCCTATTCAGAACGCGTTCATACAAGCTGCGACTTATGGTAGCTGGAGTGACCTGTCCACTACCAATTGTGGTACCGGATTGTCCTCCAGCTGGTTTTTCCTGTAAGAGAAGTTGTTTTTCAAGTTGCTCAATTCCTCCTGCTTTTTTAATTAAATCAATCAATTCCTTGATCACTCGTGGATCCTCTTCTTCTGCAAGATCCAATGATTTTTCTTGACTTTCTTCGTGATTTGGAATTATAGTTGTCGATGTTGCTCCTCTTGTTGGTGGAACTGTCGTCGAACTCGGTCTATTTCTACTAATTGTTTTATAAAGTAGTGGTTTAGCTGTAGTTGTTCGTACTTCTTCCTCTTCCTCTTCATCATCGTCATCTTCGTATTCGTATTCCTCCTCTGGAATAGATTTTTCCGTTGTCGTTCGACGTGTCGTTGATCGTGTAGTCGCCGCCGTTGTTGGTGCTTTTGTTGTTGTAACATCATTTGTTGATTTTACTTTTGGACAAACAACATTGCGAGGATAATCACAGGAGTCGGCTCCTTTGTTGAAAACCAAACCTAATGAGGTGGATTTAGTTATTAATTAAAATTATTTAAATTATGGAATTTTAACAAAGATTAATTGCATTATTTCTCTTCTGAAGCATATTTAAATGAAAATTAATTAAAAAATTGTTTGAGAAACAATTACCAGAAGGACAAGTAAATTGATGGGCAACAACTCCAAGACCACTGGGTCCACTGTCTAGACACCAAAAGTACTTTTTACAATCCCTTGGATGTGGAAAGAAACCTTCATCTTCACATTTAAAATCTAATAAAAGATTTACTTAATTAGAATTGCTTTTCTTAATTTCTGCTAGATATATATTTTTTTAAATGTATTATTTGTAATTTTTTTATTTATTATTTATTTGAAATAGAAACTCACCGCTTCCTGGATCGGGAGTTGTTGGTGGTTCAGGAGTTGTTAATTTATTACTGAGAGATTCTTCAATTTTTGAATTTTCTGCTGGTTTATTGTCACGATTTTTTTGCTTTCTACGACCACCATTTTCTGATGAACGAATTCGAGAACGATTTTTATTGAGTCTTGATCTTGTGGGCTTTTCGCTTACTCTAACAAAATTTCTATCATCTTCTTCGTCTTCTAAAATATCATCATCATTATCATCATTGTCATCATCGTCATTTTGTGAGGCTCTCGTGCTAGATCTACTTTTAAATTTAAGTGAATTAATTCTTTTTCTAGAAGGTGCTTCAGTGGTACTTGTTCTTCTATTAGCTGATGCGTATTGTCTACCAGATGAATTACTTTGACTCGATTGATTTCTTGTTGGCTTTCTGAGAGTAGGCTTCTCTTTTACTTCATCTCGTTTACTGCAGAGTTGGAGAAAATAAACTATTTTTAATTTCCAGGAGGATGATAATTAATTTTAATTAATTTCTTTTTAAATCGTTTTAATTGACTTTTAATGTCAATAAATTATTCTTTAACAATTTTAATTAATTTTTTATAGTAATTTATTAATTACCTGTTCAATAAAATTAATCTGTCACTAATTACTTTTCTGTTATAAAATTTTTTTTTTTTAATCTAATCTTAATTAATATTTTCGCAGCATTAATATTCATTTTCAGTACATTGTGGTTTAAGTAATTAATTTGAACAACGAATTAATTAAGATATTAATTAGTTTGTTAATTAATTAATTGTGTGAAGTCAGTTATACTTACGAGCTGTCAGCGAGAAGTGCTTCTTTTGCAGCTTCAATTAGTGGATAAGGTCGACCATGGCACTTTCCTCGGAAGTCATCATTGTCAATAGACCAAAACATAATTCCTCCAAGTTTTTTCTCATTAACATATTGCGCTTTCACTCGGACAATATTTTCATCATCATAACCAACCCATTGATTATCCTTGAAAGCATAGGGTCCCATTGCTTCCGGATTTGGTTGCACCACTTCCCATTCATCTTTTTCAACGTTTTCACAAATCTATTGGGAAAATTAAAAAATTTTCTAATTTATCCAAAATAATTGTTTTTAAACAATAAAAAATTATATTCATAAATAATAGTTATTTATTAAAATAAATATGAATCAATAATGAAATGATATAAAAATTAGAATATTAGAATGGTAAAGAAAAAAGAATTATGATAAATAAAATTGTAATAGCACCTCATAATAGGCTAAATAACCCTTTTCCCTAGTGGCATCTCCTTCATTACCGGGACCATCAGCGGGAGATCCAATGTCTGTTGAATCTTGATTAAAAAGTGTATAAGATCTACCATAGGTGGGTATACCGAGTACAATTTTCTCAGAGCTGGCGCCTTGTTTAATGAGATGATTAATTGTAAATTCCTGCAAATTATAAAGATTCTTTAATGATCCTTTACACGTACACGTGTTTTCACATACTCTATTATATATTGTATATATGACTTTTCCACTTTCTTTAGAAATTAGCGGTGTAAATTAGTTATAGGAAGTAGCAAAAGAAAAAAAGAAAATTAAAAAGACTTACGATCGTTAATTCTGTATCGTAATTGTATTCATTATCCTCTTCGAGAGGATAAAGGGGAGAGTGATGATTAACAGCAGGCTCAAAGGCTGAATGATAATCGTATGATAGAAGATTTATAAAATCAAGATTGTCATTTAAACGTGGCACATCGTAACCTTTGTCAATATATTCAATTCCAGCTGGCATTGCCATTGTTAATAATAATCTAGGACGTCCTGTCTTTAAAGATTCTCTCTCGAATTGTTCACGGAGTTCCTTTTATATTGTAAAAATTAATTTAAAAATAAATTAATTATAATAATTATAATTATTTAACTATTTTGAGATAAATTTTCTTTTTTCTCTATTATATTATCAAAAAAAAAAAAAAAAAAGAAAGAATGATATAAGAAAGTTGAAAAAGGGAAAGTACCTCAACGAGAATGGCATAGTTTTCCTTGTCGCGAGGTTTACCACCATCTCTAAATGCAGGATATTCCCAGTCAAGGTCAAGGCCATCGAAATGATTTTGCCTCAAAAATTTTACACAATTTTTCACAAATTCTTTCCTTCGATGAGCATCAGCGACCATTGGTGAAAATCTACTTGAACCCTCATTCCAACCGCCAATTGCCAGAAGCGTTTTAAGATTCTTGTTGTATGTTTTGAGACCGGTGAACTTTGCGTAACCACCTTCAGGATAAATTGTACAAATGTGAAATGTCATAATAAACAGGAATTCTTCATTTTTACAAGCTTGCATTTTGCCGTCTTATATTGAGAAAAATGTTACTTTCTAGTCAAGAATTAATTTTTTCTATAGTTTTGCTTTTTTTTCATCATATTTATAATTTATCTGCATTTTTTTTCAACTATTCATTACTTATATATTTAATTGAAAATATATTTTTTTACATTATTTATATTTTTATTCTTATATATATATATATATATATATATATTGTATATATATTTTATTTCTTCTTTTTTGGGTTTTATAATCCAAACATAGGTTTAATGTAGGTTAAAATAGGATCTAAGTAGGTTTTTTGCAGCTTTGAAGAAGGATTAATGTAAGGTCAATGTAAGGTCATAGTTCTATGTAGAGTCTAACAAGTAAAAACATTTGACACGTGTATTTTTATTTTGGCAGACATGATGCTTCAAGGGTTGAAAATGAGGATTGAAATATTTGGATTTTTTATTACCACATATACAATAAAAATCACTATTACACAACAACACCATGAAAAAATCCCGAGTTGGACCTTTATCCTATGTATTTTGGTACGCTGAACACGAATCAGGAGTCAGATTTGTTCCATCACGTCAGCAGTTTTTTCTAACCTCAAAAAACATGTCGGATTTCAAGGGTAAGCGGAATGTTTTTAAAGTTTAATGGTTTTACATTAGTATCTGGATGTTTTTTTGGTCCCTGATTATGAATCTGAAGTTAAAAACTTTAAATCCAATATGGTAAAATTAAAATTTTCAAAGAACATAATGGCGGATCCAATATGGCGGACGAATTTTTAAAAATTGTTAGATTTTAATGAAATTTATTATCTAGGGGTTTTTGGGGTCGCTGATTACGAATTTAAAGTCCAATTTTCAAAATTTAAAATGTCGGATGCAATATGCCGCACGAGTTTTTTAAAGTCGTTAGAATTTTATGATAAAGGTTTAGGATAAAGGTCCAACTCGGGATTTTTTCATGGTGTTGTTGTGTAATAGTGATTTTTATTGTATATGTGGTAATAAAAAATCAAAATATTTCAATCCTCATTTTCAACCCTTGAAGCATCATGTCTGCCAAAATAAAAATACACGTGTCAAATGTTTTTCGATTCTGTGCAAAATGCCCATAGTCCGATCTCAATCGTTGAGTAACAATTGGGTAGTGTTATTGTAAGTATGTTTACTGTTGAGTAAAAAATAGGTCCAATATTGGTCGAAAATAGGTTCATAGTAGGTGGAATATAGGTTTAATGTAGGTTTAAAGTAGGTACAATCTAAATTTAATTTATGGACAAAGTATGTTTACTGTAGAATCAAAATATTTGTTCAAAATAGGTCGAATGTAGGTCGAATGTAGGTCGAATGTCAATGTGGGTTCAAATTAAATTAAAATTAAGTCAAGTGCACGCGTCTAATGTAGGTTAAAATTAGGTACAATCTAGATTCAATGTAAGGACAAAGTATGTTTACTGCAGATTCAAATATATTAGGTTCAATCAGGATTTAATGTAAAATTATAAATTTAAAATAAAATATAGTTGCAAACCTTTTTCAATATCCTGATATTTGTCAAAGGGTTTTAACGTATTGTCCTTGGTAAATCCACCAAATGCATAAATTAAATGTGTACAGAGATATGGATTAATATTTTGTGGTGAAAATTTTGCAGTACCTGGCCTATAAACTGACCAATTTGTATAATAGCAAACGACCCTTTTTTCTGCGTTTCCTGAAATAATGAAATAAAACATTAAAATATTTACGATATAATTTAAAAGAAATTTTTCATAAAAAAAAAAAATTTTTTTTAAAATATTTTCTTTAAAAATTTAAATTATAAAATTTATTTGAAATTTATTCAAATAGTTTTATTTAAAATTATAAATATATCATTACAATCGCAGTGATTTGAAAAATGATTAAAAATCAGGTCATTTGGAAAAACCGTTTGAAAAATTGACTTTCGTTATATATATACATCATTTTTATACCTATAAATCTACTTGAAGATACAATATTTAATTAAAAAAGAAAGTCGATTTTATCAAATGTTCACGCGGAAAAAAAAACGTTTCTTTTATAATCGTTCTATATAGAATATCGTGTATAAATTGTAATTATAAAAGTTGATAACATATATAGTTATATATGTGTAAATAGAAAAACGATTTTATAATTACAAGAACGAAAGGAATGTCGGGCATTTTAATCGGATACATTATTTAATCAAGCGAAAAGGCATTTTATATATATATATATATATATAATAAGGTTTTATCGACACATAGAAGTAGGTGCTCAAGGACAAAAATTTTTACTGACATTCAGGTAATTAAAAAATCAAAGTAATTTATATACAATTTACGTAAAGTATAAATTAATTAATATAAAACGTGTAATATCGAGGAATTTGCGTGATACAATGTTGGGAATAGGATAAATTTTAAATTCTCAGCTCATTTTAATAATTGCTAATGTACTCAAATTTGATTTCACATCTAGTGTATATATAGTTTCCTTTTAAATTTGTCATTGTTTATATTTTATTTTTTAATTAGAAAAAAATTACGATTTATCTTAATAATAATAATAATTATTATTATCTCTATTATAGATCATTAGAATTTTCTCTTCTATTCACATAAATTTAATTTCTTTATTGACACCAGTGTGCAAATTAAAATATTTTAAAATTAATAGAAATTCTATTATTTATATTATCGTAGTAAAAAGACTTTCTTTTCACATGTAACATAATTATTATCATCATCATCATCATCATCATCATCATCTTTATTTTATTTCTTCTTTTTTTATTTTTTATTTATAAAATAAAAATACTATTTTCTTTTTTTCTCCTAGAATATAAAAACAATTATTATTTTACCAAAAATTATCAAAAATTTTTTTACAAAAAATTATATAATATAGAGGATTTTTGAAAATAGTATATTATAATTTAAAGATAACTAATTATAAAAACTATTATGTTTCTAGTAGGTGAAGAGTAGGTAAATAAAAATTATAGTATTATAAATAAAAATAATGTAATTATAAATGTATGTTTGCACAATATTCTCATAGATTTCATGATTTTCACATTTCTCGGTTAATTCACGTAATTTATCATTTAGAGGAGGGCACGCTCTGTCGCCCACTGCGATCATGCCTTTATAGTTAAATGCATACATATATATATACTTGGGTATATTTATCATATTTTACATTAGAATTAATATTATTTACTTAAAGTCGTTTGTCAGTTTTATAATATTTATGTTTTAAAAAAAAATAAATAAAAGCAGTCTGAAATTTTTTTTACAATGTTTGAATATATTTTTGACGATAAATAAAAATGAATTTGAAGATTTTTTTGAAGAATTACATATTGAAAATAAAAGAAATACAACCCACACTTTTCTTCAATTCAGCCGCATATTAAATGAAGCTTGACATTTGTTCACGGAGATTCTAAAATGCATTTATAAGTATATACACATATACATTAAATTAATACCATTATAATATCAACTGCATACACAGGAAAATGCTTTATAAATATTTCGCACACGACGCGTCATCGTAAATGGCCTGGAGAAACTGTGCCTTGGAGAAATTGAGACACGATATAAACTTTCGTTCCTCTATATAATACACTTGTGAAAGAAACAAAATCAACAAATGGATTTTAAGATCATTAGACTCTTGTCTCCTTATATTGGTGAACATTTATAATTCATGAATTAATTGAGTTACATATAGCGGTGCTTCCATAGTATATAGTTCTTACGTAATTTTTAAATTCCTACGATTCTTTTGAGAGAAATAAAAAATATAATTTGCCGCTTTATACGATTTCAAATCAAATTTAACACACTTTAAAATTTGTAGCGCTAATTTCTTGGTTTCTAATTTGCATGCAGATATACAAAATAGAGTCAAGGGTTTACAAATTTTACCTAGTAGAGATCATCGGCTCTATTATATAACACATATCTACTTTTTCTTCATTCTCAAATATCATAAATCACGCTTATAATCATATGCTAATACATATATATATATATATTAGTGGAATAAATTATAATTTGAAGATTTAAGAGAAAAAGATAATGAAATTTTTGAAAATTATGTAAGTGAAGCAGATTATGAAACTATAGGATTTTGAAAGTATTTTTTAATTTTCTGTTCTTATGAAAATGTACACTGAGAAAAATATGCTATTGAATAAATAGCATTTCTGCCAAAGGTAATAAAAATTATTAATTCAAAAGCATAATGCTATAGAATCTATAAAATATTTTACAAATTTAATAGCATATGCTTTTGAATCAATAATTTTTATACCTGTGGCAGAAATGCTGTTGATTTAAGAGCATATTTTTCTCAGTGTATATGATAAGGAAAAAATGGCACTGGTGTTATATTTTGTCTGTCAGAACTCAAAAGTTGTACACAGGGATGTGTTGCTAAATTATAAAGTGGAATGTAACATTTGGGACGTTCCACTTTATAATTTAGCAACACATCCCTGTGTACAACTTTTGAGTTTCCATTACCCTGTGCAAAATGTCCAGTGATAGGTATAAGTATAAAAACAAAAATAATACTAAAATATAATTGGATCAAATTAAAATTATAAATAAAATTTATATTCAATAATGTTTCGAAAGATTTGAATTTATGTCACTTGATATTACTAATTACTAATTACTAATTCAAATAATTCCATTATAGGGTGATTCTCTCAAAAAGGACAAATTACGCTTTTAAGATATTTTGTTAAAAAATATGAAAATTAATTGAAATTATTTAAAATTCTGTCAGCCATACGTTAGGATTTAACAATTTTCAATCAGACCACTAAAGAAAATTTTAAAAAAAGGTAAAATAACTGAAATATTGAATAAAAACTGATGTTACGGAATGGAGTTTTAACACTAGTTTTCATTCAATAATTCAGTTGTTTGTCATTTTTTTTTGAAATTTTCTTTAGTGATCCCATAAAAATTTGTTGAATTTTATCGTATGGCTGGGAGAATGTTTATTAATTGAAATTAATGTTATTATTTTTTAACAAAAACCTCGTTCAAAAATTGTGCACAAATAATTTGTTCTTTTTGAAAGAATCACCCTAATAACAAAAATATATATTACAATAAAAAAAAATTTTATACTTGAAAAAAAATTAATTATTATAATTAATTTTAATTAATAAAAAATTATTTATTAATTATTTATATTTACATGTAAATATATGAAAACAAATTAAAATAAAAAAATAAAATAATATAAACCAAAAATTATTGGTTTCACTTTCTTTTTCAGGTATGCGACCGAGTCACCTGAGGTATAATATACAAATGGATCTTCTTGTCTGTGCTTCTAAAGCTTTCACCTGTTATAATCGTCATCTGTAAGGTCATGGTAAAAGGCAATTGAAACCCATTTTAAGGTTCATGCACCTGACGATGTAGAGAATTTCTCATGGTGATCAGAATATGTTTACGGAAATAATATTTATATATACATATGTATATGTCCACATTTCTCCTCCATTATAATAGAAATTCTCATTCATTCTTAACACACAATTTCTATAAAATTTCTCTCAGGCACTAAACATATAGGTATTTAATGATGAAGATCTTGATTGGATCTTGATTTTTTAATGAAAAACTTTTGACATAATTTTGTGAATGATAAAGTATATCGGATTAGAGTATTAAAAAATAAATATAGTAAAATTTGGTTTAATGGCTTTTTATAGGACAAGTAAAAGATATTAAGAAACATCTTTAATGTTTCGGAATAGGTACCGATTCCCTCATCAGAATTTATTTTATCAATTAATTCTGAGGAATTAAATTTTATGAATAGTTGTGAATCAAATAAAGGATCATTTCTGTTAGCATTAATAAGAAATTTTTATAATTTGAAAAAAGTTGTGTAAAAAATTAAATTATTTAAAAATGAGGATTTAAAATTTTTTTTTTTTAAATTATTAATATTATAATGGATTTTTTGATCCATTTTAGTTGAATCACAACCATTAACCATTAGATTCATTAAAAATGAATGTATGTAAAGTTTATTATTTTTTATTATTTATTACTATTATTATTATTATTATTATTATTATTATTATTATACCGTGTCGAGGTGGAGTGGCTTAGGGTCTGGGAGTGCACGGATATTTCCGACACTATCTGCATAAAATGGCAAAAATCGAAATCGGAGACTGCATATACTGCCTAAACACGACTGATAATGTAAGACACACGTTTTTCGAGTGCAATAGATGGGCGGAAATCAGAAGGAAATTAGAACTTCAACTAGGAGAACTTCTCTCAGTTGAAACAATTATAGATTTAATGCTTAAGACAGAAAATAATTGGAACAGTGTCGACACATACGTCCATGAAATTCTAACAACGAAAAAACTCGAAGATCAAGATATGTAAAATATATATATATATGTTGTTTTGTTTTATTTATTTAATTTTATATACTGACGAATAAAATAAAAAAGATTATAAACCCAGGCTGGTAGAAAAGAAAAAAGAAGAAGCCGAAGCTCGGCTAAACACCGCCATTTTGCCAAACTCCTGATGAAATGCGAAAGCGATACCGGGAGTTTTTGGTAGGCGAGGAAATAGGGGGTTTTCAGAGAAAAAGCTAAGGACTTTCTCTGTGGTTTTTAGTGGGTATTAGTTGCCTGGAAAGAAC